AATATTTGTAGTCTTGATTCAGAAGTTGGTTTGCCTACTGTGCTGTACTTTCATATTTGGCATCTTGATTCTGGCATCTTACCTGTGGCGTCTTCACCTGGTGCATTTACAGCGAGCTGCCAGCTTGTTTTGATAGAAAGGGATCAATCGCTGTCAAGGAACCGTGAAGTCTATGCAAGCTGTTTGTTTGTTGGAGAACATCACTGTCTAGGGTGAAACACTCCTTGCATGATGAGTACTCATACTAGTCCCTGGCAAATGCAGCTTCATACTGTCACTGTAAACTTTGGGAGAAAAAAATCAATTCATAAGTATCGCAATTTTTGTTTTACAATTTTTCAATCGATTTTTTTTGTTCAAATTTTTTTTTCAAATTTAAGAATAAATCTTAAAAACTGACTTACATGTGATATGCATTTTGGGGGTAAATATGGTTCCTGGAATAGTCAGTAGACAATCATAACCATTCAACTGTTTCCTTGGTGTTAAAAATGCAGACTAAAAATCGACAATCGCATTTTAAATTGAATTGGCATCCAAAAAAATCGTAGAATAATCGAATCGGGGGAAAAGCATATCGTCCCAGCCCAACTGTAAACCATCCCTTTGCAGACCTTCAATGAGCTTGACCCACCAGGAATCTTCAAGATTCTCCCGATGAGCTTTTTTTTTCAGCCAAAGTCAAAGTTACTTTGAGCAGATTTTGAAACATCAAAAAAAAAAGGACATTATGACTTTTTACTTTAAGAGAAGTGGTTGGATCAAATTTCACTCCAGTTGAAAGACATTTACTCAGAGAGAACATATGAACCGCCTCATGGTGATGGAGTAACAAGCTCTCAACAGTCATTAGTATATCACTTGGGAACTATGACAGCTGACATATTATGCCAAACCTTCCATTTTGATGAAATATTTTCATCATTTCTGTTCTCCAGGAGGTGCTCCGACCACTTTAACACATACTTCACACTTGTGTGATTTAGCACCCTCTGCACTCAGGCACAGTGGTGTGAATGGACTTGAACAACCGTCTCTTTTGCTCTCCTGTTTACAATTTACTGCTGTGTAGGGTCAGCTGAAAAGCTTGCCACAGCTTGATAAAGATTAATAGGGGCAGGAAATCATTAATTCCTGGCTTCATGTTTGATCGGGACACAGCTATACGTCCACGAGTGCCAGAGTATTGGGTAGTCAGGCTGATCTCATTGTCTTTAATTATTTTGACTTGTAGTATAAGAGGGGAAAAAAAGTTGGAAACCGCTGAAGGCACTTGGCAAATCTCCCCTGAGTATGACATAAAGACCAAACATTAACAAATAACCGCAAAGGAGAGTGAATTTTCTTCAGATTTAGAGCCAGCCAAATCTGCTTGTCTTTTTATATTTCTCTAAAAATCTCTTTCAGGAGAGATGGACTAAATGTTTTTGTGAAGTATTTAGAGATAGGCAGACCTTTCACATTTTTCATCATAGTTTCTCCCTTCAGCTTCTCCAAATCTATTCAGTCTCCAAAGTAAACACCAGCAAAATGTCTTGACCTCCAACTCTACCTTCTGGGTAAAGTAATTCAGGCATGATGCTGTAAAATCAATAGCTTTTAACATTAGTACTGTTCAAGCTTAAATGCACTACCAGTATTAACTTAACAGAGTGCATCTCTCACGAAGGCACGAAAAAATACCGGTTATTTTAAAGTCTGTAAAGAGAGAGAGAGCTCTTATTACTAATGTCATGCATTACAGATATAAGGAGGAACTTTTTAAAGGAGAGTTTTTCCCCATTACTGACCTGACATCAGGCAAACTTCAGCTCGCATTTGCTCTAATTTGCTGCTGCTCATGGGACTCCACCTACTCGAGACTGCTAATAAACAGCTCTAGAAACACTGTCAGGTTATAAACAAAATCACTTCCACTGTCAGATATTATCATATCTTAAAGAGCCCATAATGCCCAGGTGTCCCACAGTATGCTCACAAAATGCAGATCTGCTCATGGTACCTAAAGCCTCAGGGAGTAGTATCGGAGGTAGAGCCTTCAGTTATCATGACCCTCTCCTACAGAACCACTTGGCAGTCAGGGTCCAGGAGACAGACTCCACTTTCTGGGAGTAGGCTTGAAACTTTCTTCTGTGGTAAGGTTTTAGAGCAAAGAGAAGTGGCACACAGAGCTTGTGTCTTACCCTCCTTTTCCACTAACCTGTCTACATTCACTAACTTTATATCTTCATGTCCCTTAAAGCTACTGCTTATCGATCTTCCTGGAAGTTTCCAAGCTCCCTTGTTATAATGGTTCCTCTGGATTGTTGCTGCTGTAAACCCGCCAGACTCCAACTACAACTCTAACTTTCTTTAGTACTTTGCTTACTGCTTTTTACTTTTGCTAATTGCTTTGCCTGCATTGGATTAAACTGAGACAAAATAGGATTATAACTTGCCTCACTGCTGGAACAATGAGTATAGTCTAAACCTGATCTTTCTTTAGTGTCTTGTGATAACAGAGGGAAATAAGGCTATGCTAGCCCACAACAAACCATGCTGCCATTGCCTATACTCCAAGTAGATGCTTTTAGCTTCTTTCTGTGTTTGTTTAGTGCTTTTACAACCCTAAAGTAAGTTATGATTAGCTGACAATCAGTCAAGATCTCTTGGAAACAAGTGAAATCAACATATTATAGTAAACAGAGTAAATGGTTTTATGGATGCATTTCCTATATGATTTTTTTGTGTGTTTGTGTGAAAAATACCATCCAGTATCAATTCACGATCATATTTAATATGGAGGTAACTAAAGGGCATCCAATTTTGCATATAGTTTACAATAGATGTGATATATTATTCAGACTGAATGCAACTTTTTTGATCAAAATGTTTCTTCTCAGCTTTCAGGTTAATAAACAGTAAAGGCAACACATAGAGATGAGGATGTGGCATCATGAGGTGTTGGTCTCTGGATGTCAAAAGCTGCAAAAGAACTGCAAGCACAGAGACTAAGGTCTGATGTGAGTGACAGGAGATGTAATCTAGTTAAAAAATCTAATGGTGTCACAGGGTGGGGGAATAAAAACTAAACACTGCTGCTTTAGGCTCAAAATGAAAGGTTAAAAAGTGAACAGATGACATTTCCAGTTTCACTGTTTAGGAAGTCTTTGGACAATCTGAGGAAAAAAGTTTCTTTATCTTAAAAGATACTTCATTTCAGGATCTTAAAATAGCTTAATCTCACCAGCTTAACATTAATGGCACAATGATGCTGTTAGAGGTTGGTTGGATAGATGGAAGGAGTCAGGATTGTAAGAGATGAAACTGGCAGGCCAGGTGAAAAGTCGAAGGTTCATAAGGTTAATACCACAAATGCAAATCTGGATATCTGAATGCAAGTGCCAAATGTGTCTTTAAGACCTTTATGTTTTCCCTTTTTAGCCGTTTCCTGCTGCACACTATACCATATGATAGAAATCTTTCTTTACTGGTTCCATAAGGTCTCTGATGGGACTTCTCTTGTACCATATCCCACTGGCGCAAAATCCAAGAGCTGGGATATTTGGCTAAAGCAATTATTTGTAAGGGCCTGCCATCATCACAGAGCAACGGAAATAATTAGCCCTCTGCTTTCAGAAAGCCTCAGATGGCCAGTCTCACAGATTGCTTTCCGTTCCCATTCTGCAAACTTGACGTAGAGCTTCAGCTCCAGTCCTTGGTGCAAACTGTGACGATGTGGTCAGAGAAACATACAGACAGTGTACAGGAGAAAACAACACAAACTCTGTGCATGAACCAGCTGCAACTGTCTCATAACATAGTCCCCATATTCAGAGTAGAAAAAAATGCATGTAACATGCATGAGGTTCACATTTAGCGGCCCATAACAAGAGCAATAACTGAACCCAGCTCAGGGAAAAGCTACAAAGCTTGAGATGGTCACACAGCTGACAGCAGCAGTTTTTTCAGGGTCTGCACCTTTATGGCCCGGACACCAGGGACGAGGAGAAAATGAAAGATAGATGGGGGATGATTTTCTCCAATGTGGACGCTGTGAGTCCTGCCTTGCTCAGTGTGTTCTCACACAGAGAGTCATTCACACATTTTGACAACATCAGCTTGGCTCACTCTCCTCATTCAAATCAAAGGCTCCACCCTGTGGGAGCTGACTTTTGTTTTTGAGAAAACTTCCAGCTTGCTTGCCTGTTTGACTCGACTCCTTCTGTTTTAGCAGCGAGTGTGCCGTTTGTCCTGTTTATCCTCACAGGAGGCTACTTCTGAATATTTGTTGGCCATTTGTTTGTCAGACTGCGGATGGTTTGTTGAAACTGGTGGGTCACATCAGCTTATTAAACTGAAATGCAGCTTTTGGTCTCGAATAACTGTTTAATAGCAGAATAATTGAATGAGTAAGAGAATAGGACTACATGGGTACTGGCTATTTGTGCTATCTGGTGTGAATTCAATACATGAAGCTGAATTTAGAGGGCTTGTTGGGCTGGTTTTAGAGTTGAAAATGAGATAATTCACTTTACACTGTTCAAAAACAGATAATGCACACATGAAAGGTCTGAAAATATCAGGAGCATGCTGTCTGATTTCTGACAGAACACTGCCCTCTAGTGGAAAAAGTACAAAAAGTTCAATCGTGTCAGGAATAACTCCGGTGATTTAGATAAACAGCAAAAGGCACAGAGTTCATAATTACAAATATTTACTTCATGTTCATGGTGCAAGAACATATCTACAAACAAATAAATACTTATTATATTACACGTAGTCAAAGACATTGCATCAGAAATACAAGCAAAGGGGTGATTGTTTGCATGACATTGTGCCTTAGAGGAAAATGGTCCAAAGCAAACAGAGCTTTTATTACATGGACAAACACTTGAAAACAAACTGTGAATGTCAAAACACAAACACACATTGATGTAACAGAATGCTCTGTTGTTGGAAGAAAGTTAAATACCTCTGTGTGATAAGTGGTCACAGGAACACAGGGCATTAAGAGCTGGATGCACCTTCATGTTTGAACACAGTACAAAAATATTTCCTCTCTCATGTCGGCCTCTACCTGCCACTTCAAAAACTCTATGATTCAGAGACAGAGCTCAGTTTGATCAGGATTTCTATCCAGGATTCATGAGGATATTCTGCACTGCTGAAATATAAACAACTGGACTTGTTTTCTTTCACATGTTCTGTGGTACCGCAGTCTTTTTCTACTACTTTTGAAATCATTAAAAAGTCTAGGGGAGGGAGAGGAGCGGCTCAGGAAGACACCGAGCCTGAGTCCTCAACATCTGTGGAGTCATATTCATCAGCAGACTCTGTGAGGGCGGGGTAAGGTCGCGGCTGGTCGAGGTTCACATAGGTGATGTTCAGACTGATATAATGTTCTCCTGCCAGGCCGGACAGGATGGTGGAGACAGTTGATACCAATGTTGCAAAGCTGGGCCTCAGTTCAGGGTCAGGGTCCCAGCACTGAAGCATCACACTGTACCTGGAAAGAAAACAGACAAAGTCTGATCAAGAACTGGACAGACACTTCTGTCCACTATAATAACAGCAAACCACAGCTTTGCTCCTGCTTTAGTCTGAACGCAGATACATGAGAGTGTCACTGAACTGATTCCAACCTTCTCCTGTGACTTTTCACCCAAATTGGATGCGTGTCAAGGACAGAGCAGATGGAGCACATAAATGGTTAATTTATTCACCGTTATCCTGTGAGTTGTTGCAAAAAGCTTCCTGGCCATGAGATTTATTATTAAAAAGCACTAGTGTAAGTGGTTTTGCAATTATGTATGTGTGTGTGGGGGGGGTAAGCAGGTTTCTTTGAGGTGTGTGGTTAAAATAAACATTAACTCCATTACAAACTTCATTGCATAACCAAGTTAGAATACCAAGCAGTGGACAGTTCACAGGTTTCACACAACTAAGTGATCGTAAGAACATCTCATTTTTAACAAGTCTGAACTTTGAACTTTTCACTCCACTCTCACTTGATGGTGAGAGTCTATGTCAGTGTCAATGTAGTATAAGTATTCATAGTATAGACGTGGCTTATTCTCTGAAGTTTTACAGAGTGAGTGTTTGTGACCTAAGCAACAGCAATGGAAATCATGACACATTCGAAGTACTTACAAAGGGTCAGGGCAGTACTGCGGCTGTGGTAGCCGCCTGCCTTTCAATAAGTAATGTGTGATATCATAAGGGTCCACCTCCGGGTAGGGGCTTGCTCCTCTGGTCAGCATCTCCCACATGAGCACACCAAAGGACCACTGCATTAAAGGTTACAGCAAGTAGAGAAAAGGAAAGGAAAACCAGAGACAAACAAACTCTTACACCACTACTTACTGCCGCTGTCATAGTACTACTGATAGACTTTGAACCCTTTAATGCCTGAAACCACAAATATGGCCAGAAAATTCAAATTTTTTTGGAGCTGAAATGTTTATTTCACTTACAACCGAAAACCAAAGAAATCAAAATGTCCTTAAAATTTAACAAATATATTTATTGATCTCGTTTGATACATAAGATGTTTTTGGAAACTGATAAACTACAAGAGGACATTTTTATCATTTATCGGACTGTATTCAGGTGTTTTTTTAGTAATTTGTTGATCATAATGATTTGATAGAAGTGTATAAAAGTAGTATTTAAGGGTTAACAAGAAAAGAGTATTTATTTTACCTTTTTATTGGAATATTTACATTATTTTAAAAGATGAGAGTAGTTCGTAGTTCAAACGAAGAAACAATGACTGATTTTGATGTAAGGTTTTTTCTCTGCTTTTAAAATTGTTAATCTTAATGATGATTACTTTTTTTATCACAAACACTGAGATCGTTTTCATGGATATTAATGAATGCATCAATAATCAATCTGAAAAGTGTCCATCAGTTCTAAATAACAATAATCTCACCACATCAGACTTGGAGGTAAATTTCTGCGTCTTCAGACTCTCAATAGCCATCCATTTGACCGGCAGCTTGGCTTTCCTGTGATCCTGAACACTGTAATACTCCTTATCGAAAACATCTCTGGCCATGCCAAAGTCTGCCACCTTGACTGTGTATGACTCGTCCAGCCTAAGACAAAGACAAATCAGCCCATTCATCACAAAACATATAACCAAGTGATGTTACACTGTGTTTTCAAATTATGAGACATCATAGAAAGATTTTGACCTCACATAGAAAATAAAATGATATTTCTGTGCACATCTGACTCACATGCAGTTACGTGCTGCAAGGTCTCTGTGCACAAACTTCTTCTGAGCCAAATACTCCATCCCCTTTGCGACCTGCAGCCCGAACCCAATCAGATCCTTTACAGTGGGGTTCTGAATAAATCCCACAAAAACGTCACAAAAACACTGACTTAGAGCAGGTATAACAGAGGTCAGTGTATAATTTTGACTATGTGTAAATTTTTCTATGAGTCTCACCCTCTTCTCGCAGCGTATGAAGTGCCGCAGGTCCCCATGCTTCATGTATGGTAGCACCACCAGAGGGAGCCCTTCCTGTGGCAAGAGGATGCCCAGCAAAGACAGCACATTACTGTGGTGGAAACCTTTCATTATGATGCCCTCCTTCAGAAACTGCTCCACCTCCTCAACATCGGTAATTCCTGATAAAACACACACAGACACACAAACCACAGACACACACACATGCATGCAAACAAACACGTATTATGGAAAACATGGGACTGAAAATACCATTCAGTAAAGCTGGACGTTTGGTCAGTACTTTACTTTGTAGACAGTCCCTGCACCCTTACATTAGGCTAGCTGCAGTGGGGCTTAGTGAGCCAGAAACAAGACTAAATTGACTGTAATGAGTAAAAATGTAAATGTGGCAAGAAAAATTTCTTGATAAGTTTATTGAAATGAGATGTAGTATTTACTTCAAGGGATTTTCTTTTTTGCTTGAAACATTGTGCGTAAAAAAAGTTTTCAGTTTCAACCTTTGGGGTAATGTAGCCCAAACTGAGTAAATAGATTTTTGCAATGTAGACAGATACCTTTGAATAAACTGGTTGTCATGCAGCTGATTGAAAGCTCCCATGTTTTTAGCTAGTTTTTCCCAGTAACCACTGCTAGGTTAAGTGTACAATACTTTTAGAAAGAAAAATCGGAAGTAAAATTACTAATAAATAAATTAGTACTTGTGGCTATTTGTCTTTCAACAAGGATCTACAGTCTTTCTCTGTATTTATACAGGGGTGAATGTCCACTCTTGCACAGCAGATTCCACTCACTATTCAAAGACTTGACAGCACAGTGGATTTCTCTGGTGTTGTGGTCAGTCAAATAACCATGATAGACTGTCCCAAAATGACCTGCAGGTTAAAACAGAGAGAGATAAGATGACACAGGAATACAGACTTTTCTCCAATACATGAAATAGCTTGTATGAGAACTTCTTTTGCAGGTTTTTCATCTGTGATCGATGCCACGGGGTCTCTTACCCTTCCCTATGATGCGGTGGTGCTGCACAAGCAGCAACTCAGCAGGAATAAGAACATCCTTTACCTCCTCCAGCAGCTCTGGCCTGAAACTGGAGATGGAGATCTTATCTGGAGGCATGAGGGGAGTGAGGGTAGGATCGATGCCGCTTGCAGCATAAGCCAGGCTGGGAAACACCACTGGGCCCACCAGCGGGGTGGGAGGATTCAGAGATACTACTGATACAAGGCCAAAGAGGGAAATTTATCAGTGAGGGTTGAGACGGTAGGTCAGTTGTATAAAAATGAAAAACTACAGGGATAAGTGCTTGGTTAGTCACCTCTCCTGTAGTCCCCAACAGGTGACAGCTCCACATTATTCGTTCTTGAGTGGTTCACACTGTGAGACAGGCGGCTCTCCACCATGGAGGCTGAAAAACATTTCACAATACTTTTTAATCATCAATCCCAGGGGCAGAACATCTGGACAACTTATGCTACACCAGGGATGTTCTAGTTGAAAGACTTGCGAGATTCAACCCAAAGTCCCCTCCCACTGCTGCTTGCTGTTGTATAAACAAGAGGGACCAAGGTCCAGGGAACAGAGGAGCCCACCTTTCTTCTTCTTCCTTAAGTGTTTCATGACAACGAAGGCCAACACTGCCCCGGCCACAAGAGCTGCAAGGATCCCCAGAACAATGCCCACCATGTAGTGGTTGCTGACCCTCACCACCACACCAACGTTGTGGACCTGTCCGTTGATGGAGATCTAAAGAACAGTCCATCAAATGGGGTGAAAACTTATGATACTGCATTATTACCACTCTGAGAGAAAATGTAGCATCTCAGTTTATTTTCTAGCTGCTCTTAAGGAATATTCCGGCATAATATTAATTCAGGGTCAAACCCCCCCCCAGAGATGAATGTTCTTGTCCTGCTGTAGTCCATATATACTGGCCCAAGGTCTCGCTACAAACAAGCAGCTGCCGGAAGAGAGTAGGTGAGTTGTGTTTAGTCTCTTTGCTAAAGAAATCAGGCAAAGTTAAAAAGATGTGTGGTGGCTAGTTCTATGGCTGGGACCCTATATGTACTGTACTGTGGCGATAGAGTGGCATTTTGGTTGAGGTTTGTTTGTGGCTCCTCAGACTGCTGTGTATTGCTATCGTACAGTTGTTACTAAAGTTGGTTTAACTAGAGAAGCAAGCAGTCAGTAACAATCATCTCTCAAGGGGATGTCTAACTCTGTGTTACGGTGTTTGACTCTCGATAAATTTAACGCCGGAATATCCCTTTATTTTGAAGGCAGTATCAGTGTGTATTTGACTGCCATCCAAAGGCTGCTTCACAGTGCAGCCAGAACAATACACAATTAGATTAGACTCCTGTTACATGCTGGATCCAGGTACATCAGCCAGTCATTTATCATCTTTACCTTCACAGGCAAGCCCTCACTGGGGATTGTCATGTTTTTGGGTATCCTGCAGGTGATTTCATTATCCAGGACTTTGGCATCACAGTTGACACCAGCCACAGTCATAATGATGGTCATGCAGGAGCTCACCAGATTCAGCTTTTGATGCTGTGAACAGAGACGTAAATCAGGGTGGAGCATTTATGATGGTTTTCATCCAAACGCATATAGCCTTACAACTATCTCTTACATGCAATGAGACTTCATCAAATCCGGGGTACAAACTCAGCACATGACCCTCAGTTTCAAAAGGTATGGGCTCGCCGTAGGGGTGGTAAGAGAACTCTTTGTTCCAGAGCCCCAAAGCCCCGTCCATGTCAAAAGAAAGCTCCCCCTCCTCTGTTTCGTCTCTGTGAAATACAGGAGAGAAACACTCCATCCTTGTAGGCAGAGACTTGCCTATGCACTCCTGAAAAACAGAGTAATCATACTTTAATGCCAAGCTCAAACTGTAAAATTAAAGCCGAGGAAACTACACTTTGAATGAATTAGCTTTAGCTTTTGAGTTTTTCCCATAGACTGTATATAGAATGGACGCCATCTGCCTCCTCGCTGGGTGAAGCCACCGCGAGAACAGCACCCTCTGGTGACGGGCTGCAGTATAGGTCATAAATCCCACCTCCGTCAGCCATCCTTATGGGGCTGTGGACAAACTTTAGAAAGTTATTACAAAGAATATAAATTTTCTCCCCCCGCTTGCGATGTTGACATGTAGTTACTGTCAGACTGGTTTGTGCTCAAGTCCTCTTTTTTTCTGTGCAGCTCTGTTTTTAAAGTTATTAGGGGGTTCATGTTTTCTATGATTGACACTTGATAAAGCCTATTGCCAGGGATTGCGTAGCTCACCCGGGGGATATGCTGTTTGAGTCGAGCGTCATAACAGCGACTCTCTGCGATTCTCCTGCCGAATGCGCACAACGCTACTGCGCAATGTTGGTTTCAGGAAGTGGAGAAAAAACGTGGAATTACCGAGAGCTTTTCGGCTTCAAACCCATATACCGGCAGAAGACGGAACCAAGTTGTCCATAGTATATACAGTCTATGGTTTTTCCCCATTACTACAAATACCGTACCCTTGTCACAGGTTTTAAGTGACTCTCATTAGGTTTGAAACGGATGATGGTGCGGTAAACAGAATCCAGGTTCTCCCCCTCAATCACAATCTTCGACCCCCTTTAACAAAAGCAAATGTTAAAGATAGTGAAGTGACATCTCAAGATACACATCAGTCTTTTGTACAAGAGGTCTAAGCGGCCTACCTGTCAAAACTACAGCTGGGCAGGACAGCGGTAATCTTTGGGTTTTCTTTATAGTAAAACACCTTTGTGGTGAGAACAGGGGACTTGTCGATGAAAACACTCAGAGGAACGTCCCTCACCTCTGAGATTTGCTGGGTCAGACAGATGATGGAGGACACATCCCCTTTAGGCTTTGTGACACTGTAATGAGAGAGAGAGAGGTTAAGTGAGTAGTTGTAAAAGTTAAAAGCTCTCCAAGCTTTGAAATATGCTTTTGTGTTCAGTTATATAACAGAAGAAAAACTGCAGAAAATAGCAGCATTCTTAGTCATGGCAAGGTCCTCCCAGGACTTAGCCAGGAGTTTCTCAAACCTTGATTGTAAATACAAGTGGTAACATGTTTGCCTCATCATGGCAATAAAAAATGTTCTGAGCAGCAGCACTGACATCACATTTCAGTATGAGTAACTTTCTGGCTTACAGCATGTTTGGAAGTTAAAATGATAACAGATTAGATGTTATTCCAGACCTTTTTATTGGACATGGCACATCATTGAGCGTGACTTTTCTGGTCTTTCCAGCATCCAAATGAGGCCCAGTCACAGTGATGAGAGTGCCCCCAACACGAGGCCCATAGTTGGGCTGGATTTCTGTGATGTTTGGAATCTAATGGGACAATTTATTGAAGTGTAAATTAAGTTTTTTTTAATGCATCTGCTCATAAAGAGATACAAAGTATAAGCAGAAGAACTTGAAGGTTACCACAAATGTGAACCCTGGCAGTTCTGCCCTCCCGTCAATAGAGTAGCGACCATCCACCTTGCCCTCGTGGACCTCCACTGTAACATTGACGGGTTTTGACAGCTCAGTAGCACCAGAGCGAATCTTGCACACCAGACTAAAGAGAAGCAAGAAATTAAACTTTGGGTCAAATTAAAATTTAGAAACTAAAAACAGCATCAGGCAACATATTTTTTAATAAATGACAAGTGTTTTCAGAGAACTAGTTTGTCAGTGAGTCTGTAAAAAAAACTGCTTTAGAGGTAAAAAGCACAGTTTATTTTCACTCAGTTTTCTGGAAACTTCTAACTAAAAAAAAGTTACTTCACAAGTAGATTACAACTGGAATGGAGGACAAACTCTTCATCGACACTCACTGTGTGATATTACTTTTGGCTGCAAGCACAGTGCAGGTTGTCTGACCCAGCCGAACCAGGTGGGTTCTGGAGGTAATAGCAGGTCTTAAAGGAGACTGGAACTCCCACCCACACACCATTAGCTCTGTTTGACCATCAGGGGGAGCAGTCCGTGGAAAGAACTGCGTCAATAAAACAGAATATACAGTGCCACCTTAAAATGCATATTGAGTGGCACAGACCGGTTTTTAGAAAGCCTTACAAAGCAAATCTCACCCCAGAGATCCCTGGTGGGCAGGACTCGTTCCTCCAGCGACTGTTGCATTCACTCTCCCAGGAGCACACTCCAGAGCACCAGCCACAGCCCATAAACTTAGGGGCTGTCAGGCACATAGCGCAGGTCAGGAAGTGTTGACAGCCCGGTCCTCTCTGAGGCACCTGGAACATCTGACAAGGAGAGATTAAATGATTTCTCAGGCCATGAAATCTTCCTTTAGAGACAGTTAGCCTGTGCTGTTTCATTATTCATGTGCTTGTCAAGCTCCTGTGACAGAAATCTGCTAGTTAGGGCCACTGGGCAAACACACCGAGGCACTGGACTCGATACAAAAATGCAGGGGCCAGTATTGTTAAACTGTGGATTTTTTCTTATTCCTCTTCTGGACAAATTTCGATTCACTACTAGTCCTACAGCTTGAAGAGTTGTAGGACAAATTACATATCAAAACGTGTGTTCCATTACTTTTCTTGGTAGTGAAAAAATTTTCGCAAGGTTAGTAGCAAAAAACTGCAGAAAAAAATTGCATTGAAGAAAATGGAACAAGCCCCAAAAAAGAGCAATTATTGGAGTATCACCCCCACATCTAAGACTGATCACACTCCGCTGTATCTATACATATGTAATCCAACTATTTATTTAATATCTGTACATATTCCTACTCATACTCTTAAATATCTTACTGTTTTTATTCGTTAACACACCCACTGTTTAATAGCATTTCTCTTTTCCACACCTGCACTAATCAGTATACTGTATATATAGATAATATACATAATTAGATATATTTATTTTTGTTGTATAGCCTATTCATACCTGCAGTCACCAACACTGTTTTTATTCTTTTTAGCATATTCATCACGTATATATATTATATATTTAGTTCATACCTGCACTGCCCATATGTACATACCTTGCACTTTTCTACCTTGCACTTCTGGTTGGACGCTAAACTGTATTCCGGTACTTGTACTGAGTTCAATGACAATAAAGTTGAATTTAATCTAATCTAATCTTATTTCAAACATCTACTGCTCTGGTTCTGTTTTTTTTTTCTGCTGTATAGATAAATACTTTAAGAAGGAATGTTTGTCAAAGATGAGCTCCTTGTATATAATATCCCAATGCTACTAGTATTAATTATTTAAAATCTCTGAAGAATCTCATCATAATGTAAACACCCTGGCAGTAGCCCCCACAGCCTTTTCCAAATTTCCCAGAGGTAATTTTCTAGTATTGACTTTGCGCCCCCTGTGAACAACGTCAGCCGTCTCATCTCTTTGTTCATTTCCTCCTGCACATGTATAAGGTGTGTTTTCCATAAAAAATCTCATCCTGTTCTTTAAAAACTTAGAGGGTGTCAGCGTTTTTGTCAACAGTTTTGCTTACTATTGGCTGATAAAACGTCCGTAATCTGTTTTATGAACAACAAGAAAACTTTCCACAGGGACTTAAAATAATCTGAATGGAAGGTCTTAGTTTACTCCTTCATAATTCATGCCTTTTTATGTCAAGGGACAGATGTAAGTTGATACCGGGCTTCATTCAGCACCGGACTGCTCATATAAAGGTCAGCGCTTTTTGCTTGAAATAAGATCTAACACAAACAGATAATCAGAAAGAAATAGGAAAAAAATACTCTACATTTACATGACATGGTACTATCCTAATCAAACTTCAGCAATATTTAACTTCACTGCCTAAAAAATGTTCAGCAAGGTTAGAGAAGATGTGTGACATGTTACAAAAAAGAGGTCCTTTCACGTGCATATCTGTTAAAAGCTTATAAAAGTCTGCTTCCTTTTCTGGTTGTGCCTCAATAAAAAACAACTTTCCCATGTGATTACTGCTCCAGTATCAGCCTCCAATATGAACCCTGCCCCTCCAAAGTTATCAAGTGCATTGATTTTATTTTCTTAATCATTCTTCAGGTCACAGAAGTCACACCATATCCTAGCATGCACCGGGGAGAGGGCAGGAAATCAACCCCTTTAGGGTCTCCAGAGGACCACAATGTCATTGACAGAATATCAATCAGACTCCCAACTCATTTGCAACTACAATATAATGAAACCTGCCTGTCTTTACACTGCATGATAGAAAGTTGTCACACAGAGACGCCCTATCAGGAGGAAATGAAATCCACCAAGTCCTTATCTGAGTTCATAAAATGTTTCACAGCTTATTTCTCTACTGTAATTGAAGACACATGGTATGGGTCACTTACCTTATCTCCAACAACAAAGAGGAGATACTCTGATGAGTAAACAGCAGCAATAGATGATACTCTCTTGTTCTCAACCAAAGAGTAATTGGCAAAGATTATTGGGCTGGATCTCGTCAATACCAGCTGCCAACACAGACATAACAAATGATAGTGAGGAGCAGTTCATATGCATTAGTCAGGTGGAGACAGGGGCAATGACAAACTAAAGGTTAAAGCATGCTGAATACCTGCAGCAGGCGTCCAGTAGATGTGCCGATATGAGCCACGGTCTTGTTCTCTATGGTCGTGACCAAAAGAGATGTGAGCAGGATGTTTGTCATCTGCCTGTTGAAGAGGTCCACTCTGTAGTAGGGCTTTGATACCATGGTAGGGTGGTCTCTACATGTGGGATTGTTCTCCATGCTCTGGGACCAAATCCAGACATAGCAGAGGGGGATCAAAATGAGACAAGAGAGAGAAAAGAAGTTTTATAAAACAACTGAACATCAGGTGATCGTGCCAACAGGGACCAGCAACGGCTCTTACCTCCTGTAGTGTACTTTTTTATTATTCCCATAATAAAAAATAAAAGGGTTCAGTCTAACTAAAGAAGTACACTAAACAATCAAATCCCAGGCTCAAGTGGATAAAGCAGTTTCAAAACAAATCCTATTACCTCCTGCTAAGGATTGTGAAACAGTAGAAAGCTCCAGAGGAAGTCAACAGGTAGAGTGCAACACTGATAGCGATTAAACATTATTCAGAGATTAAAGCTGTGTTGACACAAGTCTCTAATGGTAAGCAGATGTATGACAACACCACGTTTCCTCTATGCTGCTTTAAAACCAAACCAGAGGCTTAATCTGACACCCACGCAAAGCTTCCGGCACCCAGTCTGATTCATGAAGTACTTTGAATAAGCTGGACGACTCAAGGTGGATGCTGTGATGAGCTCTAAGATGACAATATTTTCTCCTTTAAATTCTTAAACCTGAACCATGACAGGCTTGGGTATTTGTTTGAATGTCATATTGGTGTGATCATTTTGTGATCACGTGGGTCATAATGAGTGATTCTTATGCTGCAATATTAACAGAGGGATTACTTTGTAGCTGTAAACACGGAGCGGGGTGGAGCTCAGTATGATTACAGGGAGTCTTTCTGTAAACACTACTCGATATTACCAATACTAATGCATAAGAAAAACAAGAAATTACAAGCAGAGTATTTTTTCCAGGTAGTTTTTAAAAGAAAGAGGAAACTGGACACTACACAAAAGAATGCAAAAGTTACTGGGAGACATGAATCTGTCATAAAGCCTCATGAAAAACTAAAAACTGAATTAATTAGGTTTTTGATCTGCAGAGCTTAAAAGAAACTAAAAGACAAATTAAAATCAGCTTTTACTCAACCCTAAAACTCAAAGTCCAATGATCTCCAATCAGAAATTAATATTTGACTAACTTTAAGACACACCCTATACTTTATAAATGTGGTCATGAGGAAATCACAAAGTCTCAGTTACCTACAAAGAGTAACGTTGCTGGACAACATTGAGACAAATGGCTATGCACCAAATTCTTACCCAAAATATAGTTTTAACAAATGCTGAACCAAAGCATGTCAGACATGCATTTACTCCCATCGAAAATTATGTGATTTCTCACTTAAATAACAACATAACAATGCAAGAAAGCATACTATGTACCAATGGCGCTGATGGAAGATGCGATCTTTGAAGAAACCGGAGCACCACAAAAAAATCTATAGATTTCACTGACTCAACATTCAGACCAGCAGCAAAAATAAACAAACTACAAGAAGTTTTAAAAGAAAATATTGACAAGTTCAAGTGGAAAGGACTTCATCTTTCAAAAGAACCTACTGCATCCTTAAGTGTGCATCTCTGTTAGCCATATATGATTAAGTCACATATGTTTCCCAGAATATCTTTGCATTTTTTAACAGCCTAACCAAACAGGAAAAAATTAAGATAAAATTGAAAAGGCACTGTAGAAAACATCTAAGTTATCTCAATGATTAAATGGCAGTTTTCTCAATAAAGTTAACTACATATGGCTTAAAACATTACAAAATACACACACCATGCAGTGTTTCTAGTTAAAGGAGTCAATCTTTTGATGCTATAAATATCTCATTTCCACGAGGCATCCATCCAACTTTTTATTATTTCAATCCTTGATAGTTGTGTGTACAGTGACTCACCCGTGATCATTTCTCCATCCCAAAGCTATTTTTATCTTGACAATGGATTAGAGTAGTTGTACTTTCACTCCTCTACAGGCTGATATGCAAATAATCTTCATGGTCTGCAAGGTTTCCATTCACAGGCAGGTTGACAACAACAAAAACACCCTACAACTAAAAATAGAGACTGGCCACAAAGTACAAGACCATTCAGGCTCCAAGTGGAAATTTAGATGTTTTCACTAAATTATCCCATAACTTCAGCCTGACTGGCCCGACATCAGTTTAGCATGGAGAAAAGGTCAGAAAGGGTCATTTAACCTAAAATGTTTGAAAACAGCTTATCGAGAGGTAAACGAGAGTAGCAATCATTGAAATGACTGCACTGGAAAGTATGAGGCTTGAGCAACAGGCAGTTTGTTCCGCAAGGCATGGAGGCAAAGAAACAACAGCAAGCCTGCCTCCAACTTCAGATCAAAAAATATCACCCAACAGCACCTAGGAAGATCACTAATTACAGCTTACCAATTTAATCTCCACAGGTCGTGTGACGACCTCACAGTGACGTCAAGTAGAAAAGAAAAGTATTCCTTCTGGCTAAGTGCTAACAAGATACAGCGTGTTCATTAAAGCAAGAGCGTTGCTGCTGTTTTTCTTCTATGATTTTTTAATGTTACTCAGAAAGGCCTGGCAAGCTGTTTTCTCAGTTTCAAGATACTAATTTATTTTCAGCTCTAGCTTCTTCTTGCACAAGCATACCAACCTTAGTGTTTGTTGTATCCAGTGCTCAGCAAGAAACATGTTTTTTTCTGGAAATTTTTAGCCATCCTTTTTGTTTTTGTTTTTTTTTTTTTTGTTAGTTTTTTTTTTTTTTTTTTTTTTTTTACAAAATAATGCACCAAATAAAGAAGTGCACATCTGTAATGTATGACTATACTAAAAATATCAAATTTAATTCACATTTCTAATGAGTGGTATCACCAGAAATGTGTATAACTCTCCCTGCTTCTTTGTGTTTGCACACATAGAGGGAACTCCCAAGAAACACAGCTTTTGATCTTGATTTTGCTTTACATCCTCATACAACGTTTTGTGACCTGGGATCGCATTAAATCCTTGACCTGGATTGGCCTGAAGGTCTTACCTCATGTGGACAGCTTTCACAGGGCTGAAAATGGCAGAGCCCTCTGGAGAGCTGCTCTGGTCCAGACTCACAGCAGTCATCCACCCCATCTGCGATTGCTTTGTTCACATTGTCCATGGGGAAGGCGCACAGGGCCGAGTCGTGCTCAGTGACTCCATTGTCATGAGTAACTGCGAATACCCCGTACAGGATGTCATCTTCCTCCTCTGCCCCTAGCTCCTCTGCCAGCTCCCTCCCAGCCTTACCAAAATGGGCTGCCTGAACCACATTGTACACCACATCCTTATAGGGTTCACTGGCAATGTTCCTCCTGCGGCGTTTGGGTTCAAAGCGACACTCTAGGATCACCTCACGATACCTCTTCATCTCCCATTCATTCCGCGGGAGACGGCCCAGACGGGTCTGAAATGGAGATGAGCCTTGATCAGGGCTCTCTCTCTGAACTGAGAGGAAGTAGACAAACTCCTGCGTGAAAAAGCTGTAGACATAATCGATATGATATGTACTTCGCAGGACTGGTAGAACCGTCAGACCACGCACATCACTATAGAAACCATCTTCTGTTGCCAGTGGACGACGCACCGATAAAGATTTCCTTCCATAACGCTGGGTCACGCTGTCATTGACAGTTGTGGCCACAAAGAAGTAGACAGTCTGGCCCTCTTCAACCATTGTCACTTTGGTACCCAGAGGACTAGCCACACAGTCAGGACAGTAGGCAGCTGAGTTTGACTCCTTTCTGAACAAACACTTAGAGAGAGAAGGCGCCTCTCCATTTGAGGTAAGTTGGTGGAAGTAGCATACACCATACTGAGAACTTCCACAGGAATATAAATACATGAAAAGAGTATCCAACAGCAGGACCTGGTTGTCTGTGTCCTCCAGGAAATTGGACCCTTTTTCAATTTCACACAAATCGCATATTTGACACTCTGGGCTTCCTACCGGCCCAGTGCGGAGCTCCCACACCTTCTCCAAGCTTCTGTTGACCGCTTCAATCACATTCTGAGAGGCAACATACACCTCCTGATAAAATGAGTTGTTGACAATGTTCTGGATGGGGCCCTTGGCCTGGAAAAAAGGCATGGTGTAAACCACTGAGTAGTTGACGGAGCTGGGGGCAAGTGAGGAACAATTGGCCAAGGCAAACGCCAGCAGAGTCTGGAGCCAGGCACATGTCCCCCACTGTGTGGTCCAGTGGACCATCTCCACGAACGCAAACAAGGGTGGGTAACAGCACGGGTGATGTGGGGTTACCTCCAGGGCTGTTCTTCAGACCAAATCATCCTGACACCAGCTGCTGACACCTAAATGAGGAGAGATGACAAAGTGGGGTATTCAATCCATGCATCCTTTTTAACTCTAGTGTAAAAAAATATATATAAACAGATCTGAAGCAATAATTCAGGAGTCTATGCAGAAGTATTAATCAAAAAAGCAAAAAGTTCAGCCGTTGGTATACTGAAATGCACTGTATGGTTTCATTCAGTAATTGATTAATGAACAAAACATGTAGACTGGTAGCTTTTAGGTCTTTTTGATAAGCTACAGCCTAAACCTCATGGCAACTATGTCAGAATCAGAATCAGAATTTCCTTTATTGTCATCATACTAAAAGTACAACGAGATTGAAGAGCTTCTGCTATCCAGTGCAATAGACAAGTAAAAAGAGGGTAGTAAAAGTACAAATAGTTGTAAGAAAGACGGTGCTATATATACAAGACAAGAATTCTACAGAACAGTAAAATAAAACCTATGTATAAGAATAAAATGGAAAGATAAATACTGAAGAGAATTATTTAATGTTAATGTCAATCTAATCATTAACACTCTTTATTATCTTTAAACTTTATCATCACTCAAGATGAACCTGGAATTTTTGAATTTCTCACATCCATGCCTTTCAAAACAAGCTGGTCCATTTTCCAAATCTCTAAACAGCCTTTCATCACACAAAAAGTGTCTGTGCTTCTTAGATTGGTATATCTTTCTATTCTCTCTTGTGGTTGAATGGTCCGATATAATAAATAACATTTTGGAAAAGCCAAATAATGATAAAAGCATATGTGGTCATTGAGTTTGAAGCTTCCTGACCCACCACAAACAATGATAGGAAGTGTTTACATGATCAAACTGAGCTCTGTCTTTGTGAAGGTAAGCACAGTTGCTCGTGGATAAATTAAGTTCAAGTTCACGTAGTCATCTCCCAGTTTGTTTCTAATCTGGTTGACCCAATATCCTATCTATTTTTCTCTGCCAAAGCGATGGGACCTTATTGCACCAGCCTGTTGTAAGCTCAGTCTCAACACAACAACCAACATATGGAACCATGTTTCAAAGTCAGAGCCTTTACCCCATCCTCAACAGACGCTGTTTGGTGGATCATTAACTAGAAACATCACAGTAAGGCCGTTCTCAAGAGCCTCGGTCTCCCTACTTTGCATTCCTGTCACAACCACTACGTGCCTTACAGGGTAAAAGATGTGCACGGACTGATGGTCATAAGGCATCATGTGTCTTATTAAGTCCTAGGCAAAGAAGAAGAAGAAGCAGCTCCTCGGTTCATGTAGGAGAACTGAGATTTAACTTTGATTGTTTTAAGTAGCAGCAGAGATTATTCCTTAGAAAAATTATGAAAGGAAATCAACCATTATTGTTATAAGTAGTCTTTTCGAAAAACTCACAGTGAAGATTGAAAGTCCTGACATGAATTATTCACAGAGCGCCATTTGTGTAGTGTTACTTTTTAACATTTGCAGCTCCATGTGACACTGAGGTTAGGGTAGGAGGACATGAGTATACATATTAATGGCACTGATTGACACTTTCATGTTCATGGTTAATAAAGCAAATGGTTGAAATTGGGTTTCCAGTCATGGTTCACAGTGCTATTTAGAGGATGGTCAGCTTTTTGTATCCTTATATCCTTAATGAATGAAGGGTTAAGCAGTTCGTTGTAGAAACCAGATTTCTTGGTGTAATGAGGACAAAAAAACTCACATCAGGGGATTCAGATTTATTGTGAATATTTACATTCAACATCTGTCTCCTGGTTTTGCGTTATATCTCCAAATATACACCAAACATCTTTATAACAACTCACTCTGTCAATACTCTTGAGGACTACAGTGAAAAGGATGGAGATGTTGCACAACTACACTGTAGCATAGAGCTTTTTTACTGAATCAGTGCCTTGCACACAGACACTTTGTTAGACATTAATTAGAGTTAGGATGTGCACCTCTCTTTCAATAGTCACTGCACAGAAATCCACAGGGATATGAGGAGGTAATCTGTTGTGCGAACAATCAATATTCAAAAAGAATTGTACCCTGAGGACTCAAGTATTGATTTGAAGGTGGATTAAGCCTCTCAAACCAGGTACTAGCACCACAACCAAACAGTGAAGAGACACAGCATCTATGTGGTTTATTTGAAAATTTATAGAAAGGATTAAGATTTGTTTCACTACTTTTTCCTGTAACGATTCAAAACTAATTCAACAATTTGAGACGAACAAAATCAATTGTAATTTATTTTTTAATTCAGTTTTTTAACCTTTGTTGGTGCAGGTTATTCACTTATGTATCTTATCTTAAACAGTCTTGCCTATTTATTGTTTTATTGTTTGTGTCGTGTTTCAAATTCTAGCTTTCTGTTACACCATGCGATGTTTTTTCCCCTCCAGTACACACATAGGAAGATGTTTGACTCCATCCTTTACCAGATCAAAAAAGATTAGAGACAGAGGCGCTGTGAGCATCAACAGTGGCTGCCTTTGGCCACGGTGGTCTATTAGTCTGCTGAAAACAAATCCAGTTAGAGTTGTCATCTATAATAATATTACACTCATTATCAGTGAAAAAGTAGAGGCAAGAGGCAAACAATCACCTGGTTTGACACACATCACACAGGGCCAAGAAATCTACCTGTTTTGGAAACTACAGTTCTGTCAGGACCTACACTATGATAAACTTACTCAAGAGAACTTTTTCATTAAAGTTATGAGATGGAGTAAAAGTACCCTGGTATAGTATGTGAATCTGCAGCTCTACCGCTGTCACTGCTGTTTGTCAGCTTGTGCGTTTTTGTCATGATACGTCGCTCTACTAAACTCAAACTGAGGGCAATCTTAGCAGGTCCGTTTCACTTTTTCATGTACAGTATGTAGCTGGAGGGTGTAAAGGAAAGCTTACCTGCTCAGGTTAGGGAACGTCCTCTTCAAAGAAACAACCAGCAGCAGCAGCTCCGGTGCTTTTCCACCCACAGACAGCAAGGATAGCTGATCTTTCCCCTGACAGAGAACACGATTACACGGTTAAATTAAGTTCCTCTAAAAGTCTAACTCTGCCCGTCCATACAAAGTACCGAGACGACCAATTTGTGTTAGTTTCGGATTTAACTTCCAGTATGAGCCTGACGAGTGATGGCGCTCCAGCTCGCTCCTCCCTCCCTCCCTCTCCACCGCAGACTGTCAGAGGAGCAGCTTCCAACCCAATTATACCATAACAAGCCCACGCGTGATCTGTTTACCCACCCGAGACGGTGGCAGGTACACGACACCATGATTTCACAATAACAAGCACAATTTTTGCTACTATTAAACCGACTTGTCTTAATGACCTCGCACATCAGCTGTTACCAGTAGGCAATAGCTGTGTTGTCAATACTGTTATGAGGCTTTTACTCACATTTTAGGCTACTGCAAGAATATCTATGTAGTAGCAAGCTTAACTGTTGTATTTTCATGCGGTATTAAAGTATCTTTGTTTTTGTGTCTCTTTGTTTTATCTATCCATACTTTCTTTCTGTTTTTCCTCTATGCTACGGTGGCCGAGAACCGCCACTGCTGCAAATAAAATTCATAAATAAATAAATAAATAATAAAAATAAAAGAGTGCAAAAAAAAAAAGAAACCACAACAGAAGTTACTGATGCAAAAAAAAAAGAAATGGTGCATATATATATATATATATATATATATATATATATATATATATATATATATATATATAGTTAATGACCCCCCCCAAAAAAAAAAAAAAAAAAAGTGGTGATGCAAAAAAAAAAAAGTTACTTACTTTGAAAATAAAATGATGCAAAAGAAGAAAGCCACAACAAAATTGAGCTGCCAGGGACCAATAACAATGATGCACCGGTGTTTTACGATCTAGGCAAAGAAAGCGACGGCCAAAAGACAAGCAAAGAAGTTAGCCGAAAGGTTATTGTTTAATTCCGCTTTGTGTTCTTTTAAATGTGTCATTTGGTTAGGCCATGTAGCGCCTGAGTCGGTATGAAGTGGAACTGGAGGAAGCCGGTGTAGTGTTGGCTTCAGTTCAACTTTATATCGACTCAGGCACTACATGGCCTAACCTAATGACACATTGAAAAGTACACAAAGCGGAATAAAAGCAATAACCCTTCCACTAACTACTTTGCTTATCTTCTCACTGTCGTCTTCTGTGCCTAGATCGTAAAAAACACCGGTGCATCATCATTATTGGTCCCTGGCAGCTCATTTTTGTTGTGGATCCTTTTATTTTCACTGTAAGTAACCATCTATTGTGACATCTTTTTTTTTTTTTTGGCATTCATTTTTTATTTGCAGCTGTGGCGGTACTATTCCACTTTCCTATTGCATACAGCATGGTAGATAGCTGTTCCCCACTGAGACTCGCCCTGCTCCAGGTTGATGGGAAATCTTTCCCTGATACTGCTGACAGGTGTTCACTTGTGATGGATTAATTAATTTATGCCACCTTGTAAAGCACTTTAACTTCATATTCTCCTCTTTCCTACTGTGCTACACTCAACAGCTTGTGTCACCAAGCGTTTCCCTATTATTTTGGCAACAGACCAGCCTGTCAACTGCCCTATCCTATGATGGTCCACTGAACATTTATGACAGTACACTATACAAACACATTCTTTAATAAATCTGGCAAACAGACATAAGAAAATAAATGGACAGTCTATCATGTTTTATATAACACTAATGCTAAAGCAAAGATATCAAGTTGGTGTTTGTTCTCCAAATCTAACAGCAATGTCAGAATAAATCAGGACAAGGAACCAGTTAAAGAGCCTTTTAATACTCAGTTTATTTATTTATATATAATAATTGTTCAATTGCAAAGCAGCCATAAATCTGCATGTACAATTTTACAATTCTTATTGGCTTTGGAAAAAATAACTCAATTTAAGGCATGAATTTAAGGCATGATTAGCAGAGGCAGATGTGGCAGCATGGGACTCCCCAAGTCAATCAGGATCCATGAAATACAGCAAAACTTGATTAGGCAAAAATAGATAAAAGATCACACAATACTTTCTCAGTTGTGATGCTTATTGTAGAGATTGAAACGCATGTTAAGACAACTTCTAACCGACACAAGTAGACTAATGGACATAAATTTAGTTACATTAATATTACATCATACACAGTGAAATGACAGCAGTAAACAGGTTAAGGATTTATGAACACATTTTCCTTGGAGTGCCTTTTGCATGTAGAAAGTGCATGAAAGTAAAATAAAAATGGTTCATACAGTAATTGGTCATTATGTAAGCAAAACACAGACACAGGAATGTGCTGAACCCATATTTTGACAGCATAACATATACTAGAGATACTATTCCTGCGCAGGTCCTCAACAGGTTCCAGTTTTCTTTATTTAACTTCTGTTCTTGACTTATTTTAGGATCTAAGCATTGCATTAAAAAAAAAACATAGACAGCATTTATCTTAGTCCAAAAGGCATGTTAGGTATGTTACAGTAAAACAATGATGCATTTATAACAACTTTAAAAGCAAACAAACAGCACAGAATGTTGCAGTTGTATTGCAACCCATAATGATGATGCTCTCCCATCTGTTGTAATCATAATTTTTAAGTAATAAAAGCGAGCCAAATAAAACACTGCTGTAACCCACCCTGACTGCATGATCCACCTCATCCTGAATCTGTAAGTAAGGTCATATAAACTTGGTGGCACGAATAAAGCTTAACTTTTCTGAACACTGGACTGACTAGTGCATATATAGTGCTGTTGTCAAGGCTCAGTATGTGAGAGGACTTAGGATGAAGAGGCGGTCCTCCTCCTTCCTGATCCACTTGAGCAACTTGGTGACAGCAGAGACAGCTAAGGCCTTGGTCCCAAGCGGACTGAAGCAGAGGTAGAGCTCGAAGCCACTGGTCACCTACAATAATACAATTAAACACGTTCATTGTTGTTGGTGGGTGATGTGTTTTATCAAAGTTATATCTACATTTTTCAGTTTTCATGATGCATAAAAAGTGCAAAAACAAAGTGCTAAATCACTTTGTGTTGGAGCAAGTTTAATTTTTTTATGACCAAGCCTTTGCTGACCCTACACAACTTTGTAGATATTTCTCCTCATCATAACTTTACAGAAAACATTCAGCACTGCTGTTGTACCCTTAGGCCCTCCTCACACGAGGACGGCCCCGTATTGTCTTGACGTCGGCACCAAAACATGTATCGCTGTTTACACATCGTATTGTACATAGGCTTAGTGCATTTCCATGACAACGCAAAATCCTCGCAAAATCCTGTAGTACATACGCCCGTCCTAAAAGTGACACTGTGAAATTGCCACAAAGCACCAAAAACAGAGAATGAGCATGCGCATACATACATACATGCTGTGTGTGACAACGTGGGTTGGGGGGCGGGGAGGAGGAGGGGTGCTATGAGGTCACCGTCTTTTCCGGACTTATCTATTTACACCAACGGCGGCATGAACACGAATACCCAGAATTCCAAATGCAGACCCGTTTTCAAAAAAGATGCGGAGTCATGGACAAATACGCGTCTCCGTGTGTCAATATCACCAGATCGATAGTTTATTTTAACGGTGTCTTACAAATTCGTACTTGTGTAAAGACCACCTTAGCCAGACTTACCCACGCCATCAAATTTTCACTTTCAGTACAGCGATACAAGGAGCGGAGAGGTCTGGTTGGATGGTGTAAGCGGCTGTGAAGGTCCTGATACAATCCCATCAGCCTTTCCTGCTCTTCATCAGTCTGATAAACTACAGGATACGCAGGGCTGTGGGGAAAAAAATGAGGTCACAGTGAAATGCAGGACATAAATATTGACATCAAAGAGGAACTCTGGGAGTCCAACATGGCAGAAAATGAAATGACACTTCAAGACATTTCAAGCGTGTTTCTACCTTAAATAAACAAACAAACAAACACTAAATTCAGCACAAGGACAACCCTAAACATCTTTAAGTGGCCAGCCTACTCACCTGGTGTACAGCCCTGAGCTCTTTGATTTGTACAGAAAATGCCTCAGCTCTGGGATGCCGACTTGCTCCACAGAGTAGCTGGGACACTTCAGGGCTTCTTTCAGGGACTGGTAGGCGCTGCGCTTGTTCAGCCTCTCCAGAAACCGCTGCTTGCAGTCGGACATGTTAAAAAAGTCCTCCCGGTCCGTTGATACCAGTATGAGGCAGAGATCAGAAGCAGGCTCCAGATAAGAAATGTGAGCATGAAAAAATCCTGCAGTGTTGAACTTTGGCAGACATATGGGGGTCCAGCCTTCACCCTCCCGAAAGGATGATGAAGAGCCTACAAGGTTGAAGACCAGGTTCAAGTCTATGTGGTGCAGGAACTGGTCCTTTTTCCTTACCAGAGTAACCAGGCGATCCCCTGCCAGCAGGATGGAGAACACCAGGTTTTTGGCTTTAGCAGCCTGTAGGCTCGATGACACCACGTCCCTGGTGGAGCTGGGCAGAGGCAGGCAGGTGACGGCACTAAGCAGCAAACCAGGATCTCGATCCAGCCGGTGCAGGAGGTTGTCGGTGAGATATTCTGAGCCCGCCAGCAGGCGGCGCAGGTCGTAGTTCTGCTTGTGCTGGAAGATGTGATTGAGCTGGGTGAGGGTAAGCAGGCTGACGATCTGGTAGTAGATGTACTGTAACTCCCGCAGGAGCTCTTTGTCCGACTGACAGGTGCGGGAAACACCCACCAGGACCAAAGGACTCTTGGCAAGGAATACCACTTTGCAGCCATCTGACACACAAAATGTTTACAGAGTTGACAAAGATTCAATAAACTTTCACGAAATGCATCTTGGACATTTTTTTTATCAGCTTTATTCTGACCTGCATGAATGGAGCGAATGATGTTCTTCTCTGCCTCAACAAATGATACCAGTGCCATCATCACCCCCATGGTGCTGGACAGGGCCTCCTCGGTGCCGTATCGGGAGTAGATTGGCTTTCCTGCCTCGCTTAGCACAAACACGTGTTTTCTGTGGCTTCTCCATGCTTCACTGGACACATCCTCCTCCTTTGTCCTGTTCTCAGAAGCAACATCATTGTTGTGCTGCTCCTCTATGCTTTTCTCTCCTACCAGCACCTCAAGCTCCTCTGCAGACTCTATGGGTTTGTCCAGTTGTGCCTCTCTCTGAATTAGTTCTTCAGACTCAGCAGTCAGATCTTCAAAGGACTGTGCACGGACAAACATGGCGCTCTTCTGACCAGCACCTGCATAAGTACAACATAAGTACCAAGAAAGTGAAGAGTAACTTCTAAAAACACCACAGAGCTCTGTTTTTCCATCTGTTTGGACCATGGAGGAAAGTCCTCAATGCCTAAGTACCAATTGTTTGATTGTTTGTTACACTTAGTTAAAAATCATTTCGTGACTGAATAAAATGCAAATTTAAGCCACATTAAAAGGGATATTCCGGCGTAAAATTAATTTTGGGTCAAACACACCGCAACACAGAATTATAGACACCCCCTCGAGAGATGAATGTTGCCGACCACTTGCTTCTCTAGTTATTCTTAATGGAAATGCAATCAGACCGAGACGCTAAGGCAGAGGAACTACAGTGTCTGCAGTGCAAAATGATTAATATGGTGATTATTACTTGATAAATTATAAAGAAATGACCATTAATGTTCTTCCTTGAGCTGCTTCACCACACAGCAGTCCTTAATGGACTGGCCTGAGGTCTCCGTACAAACAAGCGGCTGCTGGAAGAGAGTAGATGAGTTGTGTTTAGTCTCTTTGCTAAAGAAATTAGGAGAAGTTAAAAAGATGTTTGATGGCTAATACTATTATGGCTGGGATCCTATATGTATTGTTGATGAAGTTAGGTGCTGTTCTGAGCATTATTTGTGGCTATAAAGTGGCGTTTTGGGTGAGGTTTGTTTATGGCTCCTCTGACCGCCATGTATCACTATCCTGCGGTTGTTACTTAAGTTGGTATGACTAAAGAAGAAAGTTGGCAACATTCATCTCTCGAGGGGGTGTCTAGCTCAATGTTACGGTCGTTTGACCCTAAATTAATTTTATGCCGGAATATCCCTTTAAGAAAAAAAATCACAAACTCTGTCTGTAGCTTATCTATATTAAATAACAGAGCACTGATGAGTAGGACGAAACTAAATCTGAGTTGGGCTTGTTTAAGGAAAGACTGTCAAACCTGTATTTTTAAAAAAAATTACTCTGTTTTCAATGAACAAACTTCTGAATTATTTCTAAAGAAAACAAATGGGAAACAAGATTACAAAAGATCCACTATTATGGTCATATGTTCAACATTTCTTCACACAAACAAGATGTGCAGACCCACGATTTTGCCCTGTCACTCGCTCCCCCTCTTCCTCTTTCTCTCACTCTCTCTAGCACACACAGTCCTTGCCACAGGTTTGACTGGTTAAAAAGATGCCCATAAAGTACTCTGTAATAAAGATTTGTTGACAAAGAAGATCTGGATCTGGAAGTGTTGCAAAGTGTGTTGTTACTTTGCAACCACAAAGTACATAGACATCTTCTGTTTCTGAATTAAAAGAATTTCATAGAACCTGACGTGCAAACTGAGGGCAAATAAGGATAAGAAAGCAGAAAATATTACGCAATACTCGCACTTCCCAAAAGATATGTTACTTTAGATGCCACACAGTGGGATGACCAGTCAAACTGGAAGATGTTTCTATGGACACTGGTGTACTGTACACTTTATACTCGTGTACTGTAAACATTTTGGGTGTGTAGTAACTGTCACATAGAGGGCGGGCAATAAGGAAACATTACTGTGAAAGTCAAAACCACTGTCATAACCTATTCTGGTGCAACCAAATAAAAAGATTAAAAGCACAAATCAATAGTTCATACAGGAATGAATTTCAGTTGACTAAAGCTTTTGATCATAAATGGTCCAAACTTGTCATCAGAGTTTATCTGCAGATCAGCCAGCTTACAATCTTCAAGGAGTCCTGAATGGATCAGACTTACCCGGTTCAGTTCCCTCAACCAGACCTGGTGTGGGGCTGTCCGCTCGGTCAGAGCGGAGGTGGTCCACAGGAGCCAGAGTCCCATTCTCCCACGACACAGCCGCCCTCGGGGCTTCTGCATCCATCACAGCTACTTATGGCAAGAACACACACCTAGCAAGGGACAGAAACCTTAGGTTTGCAACATAATGAGTGACACAGATCAAAGATCAGGCTGTAGTTTCACTTGCCTTTTATAATGTTATAGCTCTCACTGCAAGAGTCATTACATTTTATTACCTGACTTTAACCTTTTTTCATGTTCAGAGACACTTTTGAACTGTAAACTAGCGTCGACCTAAATGCTAGAGTCTGCTACTACTCTGAAGGATTGAATTAGTAATTCCAGTTATATCACACTGACTTTGTGTTTACAACAGGCTTTTTAAAATACATTTCTCCAACCAAACCCATCCGTCTCAGATATACAGCTTCAAAGGTTACTTTGATCGCTAACTTCAGCAGATAATCAACCGCATCTAAAGCTAACTGTTAGCTGGGTTTGGTCAATCGCCTGAACTTTTACAAATAACTCGTGAGACACTCATAATTATTTCCCAAAGATTACCTTTCATTTCTGGAGCAGTCTACATATGTTCGTTGCGCTCCACAGCTTGCTTGACACATTTAGATCAACTTGCTAACAACCAAGGACAAGACAGTGCAAAAGTTCTTTTTCTTGCTAGTCGACATGCCCTGGTCAATTGCGGAAAAGTGAATTGTGGGATATGTAGTTTTATGCTGGATAATTATCAGGGACTATAAACAATGCGCTTTTGTCTTAATAAGGAGAAAACATTAATAAAAAGATAACATTGAAAATTGTTTATTTGTCTAAAACCTCAAAAACAAAAATAAATGTAAAATTTTCTCTGCTGTAGTGTTGTGTCATTAGCGAACGATTCGTTCAAACGAACCGAATCTTTTTAGTGACCGTACTGAACCGACTCACTTCCTTTAGTGATTCGTTCATTTCTCACTTCAGTTGAGCTGAAGTGAGAAACAGCATTCCCAGGCCAGCAGCCAAAGAATGAGGGACCACATGCATCAGGGTGAACGAATCACACATTCAACTACACTCTCTTGAATCATTTTTGTAGAACAAAACTGCCCTTTTTTATATATTGCTAAATTGCCACCACAACAACTTTCATACAATAGGGCACAGCAAGTAACAAGTAGTGCATTAAACCTGCAACATCCTATCATTGCAGCAGTTTGCGAGGGAAAGTTGCATGTTCAGTGTGAATTCTTCTAAACGTTCAGTGAATGAATCACTCACTGACCCCAATTTACCAAGCAGACCTTGTTAATAGCATACCATAGGACAGTACACTTTAAACATCATGATTTATAAACAAGTTCATTTTTACAAATCTGTTTGCCAAAGCAACACAACCAAACACTCTCGTCTCCCGGTCCCAGAAACTGAATCCTGGACTGTTCAGCTGTGTATCAGTTCAGGAGGTCGGAGTCACAGGCTTCTCCCGCAAACAGAGTCGGTGATTTGATGAACGAATCTTTTGAACGAATCTTTTTAGTGAACTGATTCTAGTGAATCAGTACATCTAAAAGAACTTCCGTGCCCATCACTACTGACATTAAGCTCGGTTCCTTTTTTATCTTGATGATGCATTTAAGTACCGGAGGAATAAAACAACAAAGATAATTTATAGTTAGGATAGTCGACACTCTCCGTTATTTGAGGCAAGTATAAAGAGTAAAGTATGGAGGATTATACTTTTAAATGCGTGAACTGTATATTATTTTTTGAAAAATTTTATTTTTAAACCAATATTGAGTCAGGTTATATACATTCTATGAGCACAAGGCGATAATTTAGAAGGAAATCTTATGCTCTGTAAGTAAGGTGCGATTGACCTAAAATAGTACTTGAGTTATTATATTCGAGCCATTCGTTTTAATAAAAAAATATTGTTATCTTACCATGAAAAACCGACATTAAGTTCGGTTCACTTTTTATCTCGATGATGCATTTGGGTACCTAAAGGAATAAAACAAGAAATATAATTTATAGTTAGGATAGTCGACACGTTCCGTTATTTGAGGCAAGTTTAAAGAGCAAAGTATGGAGGATTATATTTATAAAGGCGTGAACTCTAAATTAATATTCTAAAGAGGTTTATTTGTAAACTATTATTAACAAATAATAACATCCGCATGCAGTCAGTGGCCTAAACTAGCCAGGTTGATCCAGAGCACAAGCATAGGCGATAATTTAGAAGGAAATCTTATGCTCTGTAAGTAAGGTGCGATTGACCTAAAATAGTACTTGAGTTATTATATTCGAGCCATTCGTTTTAATAAAAAAAATATTGTTATCTTCCCATGAAAAACGTGAACATTGGCACTAAATGATTACTTCTCCAGGCTTACCAAAGTACTTGGGGATTCCGAGCAGCACCTGAACGCAAAGAGGGCGGGATTACGTTTGAATGTTAACCGCCGGGAAGAAGAAAACCAGCAATGGAGGAACAAATGTAGTTACGCAAACAAGAAACTGGTCCCTCTAATGGAATAGATATAGTTTTTAACTGTTAATTCACACAAAACAGGGATGCTTGATTTCAGCTCAGGATTGTACAGTAACTTTATGCCCTTGTCTCGTAAGTTATGCAACTCTTAATGCGACGAAAGGCAAAACTGTGTTAGCATAGTTTAGCGTTCACGGTACAGTCAGTTACGTGTTTGCTCTTGTCAGCATTAACCTTCGAACCTCAGCTAGACATGTAGTTTACACTGATGTAAATGGTTGTTCGTCTAATAACGTGTTTCGCCTTCCCGTCCATCTCAGGGTGATACAAATCCTAAAGGAGAATGCCGATCCGAGCTCAGTGCATCATTTGCTCGGATTTCTTCGATCACTCCAGGGATGTTGCTGCTATCCACTGCGGGCACACTTTTCACTATGAATGGTAATTCATTGATTCACAACAAACCTCACATCTTTACTGTTCTTCAGATGACATGTGGCTTGTTTTCCTTTTAGTCTTCTTCAGTGGTTTCAGACGGCCCCCAATAAAAGCTGCCCACAATGTCGAAAACAGGTAATGTAAAGTACTCTAAGCATCCCAACACCACCAGACTGATCTCTTATAGCTCTGCAGTGACTTTATTCAGTAGATCTTGAATATGTTTTTCTTTGTGTATAGGTCAGCACAAGACACATTATCAGTAAGCTGTTTTTTGACGTCGCTACAGAGGAGGAAAACTCACCGGACCCCGAAAGCCTGCAGGTACTACATTTAGAGTATTGAAGCAGTCTGGACTAGAACACATGATGTTACATAGATTTATCAGTCTTAATTGTGTGATTTTCATAATCAAATACTACAAATTGTGCTCCTTGTCTTGAATTCATTGTTATTCCTGATTTGTGTTTCATCTTTCCGTAGAATGAGCTTGATAGGGTGAAGGTGCTCTTAAGCTGTAAAGGTAAGAAATCTAACTATATTCTTGTGCAGAATTGTTTATAGAAGGCAGCACAACTTTTTCACTTGTTTTAATCTGTAGAACGAGACATGCGGGACAAACAGAAGACAGTGGAGGGTTTGAAGGACATCGTGGACAGACAGAGGAAAGAGCTGGACAGTGTGAAAAAAGAGGTTATGGAGAAGGAGATGCTCTCTTCTGCCCTCAGAGTAAGCTGCATGATCACTTTTGATAGAAGTCATGTTCTGTGCTGACTGACAGAATTATAATGTGTTTATTTGTTTTATCTTCTTACAGAAACAGATGGTATACTTAGAGACACAACAAAATGATGTTCAGGCTGCCAAAGAGGAGGCTAGACGACTCCGGGTCAAAATGAAAACATTTGAAAGGTAATTGTAGCAGTAACTGTCGTTTCACATTTAGTCCTTTCGGTTGTGCCATACTTTATATACCACAATGTATACTTTATTGAGAGAACTTGAAATCGTTTAAATAATCTTAAGTACCATAGTGTAAGATGTGCTTGTGTTGTGCACTCATAGATTGTTTTGCTCCAGTTTGGAGGTGTTGTTGCAGGGCCAGAGAGATGAGGTGGAGTCCATGATCACAGATATGGGCATCAGCCAGGCAGCAGTAGAGCAGCTCTCCATCTACTGTATTTCCCTCAAAAAGTAAGGTTCCTTAATGACTCTGGGTATATGTGTCATATTCTCACACCAGTCTCTGTGATTATATCTCCCGCTTCTTTGTTTCTAGTGAGTATGATAACTTAAAAGGAAGTCTAAAGTCTTCAAATGACATGTGTGATAAGCTGAAGAGAGAAGTGCTCACCACAAACAATAAGGTAACTTCATGTTAGTCTGTGGCATTACCCAGAGGAATCCATGGTTAAATGCAAATCCTCTAAATCAAAACCTTTTTTTTTCTGTTGAAGTTGCATAAAGCTTCACTGGAGGTTAATCAAACCAAAGATGAAATGAAGTCTTTGCAGAAAGACCTGTCCAACGCTGACAGCGAGATCTCTGTAAGAGAAATTCCTCTATTCAAGACTTGAAATGTCAGATAAAGTCAAGGTTGTGATTCTTACATGTTTGTCCATCCACAGAGTCTGAAGAAGAAAGTGGAGTTTCTTCAGAGGACTCTCAGCACCCCGACTCGGACGAATGAAGCCCTAAGTCGACTTGTTTTTGAAAGGTGTGTCTTCTAGTCATTGGGCTGGAGTCCTCATGTTTTGGCTAGTCTTGTAACTTCACATCCCTTTGGGGAATTTACTGACAAGTGTTTCTTTCCACTTTTAAGCCCAGCCCCAATGGAGCTGAAGCACCCTCAATTCCATCAGCCAACAGACAATGAGGATATTGACCTCAATGTGACTTATGATGTCACCACGCCAGATGCTGTTGCCAAGAGGTCGCCATCGAAGGTACCATCAAAGAAGATGCGTCTGAACCCCTCAGGGTGAGTAATATGTCTGATTGTGGGAACACTTGTTTTTGTTTCAACTGTGTTTTGTGAGGATATGGAGAAGAAATAATGCCTTTATATTCTTTGTTTTGTAAAATCCTCCTCATTTTCTGAAATGTCAGGTCTTCTGCACCAAAACCTGTCGAGAAAAGTTCATCTTTTAATAAGGTAGGTTTGGAGACGTCTCTCAGCCAGATCGATTTTTCAGATCAGTTGTGCATGCCCTTCAATATTTTTTCTCACCTCAGGCTCAAAAGGAGGAGGGATCAATGGATCCTTTTTTGAGGAACTCCCTCCTCTTCAGAAAGAAGACCTTTGGTGGCATGTTGAATCCACAGAGACAGCCTGGGACCGTATGTATTCCTGCAACTACTAAATTATGCTGGGCAGAATTTCTCCTTTAAAATGTTTGATGACAAAATCTTTTATTGTTTCAGGTAAAAACTGGTTATGATGGCTTAGGAGGACGAACTAAATACATCCAACCTGTATCCTTTTCTGTTACTTGAAATGTACTGTGGAACAGTTTAGTATTTAAGAAATTTAATATTTAGATCTTTTGGAGGAAGAGCTTTTAACCAGTGCAGTGTCTACTATTCGTCTTGGCTGTTGATAATTTCATTATGAACTTCAAAAATGCGCTCTAATAGGTTTATACCCTATGTACAACAAGCCTTAAAGGGATATTCCGGCGTAAAATTAACGTAGGGTCAAACACACCGTAAAACCGAGTTAGACACCCCCTCAGAGATAAATGTTGCCGACCGCTTGCTTCTGTAGTTCTACCAGTTTTAGTAACGACCGCACGATAGCAATACACAGCAGTCTGAGGAGCCATAAACAAACCTCAATAAAAATACCACTCTAAAGCCACAAATAATGCTCAGAACAGCACCTAACTTCATCAACAGTATATATAGGGTCCTAGCCATAGCACTAGCCACCAAACATCTTTTTAGCTTAGCCTGATTTCTTTAGCAAAGAGACTAAACACAACTCACCCACTGTCCTCCAGCAGCCGCTTGTTTGTATGGAGACCTCAGACTAGTCCATTACAGACTGCAGCTCAAGGAAGAACATTAATGATTACTAATCATTTTCTTGAAGTAATAATCACCATATTAATCATTTTTCACTGCAGACGCGGTAGTTCTTCTGCCTTAGCGTCTCGGTCTGATTGCATTTTCATGAAGAAATGATCATAAATGTTCTTCCTTGAGCTGCGAAACTCCGCTGCACTAGGTGATGGACTCTCCAAGCTCTCCCTACAAACAAGCAGCTGCTGGAGGAGAGTGGGCGAGTTGTGTTTACTCTCTTTGCTAAAGAAATCAGGCAAAGTTTAAAAGATGTTTGGTGGCTAGTACTATGGCTGCGACCCTATATGTACTGTTGATGAAGTTAGGTGCTGTTCTGAGCATTATTTGTGGCTATAAAGTGGTGTTTTGGTTGAGCAAGTGGCTACTGAGATCACGGTGTATTGCTATCATGCGGTAGTTACGAAAGTTGGTATAACTAGGGAAGCAAGCGGTCGGCAACATTTATCTCTCGACCAGGTGTCTAACTCAGTGTTACGGTGTGTTTGACCCTAAGTTAATTTTATGCCAGAATATCCTGTTAAAGTTGAAAAACGACCTATGGTAATGTTTCTCTGCTCGACATTCAGATACTGTATCAGCACGGTTCCCTGTTTTATTGAGATATGTATTGTATTTATCCTTGGTCCGTAAGTCCCAACTAACAAAAGCAGATTATAGCTTCCAATATAAAAACATATAAACATACTTAGTGATTTTAGGGTGTGTCACCAAAGAAGTTAGAATTATTCAGCAGAAGTCAATGTTTACTATGACTAAGGCTAAAAAACATCTTATTTTCCTCAATGAATCTGTCACTACAGTCTCCTTTATCAGAGATTCGTCCTCTGATGAAAGCTAAAAGGAAAAAGGTGAGCAGGCCTCTGCCCAAGGTTTCAACCTGCCTGAGTCTGGACAACTTCCTTGAGTGAAGTCATACCACTGTGAATCCTGACGCACAGTCAAAGGTCAGATCCCTGCTTGCAATGTAGCAAGTCGACGCTGCTGTGGCACCGTTTTCCAGTCTAGCAGTGTTTCCGTTTCACCTCTAAAGAAGGACTTCATGATTTAACTTCCTTTCAAAAGCAGTGAGACAAACCTGTGGACTGAGGCTGAGCTTTGAGCCAGTTGGCAAACTTGCCGTGTATATTTTTTTAAATATTTGTTGCTGTGAATATTTTTTTCTAGTAATGACTTAAATTTATGTTCTTGTACATGTGGACAACCTCTTGATCACCGTTTTATTGTATTATTTTGAGAGTACGACAGTTCAGCACTCTGTGTTGTAACTTCAGATCATTGCTGCTTTAGGTCTCTGTCTCTTTAAAAACATGATTTTGGTGTTTTAATGGCCCTGTAGATATTTATCAACACAAATAAACAAGAACTTTTTTAATTAAGGTTTGTGAAAAGTCCACTAAAATTCCTTGTGTCTGTGCTTTTATTCACAACCACTGAGGTATGCTGGCCTGCAGAGGGCACTACAGTGTTTCTCACACACAGAAATGGCCTCAACAGCTGACATGTACTGCACGGATAAATGCACTACAAGTTAAAGATGTCTGATCCATTTGTATTCAAAAGTGTCAGCACAGAATGAAATCCCCATTAATAATAATAATAATGATATTTAAAACATCTTCAGTTGAACCTGAGTTTTTACAATGTGATCAAGTCAAGAACAAAAGCATTTCAAGGGTTGCCTCATATTAAATGATCTCTTCGTTGAAATACGAGAATCTTACCATGGCACAAAATAATCCAATACAAACAATGACATGAGGCTGTCTGACCCACAGGAAGCTGTCTGAGATTTAAGCATGTTTAAGAGATGGTGCTGCATGTAAATAAACAATATCAGGAAATTCCAGACATTGTTTTCAAAGATGGAAAAGTGATTGTACCAGGCAGAACTTACATATGTATCTCTTGCATCCTCTCTGCACCCAAGAATGAACAGTTTTCACGATAAAAACCAACGGGTTTCATTACAATAGTGTACACAACAATAACTTAAATGAAATGCTTTGTGCATTAGTGATTGTATATTGACTGATTCTCCTTTAAGTGGTCAAAGTACAGTGTTTAGTGATCGTTTCCCAGGGTTCTTCTTTATAAATAGTAACAGGAGGTGGCGACGCATTTTGAAACTTAGTTCCTTCCAGTGCAATCAGAAGAAAAGTCACCACATCCCATACAAACAATATTTCAGAACATTCATAGACACATAAAACACAATCCATGCAGTGCAACTGGAGCCAGTAAACAATGAGCTCCCCTTATCCTTTGGGATTTTACACACATTAACATCTTCCTGCAGGGCAAAGGTCGCCACTTCGTCTTTTTTCTTTCACAGCATTTCCCACATTGACTTCATATAAATATGGAAAACCTGCCTCTCGTAGTAGAAAAGATGAAGCCAAAAAACTGGGCACTGACATGTCATGTTGGTTAAGTACTTTGAAGCCAGGACGCAGGCAGAAGCAATCTGACTGGTGAAGCCCTTTTTGACAAACAAAGCGCTCATTCACTGTGAATAAAACATGCAAGGTCAGTTCAGCGGGTCGGCTGTGAACCGTACCTCTAGATTTTTGTGTATTGATCTGAAGCAGACACTCGTGGTTATGAAAGCTTGGTGACTCCGTGAGAGTTTCTCTGACTTTCCTCTTAGTGTTTTTACTTCACTCTGTTTATCTGGTGACGAATGCTTCAGGAGTCGCAGTTCTCAACCTCTGTGTGTAAATTAGCATTACAAGAACTGACTAATGAAAACAGTTATTTGATACCTAGTTTGACCCATGTCTCTCTTCAGGCAGGTTTAATGATCTTTGCCAGACCCAGTCACAAGAGGAGAGCTCGCCGTCCATTTTTGTGTTGTCTGTGGCTTCCTAAGAATAATTAAAACAATTTATACATGGTTTTAAGATTTACACACAAAACCACATCTTCAATGTTGCTGTCTAGGATGGCTCTGTGTCCTTCCATTTCTTGTTCAAGTGTAAAAATTGGTCCATGTAAAAGTGAGCATACAGTTATCAGCTGTGCTTGATATCGAAGTAAGATTGATAAGAAACATCATCCTGGGAAATTGTCATCAGTGCTTCAAGTGGGAGTTAAAAAGAGAGTTTTTCCACTCATCTCCTGTAATCTCAGTATGAACCTACAGTCATGGACCCAGTTCAGTTTGCTTCACTGTGATCTGTCTGGTTCAATCTTGGACTCTCCATTTTGTTTGTCATTGGACTTCTGGGACAGATGTGTGGACACGGTGGCAGCTTGGACCACAGCTTTGAAACTGCGCTTCCTCTTCTGGACGTTCTGCTCAGGGTGGAAGATGATGACGTAGACTTTGGGGATGTAGAGCATGCCCAGGGACACAGTGGCACTCAGGCTCATGGACACTGTCAGGGTGGTGGTCTGAATGAACATCTGCGAAGGAGAAACACAAGGTCTGAAAGATCCCTAAACACACCTTCCTTTAAGGCCGCATGAGTGATTTAATTTTGCCTATCCCGATGAGCATGCAGTTAAGTTATAAGATTATCTTTAACATGTTCAAGATAAGTCATCTGAGGTTGTCATAATGCAGTCTTTACAATTTTCATCTCCAAGTGCAGGAGCCAGTGTTTCTCCCAGATGAATGATTTATAGCCTGTAAGTGTAGTCAGGAAAGGGGGCTCTATTTATGGGCTTTGACCATGTATATTCCTTACTGTTCTTCCTCTTATTGCCAGGACAACAGTAATAATGTGAAGTGACTGCTCCTGAGATCTCCCTCCAATAAATTATGAACTCATTATTCCAGCAAACGGTACAGGTCATAAATAAATCAAGCCATATGTGCCATAAATAAGATATATTTGTGCCATAAATAAGTGATTCATTGTACACTATCCTTAGTAGCTTTACTACATCCTGGCATCTCACATGCTGATGCCGATAAAGTCCTTTTTATTATCTCTATCATGCAGTCCTACTCTATGACCTCTCAATTTCAAAAAGGAGCTGTGAGGATTTATGGGCACAAAGCAGATTGTATTCATGTTCCTGGCCCTAGGCGAGCAGAGACACTGATTCACCAACAGAGAGTGGCTCCTCCATGTGAATACAGACTTTAAACAGGTAAACCATTTCTCCCCATACATGATGGAGAGCCAACAGCCCATCAGCTAGACAAAAGTTTGTGTCTATATTTAGCTCTTTTTCCAAAGGATGATTAATTAAATGGGATGGCTGAATTGGTCTAAAGGGGGGGTCCTTCAATCTTTCAGCTTATCTGACCTCTTTTCCCTCCCTCCTCTCTTAATTCACTTCACTTCTATTCGGGAGAGGTGAAAAGACTTTGAAAGCACCTCAGGCCTTAATTGCTTCAGCTTCACTGATTCATAAAGCAGCTCTCCATTAGTCAAAGCGGATCTCTGTTTTTAAGATATTCCCCCAACAGTCTTGGACTTTGTGACAGCAGAAATAGCCCACGAGCAAAATTAGACTCAATAGTCAGTACAGTGGGGGCAGGATGTCCTGTGAGTACAGAAGGATGCAAATGCAGTGTGACAGGCAACAAACTCAGGTTTCTCTTTGAACATCTGAGGGATTTGTGTTCCCCTTCCACAATTACGACGTGTTATTGTGTATTGCATCATTCACTTTCAACAGATCACTGAAAATACTGCATTAATATAAATGATCCCCAGCAAAAGGTCGTGTAAGCTAGCATGATTAATCATCTGAGGTTAGTTTGAATTTATTTACACACACAAAAAAAAAACAGCACCAGAGGGACAGGTTGATCTAATACAACCACAGAGACAGACTGAAAAGTGCAAGAATATATTCCTGTCATCTTTTTGTTTTGAAATAAGTGGAGGCATCCCCACAAATGCATCTCTTCTTTGTCTGAAATGACAGTAAACCAAAACTGCATACATTAGATTTTGAATAATTGTCCTGATTTAAAAAGTACTCAATAATTATTGCATAAAAACAAAGAAACTGCAAATATAGTTCTTATTCAAGGTCTTCTTTTAGTGCACAAATGTATATTTATCTGTTTATTTATTTACACAGATGTAGCAGTGCACATCAATTTCTGTAAATTTGGCAGTACTTCGATCCTGGCTGATTTTCATTTTCGGTGCACTGACAGCTTCAACAGAAACACAGCAAAGAGCAGGGACCGGTGTCAGTATATGACTGGATAATTATTACTGATGCAATATATTTATATAAGTAGCATTATATTAACGACCTGGCACCAACTTCAAGTATATGCATTCGTCTAAATATACACAATTGGCTTATTTCAATTAAGGGATTAAATAAATTCTTCTAATCCCACAAGAAGTGGCCAAATGATCATAAAAATCAAAGATGTCCCACCTTCTCAGTAGACTGTGCTGTGCCAAAGAAGATCGGCACGAAGGCCAGCCAGATGATGCAGGTTGTGTACATGGTGAAGCCAATGGGTTTGGCCTCATTGAAGGTCTCTGGAACTCCTCTGCTCTTTATGGCGTACACAGTGCATGTGATCATGAGTACAATACTGTAGCTCAGACACAAGATGAGGGACAGATCAGACATGTCACACTTAAGAACTCCACGGGCAAACTCTGGGTTTGGGGGCTTCTGCTCCTCGTAGTCAATGATGGTGTGGGGGGGCACAACACCAAACCAAATGAACACCCCAAGTAGCTGCAGAGAAAAGGAGCTTTAATTAGAGTGCTGCAAAGGATTTCAATTATATGTGTGGTGTGGCATCCGTGCACATACATACCTGCACTGAGATGAGTATAAAGGTGATAATCAGCTGAGAGGTTGGGCTTATGAACTTTGGGGGTGTGACCGACTTCTTGCCCTGTTCAAAGATGCGGTAGATGCGGTTGGTCTTGGTGAGCATGGCAGAGTAGCTGATGCACATGCCAAGTCCGAGCAGCAACCTCCTGAAGGCGCACACAGCCACACTGGGCTCGGCGATCATGAGGAAGGTAATGAGGTAGATGAGGAAGATGCCCGTAAGCAACACGTAGCTGAGCTCTCTGCCAGATGCTCGAACAATTGGCGTGTCATTAAAGCGGATGAAGGTGACGATGACTCCAGTTGTGGCCAGGATACCCAGGATTGCCAGGAAGACAGGGATGATGGCCCAGGGGGAGCTCCACTCCAGCTTAATGATAGGCGTGGGCCGGCAACCTGTGCGGTTCTTCAGGGGCCTCATGTCAAAGGGACACATGTCACAGGAGAACTCATCCAAGAGGTACTGGTAGCCATCGCAGAGCTCGCAGTGCCAGCAGCAGGGAACGCCTTTGACCATCTTTTTCCTCTCCCCGGGCTCACAAGGGAAACTGCACACCGACTCAGGGACATTGCGGTCCCCACCTGACCACTGCATCTCTTCAGGCTGGAGTAGATGTACAAACACAATATTGTCTAATGGTGCTGGAGGGATAAGCACTGAGAATGATGTTGTTAAATAGACGCTGCTGTCCTTAATCTAAGTGGACACTGTTTGTATTAAGCCAGATTTTAACCAGTGATAACAACTTTCTGCCTCATCAATGTAATCTACTGTTCCAGGTCATCAAGATCAAAAAGCCCAATTAACTGGCTGAAGACCAACCTTACTCACATATATGTACATACTTACATATTCTGGTCAGCTAGTTTGAGCAGGTTTCTTTCCCCCTTTCTTTCAAATCACTATGATAACAGTGTTTTAGCCATAACTAAAAACCTATATGCATGACATCTACAGATTACCCACTGAGCATTAGACGGCTATTGGATGTCTAGTTTTATTAGACCTAATTTCAGCAGACTAGATTCTGTATATTTTTTTATATGGAGTTTAGATGTTGCACTTTAACCCATTATCGATAACTATTTATTTCAAAAAGCATCTGTGAGTTGCATAACTGATCTCCAAGTACTTAACCAAAATAACTATGATAGCCGATGAGCAATATACAGTGTAGTAAAGATATAGCTCTGTTAGCTGTCTAGTCTAAACTTGGTCTAAATTTAGACGTCTAAAAAACTATTTTTTTGGACTTGCGGTAGCCTGATTTTAGACCAGTCGTCTAGGCTACATTTAGACATCTATTGGACCTCTTTTAGACCAAAAAATGCTCAGTGGGTAGCTTAGCTTGATAGTCCAGCTGTTTCCTTAACAAAGTTAGATGACTTGCTTCAAAGTTATCCTACAGACATGTGAGTGGTATCCTCTGAAAATGTCACATTACTTTTGGAGGTTATAGATAAAAAAGGAACAATAAATATATTTACATTGAGTCGGAGGTGGTTCGTCCACTGGCCGATTTCCTTGTAACCTGGGTTGCTGACGTTGGACATTTGGTACTGGAAAATGTCATATCGACCAGGAGCATCTCCATTCTCATTGAACATCACTCCAGTTCCTGCACTACCTGTATGATAGAAACAAAGTTTTGATGACCTGTGTGCTGACATTCAAGCACAGTTTTGAGTCAGAAAAGATCTGCAGTTTCAGCTCTCTTAAGTGTAGACACATATCCCCGCCCTAAGTGGCAGCGAAAACACCCACACACAGTTGAATACAGCCTGTGTTAGCTTTCTTTAGTCTTGTGCGATCATGTGAAAGCTGAGTGCAGGATGCTCTTTAGAGAAAGCTTCCTCCATGCATACAGTCATCCAGTGCACTCTGCTCTGCTGCCCTAACATGATTGAATGTTGGTCTCCGGTCCCTGCAGGCGCACAAATAGAAAGTCTTCCACACAAGCCAAGGTCATCCAGCAAGAGGAGCGCAGTAAATAGGATGCTTTCACAGAACACTTTTTTTTTTTTTTCCTATTTCTAAACCAGGACTTTTTAATGAAAGACCGAATGAAAAGCGAGAGGGTTGTGTACATGGAAGGGCAAGAAGGCGGCCCCAGGGAGGGGATGTGGCTTTGGAGAAACATGCTGCCTTCTGTTGCTACGTAAATCGGCACAAACATTTCAAGGCCTTTGACTTGAAGCTAACCTTCCTACTGTATTTCTTTCTTAAATCTACTTCTTCTCAAACAGTCTTACATGATGGAGTTATATAAGCTGACATCTCATGATGGCAGTTCTTCCAAGTATGAAGCAGAAATGAAAAATAACATTTGAAAATAGGAAAGTATTGACCTCAAAAACTCCTCAAGTAAAAAGAAACTATTCTGAACAATGTAATGTCATACGCTTACCGTTGAAGTTGACAGAGCGTATGTATTGGAGAAGCATTCGTCCCTCTACAGGGTCCATCTTTTCACAGACACCCATGGAGCCAGGGCATAGGTCAAGGTGCATGCTGTGCAAGGCATGGGCCATCGCGTAAACAGCATCTATAACGAACTGTACCTTGCCCTCCTGTTCATACTGAGAGTCTCGACTTATTCTTTCTTCACCTGCAACATAACAAACATTAAATTTCACCACAAAGAAAAGGAAAAAAAACACCCTTTAACAGAACTAACTGAAACTGAAACTTTATTTTACCTGCAGCACACTCACCTGTACATTTTCTTCTACCAAGTTCGTACTTGATACCAGGACGTGTTAATTTGCACTTGAAGTCATCTTCCCAGAATTCAGCAAACCAAATATTCCTTCTGTTGTTTTCTAAGGATCGTGAAGCGAAGTACTGGTCGAACCCTAAACAGTTTCACAAATTCAGCTTCATTACATGGTTCATTCATGGTTTGTTACCACGTACCACATAAAATTAGAAGAGTTACACTTTTCCACAATGAAATATAGCAACTCCACTTTGTAATTTCAGTAACATCTGTCCTCATAAGTCATCTTTTTAATTTGCTGCATTGATATTAGACTCATCTATCCATGTGGTCAGGTAATCATGGATATTCCTCAGGGCTGTTGTTTGAAGTTACAGGTAAAATTTGATTGAATGGATTCACTCTACCGTCAATGGAGGCTCTTTTAGGTAGGATGGTAACGGCTCCTTCAGCCACCTCCTCCTGATCTTGAATGGGGGAGCTCTTGGCCCCCCAGCTATCCGAGCCAACAAACAGGAAGTGACCGGTCAGATTTGCCTTTTTGGCCGCCTGCAACACCCGTCTGATGAAGGACAAATTGCATTTCATCAGTTATCAACACTATACTCATCTACTTCAGACTGTCGTCATTAAAAGTGGGTCCAGATAAATTAATATAAAACCGTATTATTGTGCAGATTTTATCAGTCAGCTGGTTTCTTTTTCGAAAAGATGAGGAGCAACTCACTTGATATCGTCCTCGTTAGCAAAGATAATGACTCCGCGGGCGTTGGAGGTCTCCATCAGTCTCTTGATGATCTTTTCAAACTCCCCTGGTCTGGGCTCTCTAGGAATCTTTATGGACTGTGCTATACACAACCCCCCTGTGTCACAGACATAAGAAATATTTATACTGTAAGAGCTTACTGTTGAAGTATCAACATCCCAGTTTTCTCTGCTGCAGCATAGATCTAAATTAAATTGTTATAATAGCTGAAACATCCAAACATATGTAAGTTGCTAAAAGATTATTTAGGATGTGTCGGTATTGCCCAGACTTATATGCAACCCCTCTCCATGAATGATAATGATTTTAAACACAAAGCATGGCATCAAAACTCAGATATCTCCAAAACTTTGGCTAACCAGTTAAGATCTTACCAAACCATGGCATTCTAATTTGTTAACAAAACTGAGGTGCTTAACATGATAAACAACAAAGCTGGACAATATATTCATTGTTACAGGTAAGCTAGCGTTGCACAGTCACTGAACTCCAAGCGTAATCTACCTAAACTCCTCGTTCACAGATAAAGAGCCGAAACAGTCTTAGACGTGTACTGACACTAAAGCACATTTCTCATCAGTCATCCAAGTCATTAGGATAATCCATCAATGCCAGAAAAAAGTTCCACCAATCCAGTGACAGTGAGATAGTAAAACACTCTTTACTCGAGTGGTGTACCAAGTGCATGAATAGAGCGGCAAACAAAGCAACTTTGTGCTTTTACAGTAAACTGTCCAGCATTAGTGACTGTAGATGTACTATGTGTGTATTTTTGGCAACGTGTAATCTAGTCATACTATTTGAGCTTTTAAAACTACATCAGGTGGTGAATTCCCATTTGGCCTTCTAGCTCTTGTGTATTAAAGGATTTCTTCTTTTTTTTCAGTTTTGATATGAGTAAAAACAACACGGCCCGATGAGTAATCGTCCATTGTCATGGCAGTGAGTTCATGTTTATAAGGACTGATACACAACCTGCTTCTCTGGATATCTGGAGGAAGGCGTCCACACCACTCTCTCCATAGTTGCCCTCGGAGGCCAGGGTGGAGACGTAGTTCCAGCCCATGGCTTTGACTATGTCCACCATAGCCTGGGCCTGGTAGGAGTCTGGAGGTACCACACGAGAGAAGAACTCATAGCGGCTGTTGTCACTCAGCTCTGGGGCAGTGGAGGCGTAGCTGATCTGGGGGATCTAAGACACGTGGATGCATCAGTGGTGATGAAGGGTCCGGTCAAGTGGAAAAACTAAGCATCTCTGACTATTAGGCTAATATAAGACAGAAAAGGTAAAAGAATGACTGGAGGAGGCAGTGACCCATGTTAGAGGTTGATTCACCACTTACTCACAAAAACTTAACAGTGTCAAAAAGAGGCCATCACATTAAGGCTGACAAGTTTAAGTGCACTAAAATCAGAGACATATATAGTTTTGGAGGGCCTGTTTCTCCATCAGTTTCTAGAAATGGGGCAACTTTCACTGAGCAGTTTTCTCCGAGCTGCTCTGCGTGGAGGCCATAACGTCATAGTGAAATACAGATGGTAGAAACCACAGCCGTAAGAGCATTTGTTTGTGGGGAAAATGGATGAGAAGATTAATTTACTGGTGTGCTGGTTCTTTAATGACACAGTTTATGTCGATAGTTTCAACCCTGACCCTGCTAATGCCCCCACCGTGGCTTAACACCAGGCCCTCCCAAGGGGACGAGGAGAGAAAGGTAGACACAAGGGGTAGAGAAGGAAAGAGGGGCGAGAGAACCATTTCACAGATTATCTGGAAGGATTATAGGGGTTTTAGTCAAATTACGTTAAGCACAGAGGGAGAGACAGAGATCAAGAGACTGGAAAAAGGCTAGCATTTCTCAGCCGTAAGCCATACAATATATTTAATTCCAATGGCCACGTGCAGCTTCAATTTACCCATGTTTGTCAACCCCAGTGAGGTTGATGTCACTCGTCAGCCTTTACATTATGAACCACATCTTTAACCACAAGTGATCTTTTAACCCCCACCAATTCTCAAAATACAACTGCTTCCATTAATGTTTCTGACTGACCTGCTGACTGAAACGATGCATTTTGTCCAGAAGACTTTGTGTCAGTGTCTGCAAGGTGGTACTAGTTGTTTGCATAAAAAATTATAACGAACAAGGTTGCACATAATCCTCTCCAAATTAATCCTGTAGAAGCATCTGCACCAATTCACTGTGTGAAATCAATGAGCTGTATCAGTGACAAGTATCTACTTACAGTCCAGCATTGCTGAACTCTTCTCACTGTCGGTAAATAGACAGATAGTGGATATTCTGGGATCCAGGCCAAGGAAACATGATAGTGGTTTAGCCCTAACCTAATGGCCTGATTAAACTGAACCAAAGGTTAAAAATGAGAGAGTACAAGTATTTCGATGTCATGAAAACTGTGGGGGTGTTCCAGCCACCAAGAATATGTTGTATGCTACAAGCTCTATTTAGTAAAAATCCATATTGAATGAAAAAGACATAAACAACTGAAACTGGTACCACTTTGTAAAAGACTCAAAGATGGCAAAGAAGCAGGCAACACACTTTATTTGTGGTGTATTATTTTCAAGCAATTAATGTCATTAATTGTGTTAACGCTAAAATTCCTCTCAGTCGAGTTATAGCAAGAATTTATGGAAATGTGCTTTGCCAACTTCTTAGTGATATTTTGAAATAGCTAATTTTGTCAGAGCAGTTGTTTAAAATTTAAGGACGTGAAATAAAAATTATGTAAAACAAAGCATATCAGATAATCCTCAAATTGAGGGTATTTAAATCATACTTGGTCCTAAATTGGTTGATTTCTCATCAATGACAGTGAAATACTGTCACTTTATAAAAAAGGTAGTGGGTGTTGACTCCTCTTTTTGCTTAACTTAGTTTTCTATTTAATCTTTTGTTGTTTAGAAGTCTTCTAAAAATGTAAAACTGATATCATCCAAACTTTTAATGACCCACAGATTCAGTTTCAGTACATCGCAGAACATAGCCAACATGACGAGAGTGTTCATGGAGGATGCTGAAGCACCTCAAGCTCTGGTTGAGAGCAGATGTTCATTGTAAAGTTGACCCGAGTCTAGAAGCATCCCCGGTCCGGAAAGCAGCCCATATGGACAGCAGGAGGAAACATACCATTTAGTTAAATCTACGCCGTGCAGTCCATGCTACAAGTTGCTGTTATCCCAGAACCAATGTCATCCCGATGGCCTGATGCTCTATTTTCAGCCCGGGGTCCTGAGCTGCTGAGAGGGGCTTAGTGGAGGTTGGAATCTATAATTCTGTAGTTAACATCTGCCTGTATGAAAGCTGTGCTTCCTTAGGTCTTAACTTGACATCATCACTGTGAAGGAAGCTCCATCAGTAGCCTTAGACCAGCGGCATTTTGTTCAATGTTTTAAATTAATTTGGTCAATTTGAGCCACGTTGTTGCTTTTTAATGTTTCTAGATTCTGATGGACTTTGTCAGTAAGTCGATGAGAACATGACATAATGTGGGATTTACACAGACTCAGTGTCCCTTCATCACTATAAGCAGTGTAATCAATTATCAGAGGTCAGTCATCTGTCAAAAAAAAAAACACTAAACACATACAAGGGATTAGTGTGCGGAGGCTAACCCTAACGATGGACCTTTAACCCGGGGACATGAACCAAATATCAACACAGAAGCTCTGTCAAGAAACAATCCTGCTTCTTGAGATTAATTTTTCTGTACCATGGAAACATGATGATGTATTCTTCCGACTGGATATCATCACATATATAAAGTAGGCCTGTAAAATCTATAGGTTAACTGTAACTGAATATAATCTATAATTTGATTTAAAATGAAAGCAAACTCCATTTTAGCTCCTAGCAGTGACTTATTTTAAAAGGTCAGTACTGTAAAAAAAATCCACAATTTTGAGTCTAAATACCAGTTTTCATGGCACAGTTTCAGCCAACCCCAAGAGAGAAAGTCATCTACCAATTCTTGTACCCCTGACATGAAGCCCTTAATTTAGTAAGGATTAATAATTATAAAGCAGGTATTTGATTAAACTATCCATGTATATCTATTTCAAGATATAAAGTATAAAATCCTTTTTTGGTGTAATGTAACATAGCTGATTAATTTTCCTTTGGGGATCAATACAGTTCTTGTCTTATCTTGTCTTATCTTATCTTGAATTGGTAGGGTTAATGTCATGGTATGGCCAAATTGTAATCACTGGAGTACCAGGACACGGCCCAAAGGTCCTCACTCGAAGAATAAATATGTACAAATGGATCAGGAGATAATTCACAGAGAAAAAGTGTTTTCTTATTTGTTGTCAAGTGTTAACTATTTCTTATCCTTTGATTTACATATTCATCTTGGGCCAACAGGGAGATCTCAATCAGCAGACTCTGGATCTACCTACTTTGAACTTGTGTCCTCATGTCCTCTCTTGCATGTGATTAAAAATGGGAAACGTGGATTTTGGCTTTCACCTGTACTGACTCTACCAAACAAAGGAATTACTTAACTGTAATTCATTGCAGTCTATGAAAACAGAAAGGAAAGGAAACTCACTGCGAATAATCTGAGCACATTGGCCACCATGATGGATACTGAACTGCCAGATGCCCCGATCACTCCAACCACCCTTTCTGGTTTGGGGATGATAGGAGGCTCTCCATTTGAGCAGCGCACATCTGATGTGTCCTTCTGAATGAGGGCCTGCACAAAAGTGAGTGACTGCTCCAAGGCGTAGGTGTCTCTGGAGCAGGTGTCCAGAATCCGGGCTCCCAGAGTAATGTTGGGAAGCAGGTCTGGGTCACTGTTAATCTGGTCCAAGGCGTACAGCATGGCCTCCAGTCGATGGATCCCCTTTTCTTTCTTAACCTCTCCACAGGGCACTCCTGCAGGCCCTCGAGAGTGCACAGGGAACAGCCCACCCAGGGTGATGTCGCCCTCGATTTTGATGGACTGGGGCTGGGTACCCTGCTGGGCCGATGAGTCTGAGCCAAAACCCACGAGCAGCACCCACATCAGCTGGATCCATGTTTGGTGTCCTGAAGGTGATCTGAGCCGACAGCACTGATGGGATGAGTGAGCCCCTGATGTCATGATGACCAACAGAGGTACTTACAGCACCAGGCCACTCCCTCTACCTTTGACACCTGGAGACAGTTAGAGAGGGTCTTTAGGGTCTGATCACCATCTCATCATAATGACACTAAATTTGGAAGTCCTTTTAGTCAAAAGACTCATTAAAAGGCCACTTCTTTCTAACTGGTTTGGACGTTTCAGTCTCCCTCTTATGACCACTTTTGTTGCTTTGATCAGAGGAGAAATATCACAGTTATATAATTAGATATTCATTTCATACTGTAAAGTTCAATACAAAGAAAAAAATGGTTTTGATCACTAAATTGCATTTGGTTTTTGCAGTGATGTTTTGGTAACAGAAGATATTTGAAGACCTAATTTTTTTAACAAAACTCATGATTGAAAATATGACAAGAAGCTCCAGTGTCTTTTTGTGACACAAATGTTGAAGCTACATCATGAGAGACAAAAATAAAAATCTATCAATGCAAACACGATTGGAGGGCTGTGATGAAGCGAAGATTTTGCCAGCATGGCTGAATAACAGAGTGTGCAGAAGAGTGAAAATTGTAAGCTTTTATCATGGAGAGCTGAGAGCCCATGATGGAAAACACCATAAATGTTGCAAAACAGAAAACATCTACCAAAGCTTTACTGAATTTCATGCTCCAAAAGTTAGAGCAGGTTAATTTTATCTCATTTAAAAAGGTACCAGAAATAGAAAAAATTCAGCTGTTACGTATTTTAAGTTTTAATGTAGATATTGGTCATCTGAAGATAGCATGAAGTTAACTTTTTTTTGACATTTATCATGTTTTCCAGTATAATGTCCTTCTAAAATCAAACCTGCATATTATAAAGAAAAAATGACATTTTTTTCCGTAATTGTCTCATTGCAACTCGTACACTCAAAGCTTTATTTATCCATCTGTAATTTCTGAGTGTGCTTGCGAAGTTGGAGTTATTAAAACTACCTGTAAAGACTGTCTAAACAATTAAAAGGATGGTGTTTGTATAAATATATGTACAAAAGCTTCATGAACCAAACAGCTGTTGCACAAACAATAACCTTTTTGAAATGTATAATTCAGGCAATCAGAGACATTTCTCCACATGAAGACACTTCTTACCTGCCCATTCTTCATTGACCACTCTTCATTTCATCCATCACACGAACTCTTCCAAACAGGCCCCCATCCATGATGTTAAACGTGACTATATTTTTAGAGGCCAGGCTCTCCCCTCTTCACCAAAAGTAAATCCTCTGTCATCTCAGACAGCCGCTGCATGTGCACTCTCCAAAATAACCAGAGCACAGAGAGAACAATGCACTAAAAATTAAGTAGTTTTAAAATCATGAAGACAAAATGATAACACCGACTTTTGAGGCTTCAGGCTGCAGTTTCATGGCAAAGACAAGGAAAAATGCAATATAACAGCGGTGAGATTCTACAAATCACTGCCAAATCCCTTAAAAGCTCTCTCTCTCTCACTCTCTCTCTCACTCTCTCTCTCTAACTCTCTCTCCATGCCGTTCTTTTCCTCTGCGTGCATCTCTATCCAGGCACTCCCCCCGCCGACTCCCTCCTCACTCTCACTTACTCTCTGTGTCACTGGCTCTTTCCCTCTCTCTCTCTCTCTTTCTGTTGTACCCTCTTCTTGCTGGCTCTCTCAGCACACTAATGGCCACAGATTGGGATTATCATGTAGGCGTCTGTGAAGAAAGCACTAGGTGGACGAGCCCATTCCTTTTTTTTTTTTTTCATACAGCTAAACCAAATATCCCCTACCCCCACTGCCCCAACAACAGTATGATGGAACTCTGTCACTTTGAGAGATTAGATAAGCTGCCATTTGATTCATACTCTCTCTCTCACTCTCTCTCTCTCTCTCTCTCTGTCTCTCTCTCTCAAAACCACACATATGCACATACATTATACACATTATACCAAAGTGCCCCAAAAGATGTTCCTATTTTTTTACACACAGGATGCAGCTGGATTATATTTAATATTGATTCCTGTCAATGCACTGGGGAGAGCAGACCCCAGATCAGTTTGCAGGTCATCATTTGTCATTTAGACGCTTAAACCTCTAACGTTACTTCTACCTCACACACTTATACAGACATCTTGACGCCATTATTTATCACATATTGAGAGTCCCATCATGTGGTTTTTTAAAAAGTTAAGCACACGACTCAAAACATTTTTCCCCAACATGACACTTTTAATTTCAAGTTAATTCACACATTGATAAATTAGAAAAAAAGAATTGACTCAATCTAGGTTTTTTCAGTAAACTTGAGAGCTGAGAGGTCTCTGGTTTGTTAGTTCCTGTATAAAACATGAGGGGTTTGTTGTTGTTGGAAACTACCCCAAGAAGATGGACTTCTCTAAGCCATCCTCCACCTTGGTGTACTCCAGGTGAGATTTAAAGTACTGGCTTTCATATTGTGAGCTGCGGCGGACATAATCCAGGTAGTCAGGCGCCCCTGGGCAGATGACATTGTCAGCCAGCAAGATGCTTCCTTGTCTAAGGAGGCCACACTCCTGGTGAAAAAAAGAAAAGGAAAATGTCACATAGAGAGATACACGGTAGAAATACAGAAGACAAAGAAAATGACAAACTTGCCTCCATTAGTTTTGTGTCAGGAAGGTAGCGATCCTTCCAGTGATCCAGGAAAACCAAATCAAATGAGTTCAACCCAAACTGCTCCTTCATTTTTGGGATCCAGTCACCAGATGCTCCCACAATTAAGTGGACCTGTAGAGGAGGGAAAAGGTTGATTCTTAACTTGTCAGTCATGTTCTTTCTCCTGAGTGAAGACATCTGACCTCACCTTGTCCTCCAATCCAGCCCAAGCAATGACTTGATGGGCAATGGCAGCGAAGTCTGGATTAAATTCGAGGGTGATGACTTTGGCATGTGGGGGGAGCAGTCGTGCTATCCGCACTGTGGAGTATCCACAGTAGGTTCCCAGTTCCAGCACAAAAGTCGGGTTTACTTCAGACACCACTAAGTCAAGAATGCAGCCTGTGGCAAAATAAGAAGAAGTAGAAACCAAAACGTTTGCTTAAAGAGGGGGAATGATTTTACTCATGAAAGCACAGTGTCATTTAAAGACAGTCAATGCCTTTCTCATCTCCCACATTCATGGCCCACTCCTTCTGTCTGCAGAACTGATCGATGGCTTTGACCACGCTGCTAGGGTCCCCTCTAGTGGCGTTCTTTTGTACTGCACTCAGGAGCCGCTGAAAAGAGAGAGAGAGAGAGAGAGGCACCACCTTTACTTTTATTTAACTCATCAAACTCTCAGAGTTTTCAGAATCACTTTCCATCACCCAACTTCAAAACAATACGGTTATGATTTTAGGTCATTTTAATTTTAACATTCAGGTGGAAAACTAATCAGACTGGTTTAATGACAGATTTTAAAATTTGATTTATCTCCTCAGATGTTGATATGGGCTTGTCTGACAATCTCTTTATTTATTTATTTTTTATTTTTTTATTTTTAACAATGAATGATTTTAATCGACAGGAAATGTCACCACATTTCAATGGTATTTACAAAGATACTCCTCCTGAAATTTTCCTCTCTGCCTGTGATTTTAATGTGGACAGGTGTAGCAGGAGACTAAAGTCAACGCTTGACAAAACTGCACCTTAAAAGTAGAACAGATAAAAACAAATTCAGCTCAAGAAATAAAAAAAATACAAGAGAAACTGTAGACAGGCAATTTTCCAAGAACAATTGTATATTTATTACAGGGCACTCAAACAAGCAAGAAAAGATCATTTTTCAGAATTAATATCTGAAAATCAAACAATTCCCAAATTTCTCTTTTTCCATCTTCTGATTCGCGCACAGACTCATCATGTGAGGATTTTACAGTCCACTTTAGTAGTAAAATAGATTTGATCAGATCTATTTTCTCTCACACTCTGCCTAAAACCTGTAACACTGCAAAGTCTGTGTTTTTTAATGAGGAAACACTGGAGAAGTCTGTCCTGGTTGATGCTGAAATGCTTGACAAAGTTATCTCCCAATTAAAACCTGGGACCTGTCTTTTAGACCCCGTCCCAACATCCCTCTTCAAAAACATGTACTGCTCCTTTAGCTCTGATCTCTTAAATATTGTTAACCACAATCTTCAGATGATTGTCTTTCCAATGGCATTTAAAGCAGCCACATTTAGACTTCTTCTGAAGACAAATAATTTGGATGCAACAGTACCGAAAAATTATAGATCAGTTTCAAGTCTGCCTTTTAAAATGAGTCACAGAAGCTTGTTTTCAATCAAATGATTTGATAAAATCTGTGAACATCTGTGAGATGTACCAGTCTGGTTTTAGGACAAATCACAGATCAGAGACTGCTTTTGTCAAAACTGTTAATAATTTTAGGTCAAATATGGATGAAAAAAATGCCTTCAGTCCTTGTGCTGATTTAGTTAAGTGTCAGCCTTTTCACACAGTCGATCATGAACTACTTTTAGATAGGGTTGTTGGCATCTCTGGTCCTGCTTTGAATTGGTTTAAATATTATCTTACTGGCAGAAAATTCTATATGAGCATGGGAGACTGCTAATCAAGTTTATATAATGGAAACTGTAGAGATCCCCAGGGTTCAATTTAGGTTCAATTTAGGTCATACACTTATTAACCTCTACATGTTACTGTTGGGAAAAGTCCTCAGGAGGCATCACCTTCCACAGCTATGCAGATGACACCCAACTCTATATTGCCTTATCTCCTGACAACCCAGAATCAATTGAGACCCATTTTAACTGTATTTTAGACATGATTCATGTATGGCAGAGGAATTTTTCAGCTTTCAAGGGAATACTTAGAGTTTTACTTATCTTCATCTATCATCTCTTTATCTATATTTTTTAAGTTTTAATATTTCACATTGATCTGTATCCTTTTCTTATACTGTTTTATTATTGCATCTGACTTTACAGTATTTAATCCTTTCTAGTATTTTTTATTTGATCTTTTAAGGTATTTTTATTCGCTTATTCAGTTTTTAATGTTTCATTATTCTATTTAGTATATCACTTTATTTATTTATTTATTTATTTTTTGCAATCTTCTATTTTAAATTTTAACATTTAATATTTAACCTCTGGCATTTCCTCATTATGATCTCATGATAGCGTTTCCTCACATCCTCAGGTCACTTTGTGCTGTTTAAATCATTTTGATTTCTTTATTATATTTTTCTATTATTTTATCTTATTACTTATATCATTTTTTTCTCATATCATTTTAGAACTGCAAATATAGTTACAGTGAGACTCTGCAGATGTCCTAAAATGAGCTCACTCCGTTTTTGTCAAATGGGGTAACTTTGCGGTTTTTAACCTTCTTTAAACTGAATGTTTATATCACCTTTCCTGCTCTTCTCTAGAGTTTTCACATTGGCTCTTTTTTCTTTATCATAGCAAACTGAAGTCAAATCTTAGCATTTTGGAAATTATTTAGTAGATTTTAATCAACTTGATTAAAGTAATTTTGAATATGTTATCTTTTAAACCAGAAACAATTAAAGATATTTAAGAGGACAGTGTTTTATTAGAGTTATTAAAGTTTTCAGCTGGTTATGACACAGACTGAAATGAAAAGTAGACTTCTACCAGTTTCAAAAGCAACAAGACCATCAGGGAGAAAGTCGAATTCCCTGTGATATTATTTTGCATGTTTAAAACACTGTCCCAGAGTAGGTAAAGGTTAAAGCATTGTAAATGTTCTCCTTGTGTGATGCTAAACAAGCAAAAGGACATTTCTTTCTTTCAGGAAACTCTTCCCACACATGTTCAGGTGAAAATACTTAAAGATTACAAAGGAGTCACCTTTGGTAATGACCAAAGTTCAATTCTGCTTTTGTTTGACAAGACCACTTTAGTAGGAGGGGAACACAAACCTGAGGACGTGTTGAATGGGTCAAAGTGTCCAGTATCCACTCCACAATAACATCGTGCCAAATGAGTGCCAGTCCTCCATGATACTGCACAGCAGCAGGGATCAACCATCTGTACAGAGCATACAGGAGAGCTGCTCCACCAGTACAGCTGTAAAGAAGAGTCAACCACATCCTGCAACAAGGCAGAGAGCAAACATCAACTCAGTACAGTCAGATACTGTTTTATTAGCTAAAGCTGTGATGGATAAACTGCAGGCACAGACACGTAACAACACATATGCCTGGGAAAGCCTGAAAGCCCACATATCTCCTTTCATTTGAAGGGAGAGCTGTCCTTTGTGTGAAGCTAATGAGATGGGTGTTTACTATGCTGAGTACAATACTGTTTCTGCTCCTGTTTTCATTATCAGCTGCAGCTGACAGGTCCAAACTGCACACCCACACACCTCAATATGATCATATCACTGATGGATGAGATTTAATATCAGTCTCACTAGGCACTGGTAAACAACCAAGACAGTGCAATGTGTACAGGCTTTCCTGCTCTCAGAGGCTGTGCGTTTATTTAGTTATCTCCAGCAGTGATGAATAATGGAGAAAAGCGCATAAAGGACAAAAGAAACACAGTTGGAATCCTAAATGAAAGATTCTTCTGCAGGGCAACAGTGAAAAGCACGTTTGGAGACAGTATTACCTTGCACTAATAATGCAACATTGAAAGACCAATGGTGGTTGAGGTAATTCCTTTTGATCAGGAGTTAGAGTTGCATGGCAACTGGCTGGGGGTTAAGAGCTGTGTCACAGAAGGCACAGCCAGGGACTTCAACCTTTACTTTCATTTCATTCTTAACGTTCCCACAGCCGAGGGATTCAGGAAAACACAACATTCGTGCCATGGCTTGATAAACACACTGTTACATATTTTACCATTGTAACATGAGACATATCCACAGGTTTTATGTTGTTCGCACCTTCAAAGAGAATTTAATCTTCATGCAAGTCACATCACAGAAAGTTTTCACGTTGGAGAACAAGAAATAAAATGACTCTAAATAAGTCACCAAAATATACGATTAAGAATTTCCCCATGATCAAATACTGCATTTGCACATGCTGTTCAGCCTTGAAATAAAAACCGGACTAATCCATGGTCTCCCTCGGGCAACACGAGAACAAACACTTGTTAAGCTCCAAAAACACCTCATGCAAGGATTTCTCATTAAAATCATCAAGAAAAAAGGACTTACGTGTCTCGGCAAGCTGTGCTCCCTGTCCACTTCTCACCTCTTCTCGCTTTGAGAGAGGGATGCGCGAGTTCTCTCACAGTTGGGCATATGCCTGCATTTATAAGAGACTAACTCCTCCCTCCTTTTTTCTTCCACCCCCTCCTCGGAGCTTTGCAAATCTGGGCATGCTAAGAATGCGCAAGAGACTCAATCTCTAAAGTCAGCACAACGTATGCAAACACCGATACAGATATAGATGCTTAAGTATGGCAACAAAAAAGGGCATCTAATCACTGTTGGGTATTTAATGATTCTCTCTTTCAATTTTGAGTGCTGATTAAAGAAGGGATTATTTATTTCAGTTTTGATATCATTTTGACATTCTCTCCATTAGTACCAAATATGAGACTTCCTTCAAAGGCTGCAGTCCCTTTTGTTAAACAATAAAAATCACTAAATAACTGTTTCTCTGGAGTCTCATCAGAGTTATTTGATTTACTGACTGCCATCTGCATGAATCCCTCTCAAAGCTTACACTGGTTTACCGCTGAACTCTCAGCTTTCTTAAAAATGACAATAAAAACAATTTTATGTGGGTTTATTGAAATTCAGGAACTTTGTGATCATTTTACAAGCCAGTTTTTCACTGTGATTTCTATCTAGATTTTGCTAAATTAAACGTAAGAGCTGTGAAAGTAAGACAAGAACAAGCAACATCTACAGAAGGCTCTTCATCAGACAAATAATGGGCTCACTTTGCCAGCGTCCAATCATTTCTGCATGTCCCACAGCAATCTGAGTCCCATGTTCCTTTCCACATGTCTGAGCTTGCTCCGGAAAAGAGAGCCAGTCCACTGGGTTCTGAACAAGACAGAACCAGAATGTCTTAAGAGTTGATCCAGGGGTGTTTGAGGCACTGGGCAGCTGTGGCTCTTTGCTCTGGCAGCAGCTCCAGCATGGTCAAGAGAAACGAGCTGAACTGAAGAGCTTCCTCACGCGGCCACTCGTGCTTATCCAGCAGAACCTCAAACAAGCTCCATGGCTTCAGCTTTGAGATGTGTCGCAGTTGCCCTGACCAGAATAAGACGTAAAGGTATACACTCATACATTTATAAAAGCTTATCGAGTGTTACAAACTGTGTCTGAGTCTGGCAGTATGATGAGTTTAACATTATGCTTGTAAAAAAGTACACCTTACCTTTATTGTTGAAATACTTCTTGGAATTCCTCCCTGAGAGAGCAAAGTGAGATGGGAGGTGTCCCAGCAGCTCGATGATTTGGGCAATGTGATCTGAGAGGAGACAAGCAGGCACCATTTAGTTCTAAGCAGCTTAAGTCAAAGCAAGGACAAAAATGTGGGATGTAGACGACAACACAAACCTTCCTCACGAGAAAACGTCGTTCCTGCTTGAGGGTCAAACAGATAGTCCCCCGTGGCAAGCTCAAAAGCCTGGAGTAAAGGAACAAAAGGCTGTAAAACTTTAGAAACACATTTTTGAAATAGGAGATAAACTTCTGTAGGGTCTCTGCTCACCATACAGGCAGTGCTCCAGATATCAGCCGGCGTGTTGTAATCAGCACCAATCAGAACCTCCACAGAGCGATACTGACACGTCTGAATATCCTCAGTGAAGTGTTTGTGCTGGTGACCAGAAAGAAATGAGGTTCTATTATTACACTAACCTGTGTATATCACCACAAACAAAACTAGACAGAAAGTGTTACGCTGAAAAATACTTTACCGTGTAAATGACAAAAAAAATCAACCCAAAACAAGAAATACAACCTGCAAGCACACTGATGCATGCTGATATTAAAGGGATATTCCGGTGTAAAATTAATTTAGGGTCAAACACCGTAACATCGAGTTAGAAACCCCCTCGAGAGATGAATGTTGCCGACCGCTTGCTTCTCTAGTCATACCAACTTTAGTAACGACCACACCATAGCAATACACAGTGGTCTAAGAGGCCACACACAAACCTCAACCAAAAAGCCACTCTATAGCCACAAATAATGTTCAGAACAGCACTTAACTTCATCAACAGTACATATAGGGTCCCAGCCACAGCACTAGCCATCAAACATGTTTTTCACTTTGCCTGATTTCTTTAGCAAAGAGGCTAAATACAACTCACCCACTCTCTTCAAGCAGCCGCTTGTTTGTAGCGAGACCTCAGGCCAGTCCATTACGGACTACAGCGGGGTGACGCAGCTCAAGGAAGAACATTTATGATCATTACTTCATGGGAATCCAATCAGACCGAGATGCTAAGGCAGAAGAACTACCGTGTCTGCAGTGTAAAATGATTAATATGGTGATTTTTACTTCAAGGAAATGATAAAGAAATGATCATAAATGTTCTTCCTTGAGCTGCGTCACCCTGCTTTAGTCCATAATGGACTGGCCTGAGGTCTCGCTACAAACAAGCGGCTGCTGGAAGAGCGTAGGTAAGTTGTGTTTAGTCTCTTTGCTCAATAAATTAGACAAAGTTAAAAAGATGTTTGGTGGCTAGCGCTGTGGCTGGGACCCTATATGTACTGTTGATGAAGTAGGTGGTCGTTCACTAACAAGTCTGGTGCCGCTCAATTTGTCTTTGTCAATGTTGCGAGTGCTGCAGCTCATAGGTTTAATGTTAAACAGAATAAAATCATACAAATTATGCACCAAAACAACTATCATTAGAATATCAATTCACTATCTATTTCGCTAAACATAATAAAACTTGTAATAAAATGACACACCACCACTAGGTCACAGTAAATCACACTTACTGTAGGTTAATCAGCATTAAATTTATTTTACTGCAATTATATGACAGTTGTATATTCACCATCAAGCCTAGTAAGTGTGACCACTTTGTAAATAAAAACATTTAATTCTATTTTGGGAGGTTTTTATCACTTTTACTCACCACCCAGCAGGCATTGCCCAGGTCAGCAATCTTGATGAGAATTTTATCAGCATTTTGGGGCTTTAGCAGGTCCAAAAGTACGTCTGAGTCACCAACCCCTAAAAAAAACCACAACATTAAAAGGGAACTTTGAGAAAATAGTTCTGTATCATCCTTTTGTGTTCTCATGCTACATCACAATACACCAGCATACGCTTTGTAAATGTTAGCATAGTTACACACGAGAGATTTTTGCAAAACTGTAAACACAAATGTCATAAAACTGACCATGAGAAGAGGATGGTGAAGGTGGAGGTAGCTTTTTGTCCACAGTCTGATGCAACAACATAGACCTGGAACCGCTGACTGGTGCGTCTGTGTTGAGGTCTGGCCATGAGCACATGGAGTCCCTCTGGTTGTATGGAGCACAGTCCTCTCTGTCTTCAAACAGCAGACTCTGCCTTCTTAACACCAGGTTAGCGAAGCCTGTGAGCTTTGAGTGGCGCTTGGAACTTTGGTTGCTAGAGGAAGCAACATCTTCGGAGAATGACACCTGAAGTTTGTCCTTTTGGTGGCTCTCAGATACACTCTTCTGTCCACGTCGACTCTTATCTTTCCTCGTCAGCCGCTTCATCGGGCTGCTGGACATCTTACTGGACTGCAGAAATGCAGCCAGTCATGAGGAACAGTGGGAAATAAGAAGTAAGTATAATTTGTCTGAAAAATATTCATTAAGTTGTCAAAGATTTATGAACAAATGTGACTTGACCTGGCCTGTCTGACATGGTTGCCTTTAACTCAGTTTCAGTAAATTAAAAAAGTATGACCTTCCTTTGACCTTGTAGCATTTCTTCTTGTGAACATATTAATTACAGTAAAACGGAAATCTTTACACCAAATGCCCATGCAGTGTCACAATAAGAAACTGTTCTTTTGTTATTTGTGTGCAGCCCCTTTGAGTCATTGAGGTCTCATTTTTGCATGTTTGCGTGTGTTGTAAGTGTGCGTGGCATATTCAATAAATGAGTGAGAAAAAAATAATTTCCTTTTAGGAATTGAACAAATACGTCTTATTCTTCATCTTGAAATACAGTGAATGAAAGGAATTACATTTTTTAAGAGCTGAACTATGATGGTAAGACAGGAACAGCAGATATGTAATTATTGGAATAATTACGTGTCCAGTCGCTCCCTAAATGTGCGTCATCGATGAGTTTATCAAACACAGTCAGCAGAGCTCTTTAAAGCTGTGGGCCCACCCAGAACCGTATACCAGCAACATCATCCTACTGCTTAACCTCTGTGTTTTGGAGCCAATATTAATGAGTAACAGATCACAGTATTCATCTTACCCATTCACCAATGCTGTGGAAAACCCCGGTCAGCTTCCCCAACAGATTGGGCAAACTCTTAAGAAACCATAAAAGTGCCATTTCAAACCCACATCTTAATGATGGTGAACACATCTTTGTTAAATGATAGAAATAATAAAGAAAAGGTGAAAAAAGATCTTATTCACAAACCTGTTTTTCTCTGGAGCTTCTGGTCACTGACAAGAAGTGAAAACATTGTCGAGGAAAGATTCACAACATTTAAACAAAAAAAAAAACGTTTTAAGAAGCCACAGCATTAAACACTTAAATTTGATTGATTTGGTTCAATAAACGCTGAAGGAGCAACACTAACCTGAAGAGCGAGAGAAATCAGAGGGCGATGGCAACTGCCACAGCTTTGTGTTCGCTGCCATCTTTTTAATGTAAGCCTCGTTCACTCTCAGGAGGATGTTTTCTGGCTTGATGTCTGTGTGAATGATTTTGCATTTAGCATGCAAGTAATCTAAACCCTGCAGGACCTGTGATAGGAAATGTAAAAGCAGTCATTGTCTCTGTACCTTCAGTCGGTGAAAAGCAAAATTACATTATTTGATCAACAGAAAGGAAAAGTCAGTAACGAGAGAGGAGGAAGATAGTTCAGTTTAATAGTGCACGGCACCTGTCTGAGGATGCTCTTTACACAAGGCAGGGGGAGGCCAGTGTAGTTTGATTTAATGATCCACCTCAGCAGCTGGTGGCCAAGCACCTCCAAAACCATGCAGACATCTGGTGAGCAATTAAGGACCTGATTTTAACTTAAATATCAAACTGTTAGGGGTTCCAGTTGTTAGGGGTTCTCAGGGACACAAAAGTACTCAGATACATCTTCTAAATATAGAGCAAGACATAACGTAAGGATACGCTCTCCATTGACTCCGGTGATCCTGAAGTCATCAATGAGATGCACAACTCTCTCACGCTTTGAATCTTTGGGGTCACTGTCCCGTACCTGCCGATCACAGAGTGGATTTACTTAAGGATCCAAAATATGAAACAGTCACTGCAGAAACCAATAACCATGATTTAAACTGGATGATTCAAGACATCATGCTAAATGTTGGTCCAGTGCAATATCTAGTCATCATCTGTTATACGACAGTCCTAGGTTACACTTCTTATTGGAGATTTTTATGTCACAGTTAGCATCTTACTTATTCTTGACTCCTCCTGCTCTACAACTACTACTGTGTGAACAGTCACTTTTCCATAATTAGTGTCGACACTCCATTCAGATACTATTTGTACGTAGTAAAAAACTACAAAGATTATTGTGTATACAAACTGATTAAAAGCAATGTGGCCACACTGACACATTTTAGAAGTTTGATCTCATCCAGAGCCGTCTCTGTGAATGTTTGAGCACTCTTCACCACCTTCAGAGCCACAAAACGCCTCTCCCTGCATGCAGACAATTACGCTGGTTAGCTACTTTTATGTTTATAGTATCATCACTGTATTATACAAAAGAGGATAAGGGCCACATAAAGAAAAAAAAAATTACAGGAAGGAGATTCAAGTCAAAATTTCAACATTACAAAAAGCGAAATTATGTCAATGAAGTCCAAATTTTTTTAAAGTTTTGAGATTACGAAAAGTCATGAATAATGTTGAAATTCAAAACATTTACATTTTGACATTTAAGTCGAAATGTTGAGATTCATGTCAAAATTTCAAGATTGCAAAATGTCATGAATAATGTTGAATTTTTGCGATCAAAACATATGCATTTTGACATTTAAGTTAAAATTTCAAGATTACTGTTGACATGAATAAAGTCAAAATTTTGACTTTTTTAAATTTCGACTTTAGTCTCGAAATTTTAACTCTTATGTCGAAATGAAAAATTTAAAAATCTCCCCCTTGTAATCATTTTTTCTCTTCTTGTGGCCCTAATCTTCTTTTGTGGTATTAAATTATTGCATCAGTAGAATAGTCAAAGGACAAAAACTGTACTTACACCATATCCCAGCAAAGCCATACAGTAGAGAAGTGACCCCATCCCAACTTTTTAACCACTTGGTAACGGTCAACAAAAATCTCTCCAATCTCAACATGATAGTAACCACCTGTAACACAATGTACAACCTGGATCAAAGATAAAAGACTTCAATGTGTGCGTGAAGTTTGGTGTTGGAGTGGTAATTACCTATGTCATAGTCTTCAGGGTTTTCCTGCTGCTCGTCATAGGATCCAACAGGCTCAAGTGACTGAGGGTGTTTCTGTGCAGATGTGGAGCAGCTGGCAGCTTTGCCAGGCGGGGGAAGCTGTTTAGGACGCTTTCCCGACTTATGGGACTGTGAAGGGCTGGGTTGGATACGCAGATTCGAAGAGCTGGCGGTAATCAGAGCTGCCATAGCAGCAGCATATGAAGATGCCATGTTTGACTCGTGCCTGAAGGGCCAAACAAGTTGAAGATGGGCCCAGATCCCAGCAGCAGTCTGTAGAGGAAGCTACAAACAAAAAGAAATTATTTGTCAATGCAGTTTTTTACCAATTTGAACAGAACAAATATCACTACTGTTGTCTCTCAATACTTGGTGCTTAGAGACACTGGTTGCAAGAGGTTGTCGCAATGGTATTTCCAAAGAGCCAGTGAATGTGTATGTTTATTTTTGGCTGGATGAATGGCATGTCAACGTAAATAGCTTCTGACACTAGCCCAGCTGCAACCGAGCTCTCCCTGATATCTGATTTTGTGTGAAGCACTATGTGAGTGCAACAGCTGTAAACATGGAAGGCTGACAGCTCCAGTTGTGTTCCTCAAGGCGCTGTCAGGAAAATCACATCTCAACAATTAAATGTCTAGAAATAAACTGTCTTAAAACACTTAAAAACGCGCATGTTGGTGACTTTTTCACACTGCCTCATGCTGAGAATTTTAACAGTTTGATTCCTCAAAACAGGTAAAGTTTTTACTCCCCTCTCCTCAGCTTGATGGTGAAGTCTTGCAGTGTTGTTCGTCTTTTATCACTCAGCTATTTGGACGTTTTAGCTTTCTGACCCAGAAAACAGCTGATTACAGACGCGACACTTTACTTTGAAGGTTTAGCAGGACAAGAAAGGCTGTTAACTTAGCGCTTGACCCAATCTGTGTCATGACCACATGTGGCTGCTTCCAACAGTGAGAGTACTCAGGAAACTTTTACCATAAATGGCCAACAGTTGAAAGAGGCTTACTTACCCTTATGTGTGATAGATCCCGTTTTTTAAAGTATAACGCAGGGTATACAGGAGACCCCTAGTCCTCGTGTCGTGCCCCTCACTGTGGCCTGAGTGACTGAAAAACACTCATGTCCAAGAATAGCAGGCTGTTGCTGCTTCTGCTGGAGCCTACTGACATTTATCGCTATGTGGCTACTGCTTCTATTTCGAGGAGCGGACGGGATGCCAGTCTCTTCTCTGTTTTTTGTTTTTTTCCTTTTTGTTCGTTTCGTCATGGCTGTAATTTAACCCAATGATAGTCAGTGCTGGGATATTTAAATTAAATCGTCACACAATAGGCCCGTAGCCTACCTGTTGAGTTATAATTGTCTGAGTTGTTATTGGTTTATCGCAGGTTACAATATAAAATATTTCCTAGTTTTGAAAGTAGAAATATTTACGGGAGAGGTTTAAGGCCACTGGAAAAAATAGTGTCCAATAGCTATATTTTTTTAATTATCAGAATCATGACTTTAATCTCAGGAATTCTGACCTTTTTCAGAATTCTGACTTTTTTTCCTTACAATAATAGAAAATGTGTTTATTCTGTATATTGGACCCTTATCTCTCCAGTGTTCCCATCCTCTTCCGCAATAATCTGATCTGAAATTTGAGCAAAAATAAAAATATTTGCAATGGTATTGAATAGAGGTGGTAGAAAAAATCCATACAGCATAGTATTGCGATATTTTGTGTGGTGATATATTGTATTGCTCATTGACCAAGTATCAATCTTTCAAAATAATTTCTTATTTGAAGTCAAATCTGTGATAACGGAAAAATAAAATGAACTGTTTGTGCAGTGAGGTTAGCAGAGGTGACATTATAGAGCAGGAGAAAGTTAATACAACAAATATATATATATAAGGTTTGTAAGATGTGATACATGAAAATAAAATACAGCATAAATGAGACAGAGACAAACGCTAAATTAGCTAAACTGTTAAAATATATATAGTTTTTTTTAACAGTTTAACTATATATATATATATATATATATATATATATATATATATATATATACATATATATATATATATATAAAAAAAAAAAAAATATATATATATATATATATATATATATATATATATATATATAGTATATTGTATTGAGATATAGAGATTGACTTTGTTGCACGTCCCAACAGAAATTTATTGAGTGGTTCAACCCAAGAAAAAACAGTTCTGTTTCCATGTGTGGCTCTTTTAAGACAAACTTATACATAGAAAAGTTACGGGCTTCAAATAAACCAAGCAAAACAAGTCTACTTTTAATATTGCAGGCCTGCTGTCATGCAATGAACAAGCATGTCTGACCCATTCTGTGTTGATCTCAACATGACACTTTATTAAGTAGAATGAATGCACAGTCTCATACATACAGTATAGAACAGGCCACATTAAGTCTTTTCTCACAGGCCTGGTTATAAAGGAGAAGGGATTAGAGAAAACAGCTGCATTTAAATATCCAAAGAAAAAGAATCAAATATTAGCACATCACTGCTCAATGAAATGTTTGAACACACTATTTCCCACACTGATGAGTGCTACACTGGATAGCTACAAAAAGTTATATGTTCATAAATATAATATAGTTTGAATAAATTTGCTTCAGAGCTAAATTTATATCATTTATTTTCAATCGAGAGTTTATCACAGAGTACATTATATGAAAAATACATTTATGACCCCCAGTGCACAGCAGTTTGGTCTTAGATTTCAGGAATTAACCAGCTGGGAGAGGCTGCATGAAGCAGGATACTGAGAGGATGTGAACATGTCAGACAGCAGAAGAAACCAGGTAAACATTCCACTGTTTGCTTAACTATGTTACAGAACAGGAAAAAAAAACATTGCTTATGAGTAAAATAAAAATGTACATTCATATGAGTCTCGAGATGGCTAAAGACAGAGTATATAAAATGAAAAAAAAAGAGATATTTTCATTTTCTTCAGGATTTCCATCATTTTTCTGATTTCTATTAAGTTTTTATCCCCGAATTCTCATACATCTGAGACAAACTAAGAAATACATCATGACACTGAGCTACTCTGGATTTCAAAAATGATTTTTTTCTTTTTCACAAAACCAAGCAAAATTTAGCTGAAATCATTACAAATACGAAGTTCAGAAAGCATGAATTCTTATTAACAAATTTACTGGTATGAGACCTGCTCACACCATCATTCAAAACTACAGCAGCCCCATTCTGTTCACACCATCAACCTCACATTATACAACCAATCATAGTGCTCATTGAGGGGTGGGATGAGTAGGGGAGTTTCTCCTGATTAAATACATATTGTGTGGTTAGTTCAAAAATTATACTGTTAGTAGTATGGGAATAAAATATCAGCTAGAGACTTATCAGTACAACCCACGCTATATACAGACTAAACACTTCAGTAGACCTTCAATAGATGTCGACAAAAACCATATTCTAAACATCTCCAGATTACAAACCCTGTCAAAAACCCTCCTTATTTCTGTCATCTCTTTTGGTGACAATTTCAAAGGGATTTAAGGCTTAAGATGTTCATAAAGTGCTCCATATGACACTCAAATCCTCCACAACTTAATGCAGAAAACAGGATTTGATACTATGCGATTATTGTCATACAGTTGTGCTACTGCCATACAGTAGGTCTCCAAACAGCCCTCAGGTTTTTCCTAAACTGCTCTGAAGTTTCTGTCAAGGTCAGCACAGACAAAGCTACATTAGTGAGCTAGCACCAGCTGCATCTCGAAAACAAACTGAGAAGTCATTGTATATACCGTATATTTGACATCATTCCAAATACCCTAATTTAGTGACATCGTGACCTGCTCGTGGTTTTTCATTAGATTAGGCTCACCAGAGCTCACAAATGCTAGTATTTTCAGATCACTAAAAAGCACTTTAAAGTTTTTCGGACCAAGGTAAAATTTTGATATTCAAACATTTAGGCACTCCTGTCTGCTACTACCTCAGTATGCTACAGTTCATGGCCCCCATTCAGTTTATCAGACATGAAAAGTACAAATGGCTGTGAAATTAACATCAGATGAAGACTGACGCATGTTTTTGCGGTTTATATAGTTTACAAACACACATTCAACAGCATGTAGTTTCACTTTTAAAATGGTATTAGCTCATATAACATCTTTGAGTATCACGTATAATGAGCAATAAATTACCTCTCGAATATAACTGTTCTTTATATCTCATAAGATACAAAATAGTGATTTGGAGTTGTATATATATTCTGTAAAAAAGTATATCTTGGTAGACTTCTCGGGGTTTTAATGCTCGTGTTGAACCTTGTACAGTATGAATGTAGTGTTCTTCAGTAAGTCAGCTCCATTGCACATCCATGAGAACACTGGCTTTGAGGTTCACATACTGGTAGGATCCGGTGCAACAACAGGGAACTTGCCAAAGGCTTTTTCACATTGTACAGCTACAGTTTGTTCTTTTACTCCAGTCTCTTTCTGCTGAGGTTGCCATGTTTCACTTTGCTGTTGAGGTCACATTGTATCGACTTGTCTGTGTATTCTGTGTGTGTCTGACTCTGTGGGAATATGTGTGTGAGGCTACAGTGTTTTCACTTATATAGAGTGTGTGTGTGTGTGTCTTCTGCTGCATCAGACCAGGGTTCCTGGGTCTGCACTGGGTTCCTTTGGGGTCGCGTCTTGCATCTGTGGATGAGGAGTCTCCTGATAGAGAGAGAACTCCATCGACCTGAAGGGAAGGCAAGAGAAATCAATACAGCATCCCACAAACAAGAAGCAATGAATGAGGGGGAAACCACAGAGATAATATGGGATCTTAATTAGATAAAAAGTATGAAGTATGGTCAGTGCATGACACAGCAGCCTGGAGAGATTTTAACCCCTGCTAAAAATAAAGAAAGGGGAAGCCTCTTTAGCTATATCAGGCGCTCCTCATATATCTTTGCAGTATATCTTTCCGTTCGTCAGTTTCATATAAACTTGAATGCTGTCTCTTAAAAGAAGTTTAAGTCACTGATGACTGGTGAGCAACACCAGTCACCCTGCCTCTAGCCTTTTGTTCTTCTCCCTTCCGGTAGATCATACTGCTCAATCAAATGCTCTACCTCCCAGTTTACAGATAGTTTTTTTTACGCGTGCTGTGCGCGGCCTGAATAAACTCTAGCCTCAGGGGTGTACTTAATTTCATGTCGTGTTTGAGCACTTAGTGTCAAATAGAAGTTTTCATATACTAGTATTATCATTATTATTATTATTACTTGCAGTGTCCCTCTATACTTTACTGTAATTCTAACTCACCTTATTCTATGTTTCTATGTAACCTACTTTTCCCTATCTGTCTTTATTGTCCTCTCGCAAATGCTTTCCAATGTGGTTTTTCTGCAAATGGCGAAACAAATGACTCTGACTCTCTGACTCTGAAGGGTATCCATGAGTAAAAAAAAAAGGGCGATTTAGCTGAGGAAACATCTGATTTGTTGAGAACTGAGAGTAAAAGCAGTGTGTCTGCTGAAAGACTTGGGAAAAAATATAAAGGCAAGTCTGCATGGTAAATACTCTGTGGGTGACTGTGTTTCTTTTTGTACTGAGAGTGCAATCTTTCTACTGCTAGACTAACAGAAAATACCGTAAGGCTGCAGGTTTCAACGATGTACAGGTATAACGTGAGTGTCCAACTGAGGACACGTCCCAGCAAAGTAAGAAAAATAATTCACCTTCCATGCAGTGGATGACCATGGAAGCTTGCTGACTGGGGTATCTGAGATCTGTGGAGGTTGGTGGCTTCCCCTTGAACTGACTGAGCCTGGTGCACCAGAGGGTGGGGGTGTGAGAGGCGAGAGATTCCTGCCTCATGACCCTTTGTGGTGGCAGGAGGATATCCAAGGGCATTCCTCAGGTACCAGTCCCTCAGACCCTCCAGAGCCAGCGCTTTATGCAAGCTTCTCGTCGAGTCTTCAGGGGTAGGTAGAGAGAACTGTGGGGGTCTGCGGTTGAATGAGGGGCCAGACAGCTCAGTCTGGTACGGGTGAAGGTTAGGGATGGAAGATGTGGTGGTGCCAGAGGCAGGAAGGGGCGACTCGTAGGCTGACAGCAGGATGGCATCCTGGGTGTGTTGCTGCAAAGGAATAAAAGGTCCACAAGATTTGGTTCTGGTTACTTTAACCCTGCGTAGCTCTGCTTGGGACCCTCGCAGGACCATGGGGCTGTAGGGAGTCGCGGCACTGGGGAGATGCACCTGGGAATGAGAAAAGCCGTTGGCGTGGGGAGGCACAGCAGCAGTGGAAGAACGAGGAGACGACATGTCCTGCCAGATCCTGCCTGTGGACTGATAAAGGTGGTGCTGCACTTGCATCCTCTGCTGCTTTCCCCAAATGTAGTCCATCAGTATCTCATTGTAGCCTCCACCCGCTCCTCTGCCACCCATGGATAGACGCATTTTGGCTTGTTCCACCGAGCCGCCAATATGTCTCTCAGGGCTGCCCAAGTGGATCTGTCGCAATTTCCCATCGGTTAGTGTCTCTGAGCTTTTGTAGGGCCCTCCTTTAGGGGGCATGCCATTTCTGGGAGCTGGTTCATCAGGGAGACTTGATCTATCCAGCAAGGCCTCAGAGCTGTTGCTGCGTCTGGCACGGGAGCTGTATGGGCAGCTTCGGCGGTCAGAAGAAGAACCCTCCTGGGCCAGTGGAATCATATAGGGCACATCAAGGCTACCAGACCACTGCTTTAACCCATTCCCACCTCCTGCATCAGACCTACAGCAGAGATGAGTACAGTTTAAAAACAGTTAACAGTTAAAAAAAAAGGGTGATAATTCGTACTTTAGGATGATACAAAAATATACAAACTAAAGTACAATGACTGCCCTTCAAAAATCATGTCAGGGAAAGTTTTCGTGTGCTCTTTCAGGTCGCCCAATATGGCATTTGTCATTGTTACAACCTAAACTCTATGTCTGCACCATAGACTGTATATACAAAGGACAACTTGATTCCACCTTCCCCCAGTATACGGATTTGAAGCTGAAAAGCTCTCGGTATTTCTGCATTTTTTCTCCACTTCCTAAAGCCGACATTGCAAAGTAGCGTTGTATGCACTCTACTACTTGTGCGAGGCGTTGTACACATTCGGCGAGCATGTCGCCAAGAGCCGCTGTGATGACGCTCGATTCAAACAGCGTATCCCCCGGGTGAGCTATGCAATCTTCGTATGACCATAGGCTGTCCACAGCTCCATAGGGATTGCTGGAGGAGGCAGGATTTATGACCTATACTGCAGCCTGCCACCAGAGGGTGCTGTTCTCTGAGTGGCTTCACCCAGCGAGGAGGCAGACGGCGTCCACTCTATATACAGTCTGAGTTATTACAGTAGGAAGGAGTTGTAGCTGGATTGCATCAGACAGAGGCAGCTCTGTTTCACACATTACCTGACGTGAACACTGATTGGAGCAGTTCGGGCCAAAAGAGGTGTAGCTGGGACACTTCTGCCTTCAACATTGGATGCACTTCTTGGTAAAGAGTGAGTAGGGCTGAAAGAAAGCCACACAAGACGTAGATACGTTTAACACTCATCGTTTTCATAGCATGTGTGCAGTTTGAGGCGCAGCTCCGTGTATAGAGTGGACCTGACGGAAGTACCTGACAGAGCTTGTGACAGAGTTGCGGCGTGTTCTCATCTCATAGTAAATCTCGACTGGAGACAGCTTCCTGCTGATCCTGTGGTCAGGGCTGCCGACAGTGAGCCGAGGCTGTGACAGAGAGCGCTGGTCAGCAGCCACACTGGGAGACGACTCTTTTGGGTGAAAGAAAACAAAGAAGATAACTATTAATGAATCAAGATTATGACAAACTCTGATCATTTTTCATTAAAAGCAAAACAAGCAATGCATGTCGTCCTAGCTGCAGTTAAAATCCAGGTGCATGGCCAGATCTTGTGCGCTGTCAGAAAAACAGAGATAATGCTTACTCTGCTAGCTTTGTGCTTACTACTGTGTCCTGTTTGGAATTTGTACATACAGTACTCAACAGAGACAGAGAAAGCTGTTTAAAGACAGATTGCATTCGATTGACTCACCGTTGTCGTGGGATGTGGAATCGGACATGGAGCTTGTACTCTCAGACATGACTGTGTCCTCTGAAAGACAAAACATTCAAGACACAGGTAAAGACGGGTGAATTTTGATATCATCGATTAGCTCACTAAATATAAAGCAAAAAAGTACTATGACTGTTAAGATATGCTTTGGTTTAGATTTTTCATTGGTTTTGTTTACAGGGGAATTGTGTTTCAAATGCATTTCAGCTGCAGCATATCCACCAGAGCAGCTTTCAGTGGTGATCTGTGGCTACATCCTGATCACTTAAAAAACTTACTGTAAACTTCACTATTAGGAGCTCACAAATCCTGGTCAATTCACCAACAAGCCTGTACTCATGTCTGATTTTCTGTAGCTATGACTCTGTTAAAAGTGTGTTTATTGTTTCATGTTGTACCTTCTCTTTTTCCTCCTTTAAACCTGCTGTTTTAATATTTTATTCTGACAAAAACCCTTCCAGGGACAAGCGTTGCAAATCAGCAGCTCTGCAGCAATAAACACTGTGAAACTTGTGCATTAGATGGCTGTCCTCAGTTTGTCTGTATATATGTCCCAAACAAATAAACCAAAAATATAAATAAATGAGTAAATAAATAAATGATACTCACAACAAATAAATCATGCTAAATATAAATAAATAGTACCTGTGTGACAACCCCGATGAACCGTCCTTTTGCTATTTGGTACATTTCGGTCTGATTCTGAGTGTCTGTACAGAGCACCTGTGAAGATGGCTTTCATCTGTTTCTTTTGGGCAGCTTCATCCTGCAAACACAGACGTGTTACACCATGAGTACACAAAGAACTACAGCTGCTGCGTACACACAATTGATATTCAAGGTGTTGACTTACCTCTGCTTTGGTGTTGGGCGGCAGGCCAGCTCTGCGCTGCACCAGCGGGGGTTTCTCTCCGGTTTCCAGGGGGAAAGAACGTGGCAATTTACCAGTCAGCTCCTGCAGAGGACATTCATTAGCCTCCACTAACTAAAATCTTTCTCCCCACAGCGTGAGATGAAGTGTGGATGTGTGCTCCCATGGGTTATATAAACTGACACCACTTAACAGATAACGCTAAGCCCCAAAAAAGAGACACTCTTTAGATACTCTGCTGCACTGGAATAAACAGACCAGAAATTATTGTGTTTCTACCCTTATTTACCTCCAAAACTAAACAGGATGGTGCAGTCTCTGCAGTACAAACACAATAAATAGACAAAACAGCACACCACTGTTCAATCAAAACAGTTTGAAATGCAACCCCAATCAGGTTTGTCTCCAAAGTCAAGTCAAAGCTACTCACTGCTTCCTGCAGACAGACTTGTCTGAGCTCTCCCACTCTGGTTTTGAGGAGAGTCTCCAGGGCCTGCTTTCTCTCTTGCAGAGCCGCAATCCTCTCAGCCTGGAGCTTGCTGTCCTGGCAGCCTTGACCATCTACACAGCACAGCACATGCATCTCAAAAAGACTGATATAAAGTTGAGGGCTTGCATTATAGTGGATTTAATGGTCAACAGATCTACTGCAAAGACTGAAACATAAAATGCAGTAAAGGCCACTTACAAGTTCTTCAGTGTATCTAAAGCTGAATTCTCTCTGTACATCTCATTCTTCTGTTCAATTAAGCTTACTTAAACAGCTTCAGAGAGTACATCAGTGCACTGGGTTCATGTAACTTTAAACCCTTGTTATGATCATCGTAGTTTACTTGAAGTCAGACGTAGAAAGTGTTGATAGTTTAGTCAAAACTGTTTGGTGTCTGCTTCAAATGATATACCGTATGGTATCAGTTTCTCAGACACCTGATAAGATTATCTGGCAGCTGCGGTGACAGTTCATGAACAAAAGGCCTTCACACTTACAACTGTTTTTTCAGCTGGCTAGTCCCATGAAAACACTTTTGTTTTCCCTCTGTTAAACTGTGAGAAAGAAAGGCGAGAGCTGACAGATTTGGCAGGCCATTTCAGGCTTGTCCGGACAAGAGAGTCCATCTTCATGCTGTGAGTCACTGAAGCCATTATTACTCACCAGGAGCCCCTAAACCCATGGATGTGATCAGATGTCCTTTGACCTCCATGTGATGTCAACGTGAGAACTTTACAACTCACACTCCCTGCCCCGGCCTGACCTGAGGAAAAAAGTTAATTAGATTTAACCTCTGCTGGAATTGGTCAACACATTTGTCATGGCTCTCCTCTCTCTTACCTTGCAGTATCAGCCATCTGTTTTCTTGAGCTGGAGAGTCAATGGTTGCATTTCTTACAGTAGAGAAGCATGGGTGTTTCCTCGATCAGATTACACCAGGTACCATCAGGGGGAGCACTGCACCTCTGTCCAGATGTCTAAAGCTGAACCCTTGAAAGGAATAAAAAAGATTATCATTAAACCAGCCGAGAGAAAGGAGTTATAAGTATGACCACAAGGTGGAGGTGAAATTCAACCTGTTACGCTGTAAGCAGTTAAACCATATATTAGAGTGAAAACAGTTTCGATTTTAAAAACAGCATTGAAAAACAGGTTTGACAAAATCTTAAGTCATAACAGAAGAATAGCTCTGAAGCCGTTTTATGGGACATCAGAAAATGCTAAAAGTTCAATAACAGTAAAAAACAGGCTTCAGGCCTTCTGGATATGAGCGCCAGCCTAAAATTAGCTCTGGGATTCAATTAGCAACCAATTAATTTGAAAGGAGTAGAAAAAAGAGAAACAGGAAAGTCACATTAATAATGTATGGACAGAAGCGAAGGGGAGAAACTTAATCCCTGTGTGCTTTCTGTCTCAGTAGCTCAATAGCTGCTGTTACAAATGAGAGGGAGCCAGAGGAGGAGAGCCAGGAGCAAAGTGATGGAATAAATAAGAGAGTGTATATAAAAAAAAACAAGGTTCAGAGGAGTTTCCCCCTTGATGCAGTCATGAATAGATTTTACATGTGACACACTTTTCACGAAATCACTTGCTTTAAAGTTTATAGCTTCTTTGTATCTGACACAGTTCTGTTTAGACAGAAAATAATACATTTCTTTTAATTGGACAAGACCTTAATGATGAAAAAGAAACAAGAACTGGCGCCATCGCTGAGCTGACACAAATGAGCAGTGTTTCTTCTGCACTTCTCCACAGACAATGGAGGTTCATTATTAACAAAGCCTCCCTCCTAATACCCAATAGAGACTTGACATCCAAAAATAGCAATTGGTTTTTCTGCCAAAAGCTTCTCACTCAATGCTGCTCACAAATCGCTGCCATAAACAAGGATCCTGCCAGTCGAGTATATCATAAATCGACTCCATTCAACCCACAAATCTAGACGGAAGCCCTCAAGGACTGAATCAAAGACTACCCTTCCAAAGGCTTCATCTGCCAGCATCGCATCTTTCAAAAGGAAACATTTATCTATCAGTAACTCAGCAGCTGTCTCAAAGCTCTGCGCTCAAATGCACCACTTTTTCCTCGGGTCAGGAAGACAGAGTGTTCTGTTTCCCTCACTCAAACAACAGAAAGAAAAGGCTTACTTCTTGTGAGGACATACTTGAAATGCTTGTTCCCAGTTTTCTCCTGTCTTGGAACTGGACCAGTAACTGCTGTTTGCTACCGTACGTGTGAAAACCCACAGCATGCTTGACCTCCCATTGACAGACTAGTAGGAGCCTTTCACACAAACAAGTGGGGGAGTTACGACTGCCGCTCAGACAAAAGCTCATCACATGAACCCTGTTGCACAAAAACGAGGCCGCGATAATTCGATTCTAAGTTGATTTAATATACTCAGAATAAGTTTCACCTGCAAATGTTCATGCAGGGCTGAACAGACAAATTTACAGAGCGAGAGAGCGAGAGAAAGTCATGGGACAACAGAGGCCTCTGCTTTTTATGTGGATGGTCACTGGGCAGCTGAATAATGGAGCCAAAAGGCTGCCTTGTCTCTAGGGACTGGCTTGTAACTGTAACCAAAACATGTGCTTAGAGACCAAGTGTTATCCACCATCACCAAAATTTGCATTTTGTCCCTTTGAGATTGAAACAACTTTCGGGTTCCTGTGCTGCAGGTTTCCTTTCATCAGTACTGTCACTACTTACCTCTGTAGAGAGACTTTGAAAGCATCACTGTGTAACTTTTACAGTGAGAGAGAGATCAGACAAACATCTCTTCAAAGCAGGCCACATGTGGATTCTGAACATTATGTGTACAGATATGCTGCTGTCAGTATTTCCAGGTGTCTACAAAGAAGAGAGGTCAATGAAAACAGCTGGGTTTGCATCCAGTGAGCTATGCACAACAGCATACTGCTCAACATGACACCTAATGTGTATTACACTCTATGCTTTAACATTTACCATCATCTCATAATTGCATGTTTTTCAACAAAGGATAAGCACCAGGTTCCACTTCACTCTTACTCAAGTGTAACCGAATGTAGAGTTCTGTCTCAGACAAAGACCCATTAAAGGGATATTCTGATGAAAAATTCATTTGAGGTCAAACACCAAGTTAGACACCCCCTCGAGAGATGAATGTTGCCGACCGCTTGCTTCTCTAGTTATACTAACTTTTGTAACGAGGCAGGATAGCAATACACAACAGTCTGAGGAGCCATACACAAACCTCAAACAAAACGCCACTCTAAAGCCACAAATAATGCTCAGAACAGCACCTAACTTCATCAACAGTATGTATAGGGTCCCAGCCGTAGTACTAGCCATCAAACACCTTTTAACTTTGCCAGATTTCTTTAGCAAAGAGACTAAACACAACTTACCTACTCTCTTCCAGCAGCTGCTTGTTTGTAGCGAGACCTTGGGCCAGTATATTACAGACTACAGCAGGGTGACGCTGCTCAAGCAAGAACATTAATGATTATTACCTTTTGGAAATGCAATTAGACCGAGACGCTAAGGCAGAAGAACTACCGCGTCTGCAGTGCAAAACGATTAATATGGTGATTATTACTTTGAGGAAATGATAAAGAAATGATCATAAATGTTCTTCCTTGAGCTGCGTCACCCCACTGTATTCCATAATGGACTGGCCTGAGGTCTCGCTACAAACAAGCGGCTACTGGAAGAGAGTAGGTGAGTTGTGTTTAGTCCCCTTGCTAAAGAAATTAGGCAAAGTTAAAAAGATGTTTGGTGGCTAGTGCTATGGCTGGGACCCTATATGTACTGTTGATGAAGTTAGGTGCTGTTCTGAGCATTATTTGTGGCTATAGAGTGGCGTTTTGGTTGAGGTTTGTTTATGGCTCCTCAGACCGCTGTGTATAGCAATTGTGCGGTCGTTACTAAAGTTGGTATAACTAGAGAAGCAAGCAGTCGGCAACATTCATCTCTCGAGGGGGTGTCTAACTAGGTGTTACGGTGTTTGACCCTAAATTAATTTCACGCCGGAATATCCCTTCAAGAGATAAAAGTGAATATTAGCAGCAACAGGTCTCCATCTGACAAATGATACACCTAAGAAGGTCAGCCATTCCATGGGTGAAAGTTAAGCTTTGGCTTCTAAAACATCTGGAGTTCAGATGTGTATAGACATACAGGTACAGCAATTTGAGACGGTGTCACATTCCAGACAGAAGCCTGCATACAACCAAGAATCAGATAAGCACAGTCACAGAGCTGCATCGAAGAAGAGAAATGAGTGCAAGAGATACGGCTGCAACTACATCATAAAACACATGTTGACTTAGCATGCACAAGGGGGATGAGGGGGATCGTAGTATAGATAGCACTACAGGAGCCGTGTTGTTTAAAACATGAGCTGTGTGATGGTAGTGAACTGCCCCTGTGCGGCGTGCATCCTCGAATGCAAATCAGAACGGAGTTTAGTATTCATGTCCAGCAGGCAACGCTGAATCTGCAAGGTAGGTTGGATCCTACTGTGTCAGTACACGAAGAATGGTACTTATCCGTCTTCGGCAAACGACTCATCTGTATTAGACAGTAACATTCACAGCACAGCTTAATAACTGCAGGCACCAGCTTTATATGCTGCTTTCTTGTCCCTGGAAAAACATGTTGCTTCCAAGCTCTTAAAGAGATTCACGCTCTGCTGTCAGCTTTTATCAGACCCAAGAGTCCCAGGATTCTGCTTGTTGTTGTAAGCGGCGGATATTTTCATGCAACTTACATGCAGCCTAGCTTTGTATTCTGTCGCAACATGCAGCTACCTCACATCTGTTGCATGCGGTCGTAAATGCTCAATATGTGTGTCAGTGTCTTTTGCCTGGCAAGAGAGAGCAGCTGAGATGTAAAAGAACAGCTGTAGTGTCACCTCCCACTTTCCACAGACAGGTGAGGCCAGCAGCCCTCATGTTGACTGTTGGTGTTGACACAGCTGCTGTTGTGAGCATACACATAGTAAGCACAGCAGGGTTACAACTTTACAGCTCCTGTCTGAGTTGTGTAAAAGTCTGGAAGCACTTTCTAAAGAATTAAAATTACAACGCAACAATGCTTTGTAGATCTGAAATATCTGTATCAAATACTACTATCACAAAATGGCATTCTCCTCTGAACCTCACAATGTCCGTTTAATAGAAGAATAACAAGACCTTCACCTGTACCCTTTAGCTGCCATTCTGCATTACATTTCTAACCCTTTCGGTGAGTTCTGCTGAAGGAGAGGAGGTATAGAAATGTCAGCATGTTATTGTTTGTTTTAACCTCAAGAAAAAAGGAAAGATGCTGTTCAGCCTTTTGCGGGACAGTTGGATCAGTCAGGGTCAGAAAAACATTGGATCCAAGGCAGAAGATTTACTTAACTACCCCCACCTGACCAACCGCAACCATGGAACTGTAAAAGGCTTATAAAGGGTCAGCTGACCTTCCTCGTCCCTCCTGTATTAATATGATCTTCTCTTGTGCGCTCCGTATCCATGAAATACTGATTTATAACACACTTATCAGCACACAGTGTGGCAGCTTAGCACAGACCGACCAATCGTGCGGCTCGACATTTCTCTTCTCTGGCCTTGACGCTCACCTTTGCACATTTGACACGACTACTGCGGGTGAAACAAAGCCATCTAAGTGATTGCCATCCACCTGGATTCGGCTAAACTGAGGTGGGGGGAGTAATAAAGAAAGGAATGTGGCTCCAGAGTCTGAGGGGATTATTCCTATACATTTCCCCTTTGCTCTGTAACACCTGGAGGGAATTCTGTACAGTATGAAGTGAAATCTCATTTTATGTTCCAATGTTGCAGTAATCCACCTTGTTTGGATTTGGAGGAAGCTCTAAGCTGCCTAAGATGTGCAGCCACAGCCGCACACCACATCTATGACTGTACATAAATAGTAGTCTGGTTTGAGTCTTTTGTGGGTTAAATATCTGTAGCATATTTTCAGCATATTTCCTGTGTACACATCAAGAATTCAGACTCTGGACAGAGCATTATTTCTATTTGTTTCTTTTGGTAGTTCAAATCTGTCCAAAATTACAGGTAGTGGGGGAGTGTGTAACTATTCCTCCACCTTCATGCATCATAATAAACTCTTGAACCAGATGCTGAAAACATGTCAACCTGTGTCTTTAGAGTCTAAGAAAGAGAGCAGTGTCACCTTGATGAAACAAAAGGGCAAACGAATACTATTGTGTTTTCACCAATCTGGGTCATGATCCAATTCCTGGCTGTTTCAATCGTGACACCAAAAGTAGCATGAAAGCTCTACAGGGATGGCAGGGCGCAGTGCAACCCCTTTAAATATAAAAGCAAACTTAAAGGAGAGACAACAAACACCAACATGTGTCAAACTCTCCCTGCAGTCAAACTTTTTGATCAAACCTGCATGGGTTTGCTTGACTGTCCAAGATTTCAAAGACCCAACGTTGGAACAATGCGGTCTAAAATGCTTGACAGCAGTGGAAAATCCTTTTTATGAAAACAGAGGTGTTTCCCAGGCTCACCAAAGGGTGGACCAGTGGTGAATCACCCTGAAGGCACTGACTGACCCACACAAAACGATTTGTCTGAGTTTTGTCAGATCCAGACAGCCACCCTTGCTCAGGAATCTGTTAATAATAGGGCTTAACTGCTGCAAGAGAACAAGTGGTATTTATGTATGAGAGCAGTGAAATCAATAAGGCCCAGCAGACAACAGTTGCAGCGTGCTTCTGCCTATTGAATGGCCCATAACAATGCAGTATTGGAAGTTATGCATTCTCAGGGAGTATTGGATAAATATTTCTCATTGAAAACAGTCCCTTTGAATCCACGCAGTCTACATACAATATCACTCGTTGCCACCCAAACTGTTTCCCCACGCTGTCTCTAATACAGAATACAACGCAAGCATCGTTGAAAGAGACATATTGGATTTCATGTCATGCAGTCCTTTTTATTTACAGTCGTTTAGTCTTGCTCTGCGTGTACAACATAAAACATGTGTGAACACATGAAGCCGGGCTACTGATCCTGCAACAGCAGCCATCCTTCAACTGCATAGTCTTTGCAGACGGCAGTGCCGACTCAGAAGGAAACACAGTGGACTAATTAATGAAAGCAACATCATATAGCAGGCGCGTTTCTGTCTGACTAGAGGCACCGTGCCATTACGATAAGGTCGATGCACGTCGTGGTTCATGCAAAAGCAAATATCGTCCCGTACTCTGGTCTGCAGGCCGAGCATTCATATCAGATCAGAGAATTAAGGTTGTATTGTCAGCTATTCATCAAAACGCCCAGTTAGGATGAGAAGGACATCATACAGCAGAAACCCCCCTTACCACAGAGCATGACCGATGCCTTCAAAGGTCTCTATAGTCCTCTGTTGCAAAACCAAGCCGAGAAAAAAACATCCTTCACAGGACAGCGGGAATAAAAGATCCTCCAGGAAAAAATTCAGCTCATCATCAAACGCGCTTTAATTGGTAAAACACAAAAAGCCCCTCGTTCATGGTGGCCGCGTATCCCAATTGTAATTCAACAGCAGCCCCGCGACCTCCGATGTGCCGGAGCCCTGCGCATCTCAGAAGACCTCCTTTTCAGAGAGAAGAAAGCGTTCACGAAAATCCTCTATCTCACACAGGGAACCGACTCCACACCGTCACAGCAATGATGCCCCTCCCAGATGTACATGTCTTCAATGTGCGCCAGATAAACCCCGTGGTACAAATATTGTTATCCGGTGGTTGATGCAGGACGCGTTCAATGACGCTGAAGAGTAAAAAACACGCGAAATTAACCTGATGGTTTTCCCCTCACAGAAAAATCATCTCTCACTGACTGTCCTTTACAATTTCACTGTTTTAACATGATGATCTAAATCTCAACAATTAAAACAGTCACCGTTACCACAATGAGATTATAAGACATAGATAGATAGATAGATAGATAGATAGATAGATAGATAGATAGATAGATAGATAGATAGATAGATAGATAGATAGATAGATAGATAGATAGATAGATAGATAATACTAACCTTTGTTTACAGCCTTTGTTTACATCTAGGTTACTGTATATGGTCCTTCAGCTACAATTATTAAGCCAGGTCAAATCTTATCAAATAAACAAAAATATTTTTTGTTATTCACCAAAACCAGAAACAAGTGTACACATGCATGTGTGTGTGTGTGTGTGTGTGTGTGTGTGTGTGTGTGTGTGTGTGTGTGTGTGTGTGTGTGTGTGTGTGTATGAATATGTTATTTTCAGTCTAAGGGGAAATTTGAAAACCTTTTCCAACCTTTTAAATGTGTTTTATTATAAGGTTCCACTTACTAATTATATTAAGAATAATGATCTGATCCCAAAAACTGATTTATCAGCACATTTACATGAAGAAATAAAGATAACAAAAATAGATCTGATAAAACTGTTTGAGTGTTTAAACTTTCATATTGTAAGGGACATGATACCCTAGAAACATATTAAAAGAGATAAGGACTGGAGGAAATTAGTTTTTTCACACTTTAAACAAAATTCATTAAAAGGTTTACAAGATTAAAAAAAATACAGTACAAAGAAAATTACAAAACAGCAATCATATATTTCAAAAACAGAAATAAAATGATGCAGTTTCATCTTCTCACATAACACCAGTGTGATAACTACAGTGTCATTATTTGCAGATCAATTGTGGCTACATTACATTTTATTTGAGGATGCCATTTTTGAAAATACTCTCTATTATCACACTAAAAAAGACGGGCAATACTAACATCTCCATATTTTTTTTTATTTTAGCTTATATCTGGTTATGGATCCATCCAGCTTACATATGTGGCAGATCAATGATGAAAAATTAAGTTTCAGTGAAGTGTCAGATCTCTTGGATTAATGTGGATGATTCATAAGTTCTGTTAGTTGACATGTGGTGTGGTATTTTGGGACGTTGGTCCTAGACAATGTGTGAGAACTGATATTTGGACCACAGGACTCAAACAATATTGCTCTTTTTAACCTCGCGTGACTATAGGATTGTCGTTAAATCAGTTTCAGCATCACTCATCTCCTGACAATCACTACCTCTGACATATTGGGGCTCTTTGTAAAAAAGTTGTGTCTTCTTCCCTTTCTGACACGGATCTTAAACTGATAAAGCAACAGCTGTCTATTTATGGTAGTCTGGTGATGGAGTCAGGAGACCATGTGGACCATCATGACTGACATTTGGCCCCACAGGATCTTTAGCTTTCTGATGTCCTTTCCATTGTAAATTTGGGTGTCCCTATTGTGTGTTTTTGTTTTAAACCAACTGTCCTGTTATTAAATCATTCACATACTTTAATGCGGTACCTTTTAGATTACGATAATGTAATTTATTTCACATAATGGCAATACACAATGAAAGATTTAACTATGTGATTAGTACCGCTGTTGTAGAGGAAAATATTTATCTTTGATTGGGCTGATTTAAAAAATTGAGTAAACTGACAAAGCAACTGCTCATGATGTTCTTACCAGAAAATATAATATACTAGAACATGAAAAGGGTCCACAAAGTGAAAACTCCGTTTTCATTCCCACACATAGGTTGGCAAACTCATTTTAATATAGTTCACACTAGAATGACAGCAGTGTGGGCATGATGTCAAAAGTTGCTGCTGAAAAGAGAACATTATTATCTATAATGTAGATTTTATTTTGGGCAGAGAAAAAAAAATCTGCATTTCAGTGATCACTCAAAAGTGTTTAACCCTGAGGGGTGAGGGCTGTAGATTCCTCAAGTAAGAGCGTATATGCCAAAACCATGATCAGCATATGGTGGGCTGATGGGCGTCAGATCTACCCATCACCGTGTCCATAAACTAACATGATTATCATTATGGAAAGGAAAGCCCCACACCAACATTGCAGGATGTCCAAAAAGAAACATAATGTCACAGCACCTGGAATGCCTTTGGTGATTCTTCAAATAATCAAATCCTACTATTACAGTCCAGAGGTAAATCTGTCAAATGTCATATGTACTATTACCACCAAAACAAAAAAAATGGCACAAAGTTGCACCAAAGATTCAGTGGTCTACACTGACGTTGAAGGCTTTAATCAGTCTCTGCTTCTGTTAAAGTCCTTGGAGCGCTCTGCAGTTATCACAAGCGCCCGTATTCTTTTTAACCAGGAAGTCACAGGTTGATGCCCTGTCCAGGATGAGTGGGTCCGTGTTTGACAATGAGTCTTTGGGGGGCAGTCCACGGCACACAGCATACTGCTCCAGGCCCAAAAGTAGGTTGACCACCTCAGTTACAGAAGATAAGTGTGCTGGGTAGGTGTGGTAGAGCGGGTGGGTAGGGAGCAGGGGCTGCTTCTGGACTGTCACCTGGTAGACGAAGTCTGGGTCTATTAGCACGATAGTGTCCGCCATACTCGACTGTTTCGAACACTGAATGAGCTGAAGTTGTGGGCCCTCCACCATTATGGCATACCAAAGGATGGGCAATACAGAGGTGCGCAAAGCGTTTAACAGTTTCATGAGCCGGTGATCAGTGTCTGTACCACTCCCCACTGTGTTCTCCGCCAAACTAAAGATCTGTGTAATCTGCAGAAAGCAAAAGGGTAAAATTAATACACAAAAGTATTCGTAATATCTAGGGTCATTAATTTGAAAAGCCTTAGCATGACACTTACCATGGGAAACTCCTCTTCGTCATCATCATCATCGTCATCATCATCGTCGTCGTCGTCTTCTTCTTCCTCCACATGTTTAGAAACATCTCTGCCTGTCGGGCGTTCCCTTGTATTCCATCTATGGACCTAGATTGATGGATCAAGAACTATTAAATGGACCGACTGACTGGGAGCAGTCAACCCATGATTAGTAGTAGATGTCAAATATCAAACAAATTAAAACATCTTAAAACATCTTGAATCAAAGTGTTTGACTTTAACAGGCAAATTCTGAACTGGATCAACTGACGGACTACATTTTGGACAATACTGCTGGAATCTGTTTTCTCCTTGTCTTGAGCTACCTCTGGAGAATTTATTAGGATAATGTGAGACATACAATACTTTTATCTGATCGACTGGTAAAACAAGTGATCATGTGAACAAACTGAAGGGCAGCCAAGAAGAGAGGGTTGAAAAAGAAGAACGAGCAAAAAGCTTGGCAGTGATACACATCCTTTTAAAGAAGATCTGAGTCACTTTCGGAGGGGGTTCTGGTGCCAAACAGTTAAGGCAAAATACCAGATCGGTGCAACGTTGTCACTTTGCCTTTGTCACATTCTCTGTCTTCATATATCCCAGTGTGCAAAGTGTGCAAAAATGCTCTAAAATTCATCCCCCATTGAATCCCTTTGAGGAACTGATTGCTGAATCATAAACTGAAGTGTTAAACAGAGTGGACTCGTGTTGGATTCATCACACTGAGCCACAGGCTACAGGAAAGCACAGGGACAGGTTTGGTGCATGTGGATCAAAGGGTACAGATCAGTCTGGGTTTGTGTGCTATTAACAGTTGGGCAGCAAGAGCTTTTGTGTCCCAAATAGAGCTGTGGCACGCAGAAGACTGCACGACACAGTGCAGATTTACTATGAACGATCGCAGTGTGACAACAAATTTTTGTCTTGATGGGAGAAAAAAAAAAGCAGTTTTATCAGACAAAAAAGGAAAATCTCACTCACAAGTTGAGAGCTGTTGTGGTTGCTGATGTGAGCCACTCTGTCAGACAGTCCATTACGATGTCCAACATCTGAGTAGTTAGTCTGCTGCTGATAAAAAGAAAAACTTCATTGAAAGACTGAGACAAGCACAAGTGGCAAAACATGTTAATGACTATCAATTTCGAACCTGCATAGTTGAATGGTTGTTTCTTAGATTTATTTCGTAGGCGTTTTTGCTCCCACTTGCAGGCTCAGAACTCCAGTTCATCTCCAACAGTGTAACAAAATCAAAGAATAGGCAAATAAATATCCAGGAGTTGAAGTTTCATGTGCAGAAAATTTAACTATTTTTCAAAAACAACCATAAGTAAACTAAAAAGGCCACCAAAGGCACTGGAAACTCACTGATGGGAAGTTACTGTCATCATCTTCATCCGATAGGTCGTAGCCAAAATGTCCTCGGCTTTTCTTACCACTCGACTTCCGACTATATGTGTAGTGAGGTCTAGGCCTGCCTGGCAGTGCTGCACTATCACTTCCAAATTCACTCTGCCCCATCTGGAAAGGCAGCAAGTGTCTCTGCACGAAAACATAGAAGAAGAAAAAATAACACTATTGTACCTTTTACACAGGACACAACTTCCGACAAATTGGGTGTCGTTTCTCACCATTGCCTGTCTTTGACACTGCCGCAGTCGACATTTCTGCCTTTTCTTGTTGCTGCCTCCAAATTTGGGTTTGTCTATGCAGAAATCACATGTGCCGCAGTCTTTCCTGCAGAGGCAGGCTTTACATTCTCCACAGGATCGACGCTTACGCTTCTTGTGCCACTGAAAAGGCGTATTGCACAATTTAGCACAGGTCTACCTGATGACAGAGTTTTGCTGAAAAGATTTCAACTTTGTTCAGCTCAAAAGCCTCTTAAGTAAAGAGTCAAACCTTGATAAAGTCAAGAAATTACACCAGTGACCAGAGTCAGGTGAAACAGAGGTTTACACTTTGCCGAGTTGTAAAAATTAGCCACGTTTGTACCTTCGATTGTGTCCACTTCATTGAGGTAACTGATAAATGCAGTATCCTGACATGATAGGCTGTTTTCTCTGACTTTAGAGATTGTCCAATTGTAAGGCACACTAAGATGAAACATGGCTTATTGAACAAACCCCTTCCTAAAAGATTTTGGGTGAGTCTGAATCACATGAGGGGCTGGTGTCTGCCTGTCTACAGGAAATGGGTAAAAAAATGAATAAAAAAGAAAGTTCAGGCTCACATCATCATCATCGTCAGTGGACATGTCATCATCATCATCAACGTCCACATTAACGGAGAAGTTCTCTGTGTCGCTGCTCTTGAAACTAAACGGCTGTAATCAAGATTTGAAAATGAGTCTTAGAAAATGGTTTGGCAATAACGGTGTAATATGAGGCCATAAATACATTAATAATTCTCAAAGTTACCTGCGAGTCTGTAAATTCACTCTGTAAAATAAAACATTTCCTTGTTAAAACTGACAAGATTGTCATGATGCATTTATTTTAAAAGTCCTCAAAAAGTCCTGTGAGGACCGTCTAGCACCTGCTGTGGACAAAAGTCTAATTTGTCCCCTTTGTGTTTAAGAGATGTCGTCTAACCAAAAGTCTCATTCTGTTGATTTTTGAAAGTCAAACATGTGGAAAATGTAAAAATTGGGGTGTTTCTTGAGCTGCTTGGCTCACACCTCCCACCTTGCACCAGTGTCAGGCCTTAAAAATTACATCTTAATTGTCTTGTCTGCTTATAGAGTGAAATTTAGTGTGTTTCATACATATTGACTCATAGGAGCTTTAAGTAGTGAAACACTGTTGGCTAGCACTCAGCCAAACATTGTCATGTTCAGTCTGACATATCCTTTAAATAAAAACAGGATAAACAGGACACTTGTGGTATCACACCAGAATAGGAGAGTTTACCTGAAAACTCTTGCTGTCATCATTCGTTTCAGGAAGATCATTAAAGAAATTCTGTGGTAGGAAGCTCCCACCTCCACTTCCAGGGCCCTAATGGAACAGGCATTGAGTGAGGGGGTGAATGTTAGAAGACAACACCAAAAACATCAACATGAACAAATGCTGCAGTGTATCTGACAGCTTACCTTGCGGATAGGACATATGCATTTGCGTTTTCGACATAAGCGTTTCCGGGACTCTGGGCTCTGCAGCTCGTGCTTACAATTGGCACACTGCCCACAGTTGGTTGTGTTGCGGCATCCAGCACACTGTCCACAAGGAATCCACTGCAGGTAACAAAGGGGGTTAAAAAAAAAACAAAAAAGCCAACTTTTTTTTTGCCAAAATGAAAACACCCTACATATTTGATTAAATTTCATGACTGTTTAAATAAGGGGGTAATGACAAATCAAAAGGTTCCCAGGAGAAAGAACAAGATAATACAAGAGGCCAAATTGTAGATGATGGTTTATACTGATAATCAGACACTGCCTTACCTTTCTAAAACGAATCATGGGATGCTCTCTAGTCTTTGACGCAGCTACAATAAATAGAAAGACATTGTGGGATGTGTAAAACTTCAAGTAATTCATCCATTTTACCTTACTTTACCTATTAACATGTTGTTGTTTTTTTATATTAACTTTGGTTTTCCTTAGAATTATGACACAGAACACTCATAAACTGACATACCCCAGCAGGAGGGACAGCAGGGCCTCTTCCTCTGCTTGTCATACCATGTGCCTGAGAAGGAAATACCACATCTGGAACAGACCCTGCAGCAGACAATGATAAGCATTCAGGCCATTTAATAACAGCTCATATTAACAACTTGTTTTAATCAAATAGAACTACAACATTATGGGTATCTGAAATGATAACTGAAGACCCAGACTCACAGTATGCTGTCCTCTGATCCGAATTTTCCGTTTACAGAGGGGAGCAAAGTTGTTTTGGAGGAAGGAGGTGGAAGTTTAATCTTTTCTTCAACTGATAGATACTCTCTTTTAGGGACCTGGAGTCTAAATAATGTGGTACTCTGCGGCTGAAAATGTGTCTGGTTGTATGCTGGATGGGGATTTTTGGGCATCAAACTGGGGGTCAGTCTGTGGACGGAATCTGGGGTGTCAGCCCCCTCTCCTCTTTCCATCCAGCTGGACTCTGAGGAGGAGCGCTCCCGCACCCTTCTCTGATGTGTAAGAAAAACACACTTTTAGGTATGCATACACATATCCTATTTTGCAACTCAAAGTGATTTAAGAGGTTCGTACCTTTGCTCTATGTCGAATCCTAATGGGTGGTACTTCACCTTCAAGGAACTTTCCTGACTTGTATTCAAAGGAAGACAGGTCACATTGACCCTCCAACACGGAAAGTAGTTCTACTCGGCTTCTCACTCGATCCCCCTTTGGACTGTAATGAAAATACAAAAAATTATGAATTACCACCAACATGATTTTTTTTCCAGATCACATGGTTCCAATAAGACTTTAAAAATAACTATATCTAGTGAGCCAGTCCTACAAACTTATAAGGGTTATACCTTGCTAATATAACTTATTTGTGTTACTGATCTATCTGCCAACTTATCAATTTAGTCCAACGTCACAAAAAACAGCAACAGAAACAGCCTGAGTAATTGTTGGACAATGTTTGAAAAATCTGTTGTTTCCGACTAGCTCACATTTTTAGCGTGCTAACAGAGCAATAACTGCAAAAAATCTCAGATTCCAACCAAAGTTATCACTAGCTGACCATAAGTATCATAAGAGAGAAAGAAACTGAATAGCTGTACACTTTCAATATGTTTTACTAGACTTAACTCACCTTAAGTAATAAACATCCTTCTGTCCAATGCTACTACCCGAGCGCCTAACTACTTCTTTACGTTTCCAGCCCTCTCCAAGTATTGGCCATTCAACCCATCCTTCATCAGGAAGCGATCGTTTACGACGGGTAGTGTAAAGCCTGAAGTGTAAAAAATTAACAACGGTGAAAAACACATTAACATGACTAAGATAAAGCTGCTGAAAGGTGGGTAAGCTCATTTTTTTTAAGGAGTATAAGGGACAAATTGTATGCCACTCAAAAGCACTTGGATTCCCGAGGGAGTACCTTTGCTTATCACCATTAAATCTTTCAGACTAATAAATTACCATTATGATATAAGACATGTATGCAACATAAATCAGGTTCTGACTTCTTCAGTCCAGCATCTCTGCACACATCATCCCGCTGTCAGAACCATGATGCAGAAATTCAGATAACACCACAGACTTTGGTTTTTGGCCATAAAAAGCAGAATCTATTCCAGATCACGTCTCTTTCAGATTACATTATGTGACAGTCTGAAACCAACATCTTGAGACTCACCTATAATTCCTTCTATAGGCCTCACTTCTCTCATTGTCTCCAGCCAGGCTATCTTCCTCCAGATCATTCCTGCTATCACTGTTGGCTTCATCGTCATCCTCAAGCGGCTCAAACCAGTCAACAGGAGGCTCGCCACCAGCCGTGTTAGTCTCCTCCTTTATCTGTACTGGGGTTTCCTCTGCTGTTTCTGAGATGGGCTTCTCCTTTACATCAGAAACGTCAGAGGAAGCCCATGATTCTTGAGCCGGTGCTTCCTCAGAAGTGTTTTCTTCTTCGCTATTCCTCTCTGGGCTTTGTCCTGCATGTTTCTCTACTTGCTCTCTGTCAAGGACAGGGCTCTCAACCGGTTCTTCATTCATTGGTGCGCCCTTTGGTCTGGAGATTTGGAGACAAACTCACTAACCCCTAAAGCTGATCCTGCATCTCATATATATATATGTATATATATGTATTTTTTAACACGCTGTCTATCGATGTATCCACACAACCTTGGCCTACCGTTTCAGCTTTTCATGACAGCACCTGGAAAAAGAAACTGCTGTTTACAAACAGATTTACACTCAGTGAGTCAACAGCAGCTTGATGCTTCTGCTAACATAAAAACTGTTAGCTTAAGAGGTGTTACACAGACAATAGCTCAACAATATAACATTATCCGTCGGCAACACCATGATAAGGAAATACTGACAAATAGCATTTAAATTACTCGCTTAAATTGGCTGCTAATTGAGGCATATCTCGATGTTGTATTGTAATTTGCTGCTTCCATGCAGCTGAAGCAGCAGCTTCTCCTCGGTTAATTGACTATAGGCTAAGTAGTAAATAGCAAATGCTAACTAAGCACCAGCTAACCCAGGCTGCTAAAAGAGTTGGTTCCCAAATGTTTAATATTTTCGACTATGTACTACAGTTGCATGATAACCAAGCGTTGTGATTTTGATACCCATAACAGTGGAGGATTAGTGAAACAGGTTGGCTGAAACCAGTTAGCCACCGTTAGCCAGACTAATGTAAATGCTAGCCACGTTGAGCTACAGCGTCCCTCCTCCAAATTGGGGGGGAGTGAGATGCGAATAGTCTCTAAATGCTCGCAGTACGGCTGAACAACAAAAGCACACACCTTTAAATGTATATTCCCCAGATACCCAGCTCTCTGGACACAACGGGTACCGCTTCACCCTCCGTGGACGAGCCTATGTAGCCAGCTAGCTACCATGCATTTAGCTAGCTTTATCGGATACGGGGGGGCAGTCACCAAAGATGCAAATTATATGGGTTCAGACTTTAACTGCAGGGGGCGCTACAAACACTACAGCGATGTGAGGAAAAACAACAAAGACCGACAGTATCAGAATAGTAGGGGAGAGTGGGGTAAGTTGAGCCAAAGGGTTAGTTGAGCCACCCCCTGTTGCTTGGAAATGGTAACAGAATTTGATCATGTCATCAAATAATTAGGAGATGGGCATCAATTCATGGAGTCTGTTAAGGTTAGAAGCACATGGGTGAAGGGGTTAGACATTTATTTACAAAAAAAAAACATTTTTCACTCTTGAAGGTGAATTTAGTCTGTCATAAGTTTTATTAGAATTGTGTTCAGACCATAAAATCTCCAAAGGGAAATTCAGTTGTCTGTTGTCTTACATAATATGTCTCCAAAAGTCATCTATTTACAGAAGAGTTGTAAAGTCTGATGGCTGTGGGTACAAAAGATCTCCTGAATCTTTCTGTCCTACAGCGAAGAGAGAGGAGCCGTCCACCACCATTGGCCCTTTGGTCCATCAAGGTGTTGTGAAGTGGGTGATCCATGATCTTGAGAATAGTCTCCACCTTCCTCAGTGTAGATCTCTCCACCACATCCTCCACTGAGTCCAGCTTAAGTCCAACCACAGCGCCAGCCTTTTTCACTAGTTTGTTCAGACGTCTTGCATCTTTGTGTTTGATGCTTCCTTCCCAGCAGACTGCAGCGAACAACAGAACACTGTAGACACCACAGACTGATAACACATCTGCAGCATCTTACTACAGATGTCTATTGATCGGAGTCTTCTCAGGCAAAAGAGCCGACTCTGCCCCTTTCTGTAGATGAAGTCTATATGATTTATTTTATTTTGGGCTGGGGTGGAGAGTTGGGTTGGTGGTGGTAGGGATATGGCTCAACTTACCCCATACACAGGGGAATATGTGGAGATACACTAGTTAGAGACAAAACTATGATTGCCTTGATTTAGTGATTGGAAATATGAAAAATGGCGCTTTTTATCCCACTCTCCCCTACAGCAACTCAGAGAGGTTGTTCTGATATCAAGAAATTCATCAACAGGTTAGCAAAAATCTTTATTTTTGCTTTGGCTGTAATGTTTATTGAGACTAATATCTGCCCCATCAACATCTTGAGCCTGGAAGTGACTGGGAGTGATTTTTCTGGACTTAAAAAACCACCACACCATTCAGGTCATGAGTGTTAATGATGGGTTGGTAAATATAGACCAGGCGTCACTGCCACTGTACCATTCACACCTTTAGAAATAATTACCAAAAATTATAATATATTATGTGGCTTACATGCTTTCTTGTTCCTCAGAACTGTGGTGCACATAATTCGCACATAAGTGGAAAGTGGGAGTGGAAATCAAATGCAGCTCTGTACAGCCATGGTAAGTATTTATATAGATATGACAGGCTATAGTTAAAGTTAATTTCTAAATGAGTACACAAAGAAGAAGCTGAAGTTAAACAGTTCACTATAAAGAAAGCAAAAATAACAGATCCACCACTGACACATATCCTTGCACACATTTTAGTTGTTTATTCATGGCAATCATACAAAAATGAAGTCTCAAAACAGCAGTTAATCTACCCATCAGAAAAATAGAAATCTGTTGACTCCTTAAAGTTAACACTTATAGAAAGATTTTAAAATAATTATAGAGTTATAAAAGCCGGTTTTCATTCAAATTGTAGTTATCGTTGTAAAAGTTTAAAGCCATGTTATATACAAAGGTCCTCAAATGCAGGCAGGTTTAACTACCTGTCCTTGTTACTCCTGAGATCGGTCGTCAAGGGATCATGTTGAATAGTTTGGTGCAGCATCAGAGCGAGCAGACCAGCTCTGTTGGTCATTGCAGTCCTGACGTTACGCTCTTGTTCAAAGAGCTCGTCCAACTTGTACCACTGAGGGTAAAGAACACATCGCTATAAGATTGTCCTACTAAGTAATACGTTTAATTTCTAAAGGAATATGTAAATTTTTTAACATCAGCTGGTAGCACAGTGCAACTTACCACTCTGACCCTTTCTAGGTCAACCTCTGCTCTCCTCAGCTTTTCCCAGTTGTAATGTTTGTTGCATTTTCTTTTGGAAACCCTGCAGTAATCTCCAGTCAGCTCAAACACATTTTTGACCAGAGGACATCCGCACACCTCATCCACTGGGATCTAGTCATCAAACAAAACAAAAAAAGAAAAAGAAAATTTGACTCTTCCAATACTGCTTTTCAGGTGGGTATGTTACTATTTTTTAATGTTTTAAGAAGTTTGGAGTGATCCCTTTAAAGCCTTAGGGTCTACCTTTATATCTTAAATGATTGAGGGATTCATACTGACCTTAGGATCTCTGGAGTGTTCTGGACACAAAACCTGAAGCCTCTTACAATAAGTCTTGCTTTGGGGATTGTACACATCACAGAAGAGTCTGGTTGCTCTGCGGAAAAAAGAATCAGTAAAGCGACAGTCTGAAAGATGATGTCTTCAATCAAAGGATTTCTTTTTCTTACCCTTCTATTCTTGTAGGATACATGGAGCCAAAGGATGTCTGACTCTCGTACTGTAAGGAATGATCAGGAAAAAGGAAAGTTATGTGCAACAAACATGATTTTGAAAAAGCTTTCATCAGTTATTTGAAGCAGAAACAGCAATTTAAAAAAAATCCATACCTTTGCATAACATCTCTCCATATGTCTCAACGCCACTTTTGGATTGACTGGATGGCTACAAGAGACACAGAAAATCTGCAGGTCTGTGTCCTCACTATCACCTTCATTCACCTGCAAGCACATATAAAAGATACTTTTTACTATCTGATCTCTGGTAGTAGCTTGAAATAAATACAGACTTTCCTAAAGCTGGCCCTGTCTGCATCTTTGTCTCTGGACCTGGAGGCAAAGGTTGCTACTGAACAGAAAAAGCACTTAACCAGTTGCCAATGTCAGCTCACCTCCTCATCCTGCTGAACCGCCTGCTGCTTGGCCTTAGCAATGATGCCCTCCAGTTCATGAAAGCGTCGCTCCATATCTGTGAGACGCAGCCGGGCATTCTGCTGTTCTTTACGGATGCGCTCAAGTTGCTTCTTACCATGCTCCTCGGCGATACACGGACTCTGCTGCCACTGCTGGATGCGTTGAGGAAGGATCTCATAGATCCGGCTGTGGATCAAAATGCAAAGATTCTGGTTCCTCAGTCACTACTACAAACCAGCTTTTCACATAAAGATACAAAAACATGCTGTACATACTAAAAAAAAGCAGAGGCATTATAATGTCCTAGCACTAGGTGGAGCAATAGTGCTATCATGTGATTGATGTGATGAACAAACAGTTCATGTAGTCTATCTAAACTCAATGATGATGTTGATTTGGTCTGTTAAAAGTTTGTTCTGAGTCATGTTTCTGCCCTCACAGAATAAACAGGTACAAGCATGAGTTCTTACTTGGCTGCCAACTTCATGCCACAGTCCTCAGAGCAGTATTTGGAGTTTGGTCTTGCTGCTTCCACACAGTTTGGCCCCAAACACTGACGCTGCCCTGTGCTATCCCGGAGGTCTCCCTTATCACTATATTTGGTTCTGTCTTTGTGCTTCTGCTTCTGCTTGTGGCGTCGTGCCTCCTTCTACATAGTTAAAAAAAAAAAAAAAAACAGGATTAAGTAAACAGGATTTTACCGTCTTTATTCCTGTTATGTACAATGTTAACCTGGCGGTACTCACTTTTTTGTCGAACTTTTTTTCACGCCTTTTGACATGCTTCACCTTCACTGCTTTCTTGCGCATGACAGGACTGAAAGGAGGTTCATCATCGTCATCACTGGCCCATGTCTGTACGAATGGGGCACAAAAAACACCTGAAAGTTATCAAGGTGTCCAACAAAGTGAACATTCATTTTATAACTCAGGCCATCAAGCTACTGAACTCTGATGATTAGAAGTCTGGAACACTTTGATGCTCTTTCACAACTGCTGTTTGTTTTAATAACAGTTCTATAATGTTGGAATAATGTCCCAGTTTTGGTCAGTTGATTTCTCTATACAGATATGTCTTGATTTTTTTTATGCCTCCTCTTTACCAGATGTTGGTGCAAAACAAATTTCCTCTGGATGACAAAGTTTAAGTTGAAAGTGTGCAAATTCAGCTGCTGAACAGGTGTGACTCAAAGTAGCGATTTTGTTGCATCAATTTTTCTCTACCATGTTGTTGGTGAGTCCTGCATCCTTGTACTGCTGGTAGAGTTCTGCTTCACTGTCATAGTCGTCAGAGTACCGTCTTCGTCTGTGGTAGGAATTGTCTCTCCTTTCTTGCAAAGAGAGCTCTTCATCCTTCACACGCAACATTTTCTGTGTATAAAAAACAGCATTGAGCACATTGTCAAAGCAGCTACAAAGAAATGCACAAACACATCAGAGATCACTAAGGACTACATGCTTTGGGGTTTAAATAAAGGACTGATGTGTTAGGTTTCTCCTTGATTAGGTATTGTATATCATGGAGCTGGTACCCCTTTGTCAATGAATGATACCTCTCCTGCAACAAACAAACATTCTGGTAAAGGATCCTTGTTGCTTGAATAAACTCGATCTTTACATACTGCCATTTCAAGGTGTGAGTGTGAAGCTCCTGCTTGCCGTGCCTCTTGCACTCTCACAACGACACAATGTGATGTGTAATGTTACACTTGGACAAAAATATTACGTCTTTACAGGCTGCAGTGTGTAAGTGCAAAGGTTAAATGATGGCAGAACTCTGATTCAGCACTGTTGCTGGATTGCAATGTGCAAGACGCTTCTGACATACACAATGTCTAGAAATAAAGTATAAAAAAACAGTAACTTACCCTCGCTCGAACCTCACACTGCCTAAACCTGCACTTCTGTCTAATTTTGTTTGGGCCTCCAAACTTTTTCATGTCCTTGCAGAAGTCACACTGGGCACAGTCCTCAGTCCTTCTGCAGGGCTCACACTCCCCACACATTCGGACTGAACGCTTTACCTGAGAAAATCAGACAATGGATGATGGCAACAGATGCATCCAGAGATATTCAACCAAAGCTTGATAACGAGTGGTTGGGAATTCGACACAAAGCAACTGTTTTCAGTGTTTGAATCTCACAATGATGCTGTTAAAAACATTAGTGAATTAGTGTTATAAATGTGTGTACTTGTCGCAACCTTGGTCACTCTTTTAGCTTACCTTTGATCCACGCCGCCGGTCGCTCTTATAGTCTGGGGTACTCGGGGTGCTGTAGGATTTTTCATTTCTGTCATACTCAGCTTCTTTCTCTCTGTTTTTCTTTGACCTATACTTTATTTCCAGGGAGGAGTTTTCATCTGGTGAGAGTGAGAAAAATGTTGTTTAGTTTCAGGATTTCTAGTACATCTTATGTAAAAGACGGCAAAAAAAAAAAAAAAGTCTCATCACCTCTGCATCTCATGCAGTACCATTCTCGGATTGCCTTGGCGGCCTTCTCACTAATGTTAATGCAGTGACCATGAAACCACTCGTTACAGTTATCACAGCCACTGTCAGTCAAAGAAAAAAAACAAAATTCATATGAGCATTATCGAATGTCTTTGCAGTAAAAGTGTGATTTTAATAACTGCTTTGCTGTTATTTACTTACATCATGAAGCAGTTGATGTCAGGTTTGCGACAGATACAGTACAGAGGCGCATTCTCCCCCTCCATACTGCTAGTCTCAGGCCCTGGTACATGGTCGATATCTGACATTTCACTGTCCTGAAAAGAAAAACATGCATCCTTACTCAATACCATACATAAGTGTTGAGAGTTTTTAAGGAGCAGAGAGCTTAATGAGTGGTCCACAGTGCTTAGTAGACAAGTATTTTACTCTAGTGTAATTTCCTGTGATTAGAGGCTGTAGCTCATGTATACTCAGGTCGCTGCACTGCATTTTCAAATCCTGCTTGTATGAGTGTGTTGGTCGCAGGCCTTTCTCAAATGCACTGCATCAGACTGAACCCACAGTGCTTCAGTTGGTATCTTCTAATTCAGCTGCTAATGGGTAAGGTCATGAGAACCAGGCCCTGAACCGAAACTGCTATGCCTACACTTCTCAGTTCTGGGTTGATTATTTGGGAAAGTCTTTAGACTTGACAGACACAGCTTAAGCTTTGAGGAACCTTCTACTTCTAAAGGAACAAAATGGGTAATTTCACAGCTTTTTTTCTGTCTAGACAACATGGAACCAGGTCATGATCCAACATCAAAATACTGAGACTTCTAAAATCTACCAGAGATTTATCTAGAGAGACTTCAAACAGTGTCAGGATTGTGATACTTTTATATTGTATGTGAGTACACGAAATGGATATTCCACAGTTTTTCACCCCTTTCTTGCATTTTTCACAAACCTAAGACTGTATTTTAGAGAGTCTTGAGTCGCCTTAGAACAATTCAGAACAGATATGAAGTCTTCACTTTAGACTCTTTCAGATAGTCTATGCCACATCTGACAGGTCTCGCAGTCGTGGTTTTGGATCAGGGCGTTGTTTCCATAACCTACCCTGTCACAGCCCATTCAGTCGCTGCAAGCACGGCGCTAACTTCAGCGACCTGTTTGCATCCTGATGCTTCTGCAGCAGCATGTGCTCTCACACTCACCCAACAAACGTAACATTTTATTAATTATGTTTCATATCCGAGGCCAAAGACATCGTAGTTTACTGTTGCAACTAATCTACTGTAGAAATTCGACTAACTTCTACCAGCTGATTTTGTTTTGACATGGTGAAGCGAAGACAACCGAACCTGATTAGACATCCAGCTTTACAGTTTTTCTCAGTCATTTTGGTGCATTTCTCAGTTTAGAATGAAAGTTCTCACAGCTTTTAGTTCAACCTCCACAACATTGAGCATTGTAGCAGTTTCTCATTCCTCTGAACAAATTGCAAATGCTCTTGGACATGTTTATGTTACTTTTATACAATTTTCTGCTGTTTTATAACATAATCATTTCTTGAATACTGTCAACATTTGTGCACAGTTCTACCAAAATAGTATTTCTTATGTTCGTTGTAACAGTGATTCATTTTTAATTTTTTTTGCACAATGCTGTAGGATTGCAAAGCGCATATGCAGTCAATATGTGAAACATACACGTCTCTTGCACTCAGTTACCTCACTAAATACAGTAATGTGTAACTTTACTGCAGTTTTCAAATGGCTGTACAGGTAGTGTATGGTGCTGTCTTGAGCATTTTCAGGTAGTGTCACCAAGATCTGACTTTTTTGCATTGGAAAACACAGAAACTGTCATAATGAAAACATGACAAAGCTATTTGACTGTCTTGTTCATAAACAATGGTGTCAGGACATATTATATTGATGACACAGACAGTTCCATTGACATGAATACTTGCTTTTGAGGAATCAACTACTCATTTTGAGCAAGTGATGCTCTTTTGCAGGTTATCCACTAGGTTTTGCAGCTTGTCCGAATTGTTCTGAGAAATGCACCAACTGTTGTACAAATGTTAATAGTGATGTGATAAATGCACCAACGCGATTGAGATAAACTGCAACAGCTTCCACAGGGAAACTCAGCGTAAAAGCAGCTGTTTTATTTACTCTCCTAGTATAGCTGTAAGCGAAGTTAGCTGTCGCACAGCAGTCAGACAAAAACCCTGAGCGAAACTCTCCTTTACCGCGGACACCCCCCCTTAGAGCTAGCTAGCTTAACTAGCTGGACCTGCAGTCTAGGAATAACATTGTTACTACAGACTAAAATGGTCCGCTTTAAAGGTTTCAAGACTTTGATTCGAACAGGATCAGAAGTCGGACTTCCAAATTCTCCAGTAGGGCGTAAAGTTAAGGCTCCTCTACGTAAAAATGTCGAAAGAGAATTCGCCGAATTTCAGGAATCAAACACTGTAGACTTTTTTGAATACTCACCATAGTTAGGATCAGGCAGGACAAAAATAATCGGAGAATGAAGTGAAAAGCGAAAGAGTATTCAGCGACGGAAAATGCTGCAACTAAACGGCTAGCAGCGTAGCTAATGCGATGTTTGGGTGAAACGTTACCCGTGTTCGTCAATGATCGGCTGAACTCGTTGCCACTCGTCATAATAATATCACCCGTGATTGGTCAGATTTCTTCTTCGCTAGTTTCACAATACCAATCTAGCTTAAATTTCGCCACCTGTTGGATTTAGTATAAATTACAGCTCATAAAGAAATAATTCAGAAAATATAAGTGGCAACCTTTAGGAGGTAACATACTGTGTCGCCACAAAAACATGTATAATGTGAATTTAATCTTAAACGTGACTTGCAGGTATACGTATGTGACAACACACTACCTTCTTAAAAACACATCTACATTTATGAAAACAAAGAGAGTGAGAGACAGGGGCAGAGGGAGGGGCAGAGGGAGGGGGGCAATAAAAAGCCTCTATATCAACTCCACCTCCGCTGTGTCACTAATGGATGCACCTTTAATCAGGACTGGGAGCTGGTTTGCCTACTACGACATTATGCAATAAAAAGTAAGTAAAACATCTTTCTTTCTGAACTTCTGTCCAATTCAGACAAGAATTAAAGAGCGAATAGAATAAGCTTTTAGTTACCTTTTGTTGCAGTAGTCAGATATCTAAACATACATCTTTAAAGATAATGAAGAGAAATTCCTCAGCGCTCGATGTACCATATGGAAAAAGTCAAACTATTACATATGATTAGTATTACTTAAAGACATGAACTATCAATGAACAGCAAATTCCGCTTTATATTCCCTTAGCTGTCAGGGTGTTGCAACATTTATGTACATTGAAAATGTTTCTAAAATGGTGATTAATAATAGATTAACTTCTCTGCAGTTTCCAAGATGTCTACTCATCACTAACAGCCACAAAACCGCAGCAACAGACCTCAATCTGAGCTTGTGGTATCAACAGAGAATACACTTGTAGTAATAATAATAACGATGATGATGACGATTATTATTTATTTATTCAATTATTTCATCATCATTATTATTATTATTATTATTATTATTATTATTATTATTATTATTATTAGTAGTAGTAGTAGTAGGAGTAGTAGTATTAGTATTAGTATTAGAGATCCACTGGTCCAACTAGTCAACTTTTTTTGTTTTTCATTTGTTCTACCTCCCCAGATGGGCTTCTTCTCCCGTCATTTTTCTGAGACCTGATTAAGCCAGTAACATCTGAAAGTAGAAGCTACGATGGATGTCAAGTCACCACACACAAATAAAAAGAAAGAGGATGGACTTTATGACAAACCAAACGCCCACAGATCAGTTGTTCTATCTGATAACTCCATCATAGGTATGTTCCCAAAGAACAGGGTTTAATGAAAGTCATGAAATGTTGTTTGTTTAGAAACCCCGAACTTCCTTCTGCTCTTGTTGTATAGAATCTGTGACGCAGACAACTAGTTTTTCAGAGCAAACTTCCACCGAGGATCTTCAAATATCCTTAACAAACAACTCTGTGGATGTATTTCCAAATAAGGCATCAGGTAACTCATATACTTTATACTTGTAGCTACGACTTCTTAAATCTAGAGATGTTGCTGGCTGCTCTTTTCAATGTCTTGTGCACAAGCTTTTGTTGAAACCAACTTGCATAACAACTAATAAGGTGGAGTGACAGGACCATTATCCATCAGTGACTTGTGCTCTGTAGAGAAAGACCAACCAAAGCCGTCTGGTCCCTTGCTACCACCCTCTGTGGAGGTCGGCACAGTCCATGAAGCAAATCGGTCTCTAAGGTTAAACAGCAGGAGTCAGGAAAGCATCAAAACCATGACCATCTATTCAGAGTCACAGAGTGAAGGTAAGGACAAAAACTGTTGTATATTCCTTTGAATCCTACTTATTTCTACTCCTTTTTTTCTAAGATTAAAACTGTCTTCTATCCCCTGACCTCTTGTCTTTGTCACTGTCTTGTCTATCCTGAGACACTTGTGCTGCTATCCTCATGGCCTGCCTCTTCTGTCACCCTCTGGACTGCTTACTGGCCACAATGAGAGGGTGTAATGAGTGCGTTTGGTCACTGTGCTCGTCCCTGTGTGGCTGTGAGCCCTCCGCCCTGCAGCCTCTCCTGGACATCACTCACCACTGTGACCTCTGTGGATGTCTGAGCATTTGCTGCTGCAAGTGTGAATATTCCATCTGTGATCTCTGCCTTCAGGCTACAGAGTGCCTGGACCTCGCTATGGAAATTTCTCAGATGCTTTACCACTGATTCAGACTGCTAGTAAAGAAACACACCCAGACGAGAATCACTGGGAATCATTTATTTGTTAAAATTGTCCAAAAGCCTCAAAGACTCAAAGAGACAAGACACAAATGCTACCTGTTTATGTTTAACAGTCAAGGCTAGCACTCCAATAAATGTCAGATAAGACATTTTCAATGTTGACTTTAAGTGGAAAAAGTTGAGCAGATCTAAGCTGTGGAGTAAAGCTGCTCTCAGTTTAAAACAATGTAGGGCAGTTCTGAGCAAGCAGATTCGGACACCTTAAAATCACTCTATATAAAAACACATGGTTCTGGCAGCCTCAACTAATTTTGCTTTGAGGTTCATCACAGTTTAAAGAATAGTTCAACGTTTAATTACTCTGAGGTTCTTCCCAAAAAATAAAATAAACAGTGCGCCAGTGTGAATTAAAAACAACACATTCATTTACTGTACATAACGATGTTTGTTGCATTTGATAAACTGAATGCCATTGTAGAGTTTGTGGCTAATAATGCATTGGAGGTTTCATACACAAAAAAAAACAGTTATACCTTATCACTACAGAGGTGAGGCTAGTGGTTGGTTGAAAAGAAGGCAAAGGCCCTCTGAGTTCATACAATGAGCAAAAAATGGTTATTAGATATATTACTTTTGATTAAAAAAAAAAAAAAGTCTTGGTTGAACATGCTAACCGGTAACATTACTCAGTGATCACCAAGAATAACAGCGACAAACAAATAATAATAACACATTTTAGTCTGAAAAAACTACTTATTTAACTATTATTTGGATGTAAAAAATATCATGAACAACAGTACTGCTGAAAAGGAAAATTTGTTCTGCATCTGTCAAACAGCCTTGTACTTTCATTGTATGAGTTAATATATCAAAAAATAATATGCTGATTTGTAATTTGTAGCTACTCTGGAAGAAGACCTGCTTTGGCTAACTAGCTGCAGCAGCAAGTGATTTCCCACTGCTTTTAAGGGTTATTACAAATACATGCAACCTAGGCATCCACTGTGTGTAATAGTAATAAAAACAGATGAAAGCTCTCATAAAATGCATAGACTGCCATAAAATAAGGTGCAATAGAATTGCTCAAAATAAAACATTCTTATGTACAATATGCAGAAAATATTTCACTATGTGCTGATTCACTGTACAAAGATCCCTTCTGTAGCTGCTGGTGAAACAACCCAACATATGGATGAGCATATGAATGCTGCGAATAAACCCTGATTCCAGTCAGTTTAGAAAAACAAACAAACAAAAAAAGAGTAAAAACAAAATATACTGTGTTGGCATCTCATGATGAGTTCGTATGCTGTATGCCAATGTTGTGAGAAAAACCCTTGCAGCTTTCTTTTTAACAGTTAAGCGCATAATAGATTCAAATAAATTCTTTATCCCTCTTAGATCTCTGAAGAAAATCTTAAAAAGTATTTATGAATGCATTTCTCAATGCCATGCCCCTAGTTTACAATATTCCATTCTATTAATAAGATTGCATCTCCTAACCCAGATATAGTCATCTGACCCTCTCCGCACAGGAACAATAATTCAGTCTACATGGTGAAAATATTTGTTAGTCATGATCTTATTGTTAGCTATGTTTGGTTCTCTAAATTAAATTCTATAGTCCTACAAATAGCCTCATGTTATTAAAGGATAGACCTCACTTGTTGACATTCTTGTTCCTCAAAAAAGTCTCTGATAGCTACACAGAGCTTATCACAAGTCCTCATCCATTTCAAGGCTGCTCCTGCGGCTGCTAGTTTTAGAGGCACCAGGTGACAAAGGAGAAAATAGTGGGTCGACCACCCTATCGGGAGACAGGGTGCACCCGTCATCCATAAGAATGTCTCCCAAGCCTACGTCAGGGTAAAGCGCTGAGGCTGAGCTGTCATCGAGCTCAGCAAAGCTCAGACTGCCCAAGTCCAGGGGGCTACTGATGGTGACTCCCGCAGGAGAGTCTGAGGAGGGCGGGGACAAGAAGGAGGCTGGCAGAGGCTGTCCGATGGCTGCCACGCCAATACCAAGGAGATTCTGGGAGGAGGCTCCTCCTGAGCTTGAAGGCAGAGACTGAGTGCCCTGCTGGACCCGCTGATGGAGCAAGGAGGGATCAGAGCCAAGACCAGAGGGGACACTGTTTGGTGTTGAGAGGCCATGGATTTGTGCCTGCATTTCCAGCTCCTATAAGCAGAGAGGTGCATTAACCCTCAGATGAATTGGACAAAATTATAATTCAACAACACAGAGTCAGTGAAGAAAATAGCCTCACAAAACTTTACCTTAAAAAGTCTATCTTTGCTAGGTCAGATGAGTAAAGGGTGCTAAAACAGAAATTTGAGTGATCTTTAGAGACAGTGAAGGGGAACCAGGTCTTATTAGACAATAGTCGACTTCCTGATTAAAACCTTCATATAGCAAACTTTTGAGCTAGTGTGCATTTTTACACAACACAACCAAATTTTTAAGAAATCCACTCTGTAGCTGTTTTTTTTTTTTTTTCAAATTAAAAAAACTTCACTTGTCTAAGCTGCACGCCAATGTAAGCCATAAACACAGACCAAGACAGTTTAACAAATATTCCTTTGACAAATTTGCTACATTATCTCCATGCTCGGCAGAAATGTTTACGGCCTCTGCCCAAGAGTCTTACTATGAAGCACAAAAGTGTGCACTCTGGGTCACGTAGATGCCATCCATTTACGGGGCTGACAGACATGTACTAACCTGGATGCGTAAAAGTAGACCGTGGTTTGCCTGCTCCAGCTTTTTCTGCCGCATCTCGATATCTTTGGCTCTGAGCTGTTCTTTCTGTAGCTTCCTGATGTAGTCGACGGAAGCTTTCAGAATGGTGCCTTTATTCCAGCGCATCTCACTGTCATCAATGTAAAAATCAGAGAAAGAAGAGAGAATACAAAAGGATTCATGTTAAACCAGACAACAGCTGTAACAGAGATGAGAATTAAAAGCCAAGTATTTACAGATACATGCAGTTCTGGCAGAAGGACCAATAAGCATCTAGAAACCACAGACTGCACTTACGGGTCACTTGATTTGGGTATCAGGGTGCCCAGCTCCTTTATACGGTCGTTAATGTTGAATCTTCTCCTCCTCTCAACTGTGGACATGCAACAGCAAAGACTATGGTTAGGCAAACACTTTAATCTATCCTCTAAAACAGCACTATCATCAATATCTCAGTAAATTAATGTGATTTTAAGTATGGAAACTGTTAACACTGATGCAGAAGACAGTGTAAACAAAATTAAATGAAGCTGAACTGAAGCCAAACTTACTGAGATTGTGGTTGTCTTTCTTCTGCCTTTCTTTCATAAATGCTTTGGCATCTGCATCTGACAGAAAAAGTCATGGTTCAGTGCAACAAAACTTATCAAACACCCAAAAGAAGCTAAAACACATAAAAATCTATGTTCCTTGAGAAAGTTTAACTTACCGGTAATTTCCCTTTTAATTTTGGGCAGATCAGCAGGGCAGGAGTTGCTTACAGTGAGAGTGGGTGCTGCCATTCCAGGGCTGTGGTATACATCCAACAGATTTCCTGGGAGCTACAGAATAACACCAATAAAAGCACATCTTACAAGTCAAAATCATTTCTTCTCCCTCTCTTTGGGGAAAGTTAAAAAAACAAAGCAGTCCAACATGTACAAGACTATGAATTATACTAAATGAGGCACAGTGCAAATCAATGATAGCAAAATGACATTGCAAAGTGATTTCTAATAACAAATCTTATTTAATAGAATAAAAATACTGTATAATAAAAATCCTGTCAAACTGTTATAAAGTTCATAAGCTTAAAAACTCAATAAACAGCATTTACCTCACTGTGCTTCTTTTTCTTTTCCTCCAACAGCATCACCATAATCCTCATTTTTTTCATAGGCTGAAAAATGTTGGCTATCTATCTATCTAACAGCTTAGTTGTTAACCTAGAAGCTACAATGAGAGTTTATATGAGTGCTCTCTGCTCTTTGTTTCACTACTCCCTGTCCTGCATCCACTAAAAGTTTTGCTCCGCCCAGGCAGCACTTTTGTGACGAATAGTAACCAAGTGACAAAAGTGTATATTTACTACGACGTCTCAGGAATTCCTCACTTGGAGGAACCATCCATTCACAGAAGAACTGCTTAATGTTGAAAACTATTATGGTGTTCTGAAAAAATGTTCTGAACTCCGTTTTGCTATCCTGAGAGCCCAGAGAACGAATGGACTAGTGAAGAATACATTTCTTAAATTTTATACATGTGGTTAGAAAAATTCACAGATTTTCATACCGTGCTCGGCAGCTGAAGACCTGAGTCAATCAAGGTAATGATGTCGTCATTAAAACTGGATTCAAGACTTATGATGTCATCAATCACATCATCAATCTAGATAAAGCAGAGGATAGGAGAAAAAAAAGGGTCAGTTAAGATTTGGGGTTAAATGTTCAAGCCTTTACTTTTACTATCAGAAAACAGTTGAGTATACTCACTTGAAGACCAAAAGTCACTACTATACATTTAAATAACAGTTCCAAAGGGATTTCATTTCAAAGAGAGAGAGAGAAGTGTGCAGAAGAAGAGCCAGCATGGTTAAACTAGGGGTGCAGTATTTAACATCTAATTGTGACAACAGGCCAACAAGGGTATGATAACAAAGGCATGCATCATCATCACAGTGGGATCTTTGGGTACATCATTGCTTAGCAAACAAAAAGCAATTAAGCCAGGAGTAAGCAAGAGGTCAGACATCTAAGTTCTCCAAAAATGCACTGGAAGTATGCGGAAAGGCAACTATTGACGTGGTTGTGCAATCTGCTGTACCAGCAAATCAAAACCACACACAAAAAGTTAGAGAAGTCAATTCAAAGCAGTAATCTGTCATACTTCCTCTTTGTTGGATCCAATGTTAAGCAGAGCCATAGGACTGTTTGGGGCGCTGCTGGCAGTCGGAAGAGCTTCTGGGGCAGAACTGGACTGTGGCACCGGGGACACACCCATGGTCTGTGTAACTGCTATGTTCCCCAAAGTGGTTGAGAGGTACTGCTTCACCTGCTGCCTCTGTGCTTGCTGAATGTGGTACTTGGTGGGGTTTTCCAAGTGGGTCTGCACCTGATCATTTAAACGAATTATTTAGAGCTAACACAGTATCACACTCCAACTTCACTGAGTAAAAAATACAAACAAAAGATCCTCTTACTTTCAGCACCTCCACAGGGACCTGTGCTGGTGGGGGGCGGGCAGCATTGGGGGGCAGTGTGACAGAGATGGCTGGAGTGGAATCAGAAGCTCGAAGCTGAGAGGCAGAGGCCTGCTGCTGGGCCTCACGTCTCTCCTGCTCCTGGGCTTGCTCCCGCATCAGCTGCTGGCGCAGTAACACGCGTGACGACATGGCTGGAGACAGGTATCAAGATCTAGTGATGGAGCTGGAAAAAAAAAGAATCAAAGAACAAAAACGCACTTTTGATAAATAATACTGTTATACTAAAATATATGATGCTTTACATTATTACACTATTGAGCTACTGTACAGTGTTGTTTTCGTTGACGTAGACGAAAATATTTCGTCCACGTCTTCGTCAACAAAAACAACACTGCAGAATATATGTTTTGCATTTGACTGACGAAATGCTCATGAATTTTGCAACTCTGTTCGTCGTCCACCACTAACATTTACGTCTAGTATTGTCTTATCAACATAAACGCACATTCGTCTCGTCACATTTTAGTCATCTAAGACTTATGTTTAGCTCGTCAACGTCTTCGTCTTTGTCGTGGGAAAAAAAGGGGCGTTGATGAAATATTTTCGTCAACGAAAACAACACTGCTATATAAGTCATGCCTCATCATTACCACTTTAAGTATGTTAGAAATTGGGGGTCAATGATGTTGGATTTTCAGGGCTGACAAAGATTATGACTAATAGATTATAACTGGTTTGTGGCTAAAATCTTGAACTTGGAACCAATATCCATGTAGAGTAAAAAAATGTAAATCTCACTGTCAAAATTAAGAATTGAGGATCTAACTAACTCGGAAAGTGTTGAGGGCAGGACATTACTTGTTACAGAATGGTGGCTGAAAACAGACACGGAGGATGTGGTCAAAGTAGCACACTTTAAAAGTGAAATGCTTTTTCAGCAATCACTAAAATCCAACGCTGGTACAGATAATGTCAAATATGATCTCCAGTAGCTACTTCTTTATTCTTGTTGCTACTACTGAACCCCATAACAAAATATGCTTTGATTAATTTAAGTAAAAAAAGAAGCTTTATAGTTACTTAAAGCAAATAACATTTTCTGAAAAAAAAAAAAAAACAGCCTGTGGATAGCATTGTACAACACAGAAGTAAAATATGTTGAAGGTTGATCTTAACCTGTCAGACACCATACTCTGTCAGTTTAAAGCAGTGTCACACATACTTAAGCGCACAAAAGTATTCAGGAATGAAAGAATCAAGTGACAGAGCTGAGATAAAACACATGCCTTTCAAATCAGAGTCTGCAAAATGACTTTTTTAGGAAGTGAGAGTTTCATCGGTGTGGAGTGGGCAGTCCTTGTCATCAGCTCAGACAGTCAGTTTTCTCTAAACTTTCAGCCGCCCTGTACAATCAGGGAATCTTTTAACCCTACATCTGTGTACATGAAGTACTTATCTGAAGCACATTTGATCCACTTAGCTCCTGCTCAGTCGTGCATCATGTATAAAATTGTCTGCTTGTTCATAACCTGACAATCTTACTCACTGTATTTATACTACACCCCCCATGGCGTCGGAGGTGAAGCTGGCTATCATCACAGCCCCCGCCTGTAGGTTCAGATGCGGGGAAATAAGTGGACAGAGGTGATGTTACCTCGGGACACCCTTAGCAGCAAACAGTACATTAAAAAGCCAACTCACCACACAACTTGATAGTTCTTTTGAGCCATTTAGAGCGTTATATTAAACACTTAGCTGGTTTACTTTTAGCTGTTCTCGTAATCTCTATTTATAGACAGGGGTAGTACACCGTCCTCACAACCTGACAGCCCAGTGCTGCCAAAGGGCCCACATCAGCGCGCAGACTACAAATAAACATCGCGATAATATTTTTATGTTCATGACTGCCACTTCACGACAGACGGAAAGATATTGGTCACTCTGGCGACAAGCAATTATGTAGAAACAGTTTCACCGGGCAGTCGCTGAATGGTGAAAATAGGAAGTAGGGGTAAGCTAGTTAGCAAGGTAGCATGAGCACCATTAACTTGCCCAAAAAGCTAATGCTAACTAGCTTTGTAATTTATTTTAGAGCGAAATGAAAACATACTGTGATAAAATGCCTCTTTCTTGTAATCAAAGCCATAAACCCTCGAAGTCCTCCGTTTTCATGCCCATTTTGAATTCGCTGAAGCTCTTGAACCGCCGCTAACTTCTCCAGGACCAGTGTTGTTTATCTTTGGTCGACGGTCTGAGGTCATCTTACGCCTTACCCGGAACTTGTTGACAGCTGTCAGATCCCAGATTTTCACAAGTACGGCGCGTGCACAGCGCAACAACCAAGACTGACCAGCTCTCCAGTCAAGAGTCACTAATGGATACATTATTATTACGAGGTAATGTCACGTCTAAGTAATGAAAATGTCAGGGAAAAGGTAGTGAAAACAGTGCAGAAAAAATATATTTTAAACTCTTGTACTTGGAGATACCGACAAATCATTTCCAACGGTGTGAAAAATATCGTCCAAGTTAGAAATGTCTAATTTGTCCAACTCCCCATCCTTATTTTTTATGAACTATTGAAGACAAATAAATGAATCTCAATCTTGGTTATAAGTAAATTTGTTTTCTCTCTCAAGTGAAATAAAAAACACTCCAGGGTATCCTGTAAATAAATAAAACTACATACAGTGGATATAAAAAGTCCACAGACCCTGTTCAAATGCCAGGTTTTTGTGATATAAGAAAATGACAGCAAGACAAATAATTTCACATTTTTTTCCACCTTTAATATGACCTATAACCTGTACAATGCAATTGAAAGACAAACACTGAAACCTTTAAAGGGGAAAAATACAAAATAGAAAAGTTAAAATAACCTGGTTGGTTGGTTAAATCTGAACACAGCCACATCCCCAGTTATTAAAGGATGTGCACACTTATGCAACCACATGATCTCAGTTGTTTATTTTTACTTCACCTCCCTGATACATTTTGGTTTGTTTTTCAATTGTGTTGTACAGGTTATAGGTCAAATTAAAGGCAGAAAAAGTTGTGAATTTATTTATCTTGATGTGACTTTTTTACATGACAAAAACTTGGCATTTGAACAGGGGTGTGTAGACTTTTTATATCCACTGTATGGATCATACAAAGGCTACTATTCTGCAAAACAAATCAACACTGACATGTACCAACATGTTAATTATGAAAATAAGCATGAATACTTAAAATTTAAAAGGTGACAAAATTAAGGACTTGTAATTAAAAATTACTAAATGGTGCAGAAAAGGTGAAATAGGCTACAAAGTGCAGGAAAATGTATTTTAGGTGCCAGGAATATGTTTACTGGACCAGTCTCAATATAAACATGACAACGAACTGTCAAAATCCAGACTGTGATCTACCCATACAAAATTGTGATTTTCCCTTGAGAAAAAGGCAAGTTTGTTCATGTGGCTTCTAACACTGTGTTGCAGTAGACTGATTACATAACATCAACTGAGGGTCTGGAGGTTTTATTTTGTAAGCCTATGATGGAAGCACCAATATATCCCACACTGCCTAGCAACTAACTGTTTTGAGAAACCATTGAAACTAAATTGTTATAAAACGGTTTACAACTTGTATTATTAAAAGTATGTCAGTAGTGGTTGCTGTCAAATGAGGCTCTCTTCAAATAAAGCCTGGACACTCCTAGTCCAACCCATACAACCATGACAGTCTGCGTCAGATAAAGAGATGATAAAGACTCTTAGGCTTTAGTGGTAAATTGTGGGACTTCTAATTTATCTAACAGTAGTTACAAACTGACTAAAATGCTGTTAAAAAAAGACAAAAACTCAAGTTTATATATTAATTTTTTTATTTCAACTATCTGCAAATGAAAAATCCATCGCAGCTGTCAAAGTGTCAGAGAGCTTGGTGGCAATTTTGTCTACAGGGGGGAGACAGAAGGAGAAAAGTATAAGAATATTTTCAAGATTAAAAAGGTACTGTTAAAGCCATACAGAAAACAAATAACTCCTAACTGAAGCCTGTGTGCGTGTTTAAGTGTTGCTGATTTGTTTGCTGATTTTGACCAGCAGACTGAATTTCAGGCCTTTTTCACATCATTTACACTTGCACTAACATTTTATTTTGTATATCAACCAGCTGACTTAGCATCATCCCACTTATTACTCAGCTACCAAGTAAACTCATAAACAGGTTGACACAGAGAATTGATCATATAATGATTTTATCAATCTAAAAATAACTTTTTTATAAGAGTACCTCTGTTTTAATAACTGGTAGCACTTTTGTTGCAATAAATATTGATTCAACTTGTTGGTAACAATGGCAATATTGTTATCAACAAGTTAATTTAATACTTAACTTTACATTTTTATTCACTATAGAGTCTTATCGTACTTGACTTCTATAAATCATATTCAACTTAAAGATACACTGAGTGGAATTCAGCAGCATTTTTCCAACGCAGGAGCTGTCAGTTTTCAGCTGGATGGGTAGATGAACATTTATTCACTCAAAGTTAAATTATTTTACAGAAAAATTTAGTCTGAATTATTGCAGATAGCGCTGCTTTCAGGGATACTACTACTGTTTTGTCAGAATAAACTACAACTACAAGGCAATACCGTGCAAATAACTCATTATGTTTGTCTTTTCTCAGACAGTAATACAACTAACTGTCCTTTAACTATAATACTCTGAGTTGGCAAATAATTAGCCAAAAAATGCTGTTTTAATACAAGATACCACACATCTCAGCTTTTTGCAGTCTTCTTGGAAACCTGATATTTATAACAATATGGTGCTAAGTGACAAAACATTGGAGACAATCTAACAGAGTGCTTCACATTGCCAACTTGTGTTCCTAAAACAATGTAAGAACTCATGATGGATACCTCAGAACTGAGCTATCAACTAGTTAATTAGATGAAATGTAAAAAAAAAAAAAAAAACATCACAGCCTAATCCCTGGGAACAGTTATTACTTACTTATGTCTGTTGAGGATGATGCCATTTTATTGCATAAATTGCTTTTGGTTCTCAATTGCCTTAATGTCAAACAAATGACAGTAGAACAAAAATGACCCTGTGTTGTCTACCAGCTGGACAGTAACATTTTTGTCACACTGCCAGTCTGGAGAGGTGAATTCATAGTAAACTGTCTGTTCCATAACTCCAGTCTGATTTAACTTGTGTGACATGTGTGATCATGCACCATCTTTTAGAATTACTAACTGATGTCGAGTTTTAACCTTGGTTCACAAAGCCAGGTGATGACTAAGAAAGCCTTAGCAATAACTAGAACCGCAAGTGTAGTTCAACAAGGCTTGTTGGTCAGTTTACGACACAACTAAGATGATACATTTTTCTCCTTTCTTGAATAAACGTCAAAACAATTAAACATTCATGCATAGAATGAGATAAATAAAGCATGGAGACTGATACTAACCAGCTCTTTTCTGTAGCTTTTTCCTTTTCTTGCTAGCAGCTAGGAGTGCATTGCCTTGCTGCAGAGGATCTACGTTCAGTATATCCTCCAAACCTGGAGTCCTTGATGCAGGATCATTAACTGGAAAGTCGGTCTTTGACTTCTGTGATTTTATTTCCACCGTCATCGGTCCAAACTGTTTTGATCCGAACAGAGTTAGGTTAAATAAACCACAGTTAAAATAATAATTTATCATAAGCTGCTGTGAGGAGGGATTGTTTCAAACCTCTGGGTCTTGATCGTCCTCCATATGTTCGGTTTCATCTTTGTATGTTGGCTCTTCGTAAGTCTTCCCAGCCATTTCCAAGTCAGCGGACGGGTCACTCTGGTCACCTTGTGTCATTCCAGTGGTTTCCATACAGAATCCCATTTGGATATCAGGGCAAGATGACTCTGCAAAGTGGTGACAGGACAATACTGCTTCCTCAGGTGTTCTGATAATGATCAACATGCTCAGGTTTAAAATACCAACACCCTCTCAAACATTGTCTCCATAATATATAACTCACGCACAGATATATTGATATTATCAGATTCTCAATAAATGTCTAAGAGGCTAATCTTTTAAGTTACAAACAGTTGGAATCAAGGACTTTTGCAACCCAAAGAAGCTTATGACTAAGTTTTAACACATCAACTGGGGTAAATATGATACACATTTCCTCACCTGCGAGAACCTCCTGATTTCCCTTCTCCAGCTCATCCCAGTCAAACGCTTTGCCCATCTCAGACACAATCTCAGCACTGACATGTGTGGGAAGAGTATGTGTCTCTGGAGGGTGTGTGAAGTAGCTGATCCTTCCCCTAACATAATAACATGACAAAAAGTGATTGGTTAACATAGTGCTGAAAACGCTGACTGCCTTTTGTCACTATTCAAAAGTCTTACATTTACCCACCCTGTCCAGTCCATTAGGACACTCTTAGCTGCTTTGTCGGTGTCGGGAAGACCTCCCTTTCTGAGTTTCCCTTGGCGTCGCGCAAGCATTGCGAGGAACTCCAGAGCGGTGTGAAAGTCTGAGACTCCGTAGTGCGTCATGATCTGCAAACCCAACAATGTTCAATGTAGTTTCTCTGTAACGTCAGTGTGGCATGCCAAGGAACATTAAAAAAGGCTTTTAGGAATCACAAGAATTACCTGTGCTTTGTTGCAGCGTCGAAGAATGGCTTCAACAGGTGGAAGGGGATCAACAAGCTGCTCAATTTTCACACAGTTTCGGAGAATCATTGCTGCATCAGTTGTCGAAGTTGCCATGACAATGCCAGGGCAATCTAGGAGCTTTATGTGTTTGTCCAAGTGCACCTCTTGAAGACACCTGACATTACCGATAGCCAAGATTATTAGATCTACAGAATTTGACAAGATCAAGGGATCAAGTATATAGTTCATACTTACTTAGTGACCCCTGGAGTAGCTCCAACATTACACGCACGAGCTCGTTTTAAACTATTGATCAAGCTGCTCTTTCCCACATTAGGAAAACCTAAAAAGAGGAAAGAGCAGCAAAAGCTGTCAAACTTTGAATTTTGTGTTACACATACACCAAAAACTAAAGAACTGCTGGATGTGGTTCTTACCTACAACACCCACTGTGATGGCAGTCTTTATGTCCAGATTCCGGCAGTAGTTTCCAAGCAGTTTCATCAAGCAGTCTGCACCAACACAAGCACTGCTGCTGAGAAGCTCGGGAGTTGCTTGTGTAACTGGTACGTTTGTGCGTTTCTGTCATGATATAAGCCAGGGAAGGAAAGTGTTAAGATGAAATGGTGCTAGTCTATAAATTTAATGCCCGAAACAGAACAAAGAGGATATAAGTATCGAACAGCATACCAGATTCTTTGCTTGTTGCTGAGTGGATGCCTTAAAAGCAACGGTGGGAAACTCATTTCGAAGGTATTTAATCCACTTTTCCACAATTTCCTTTGACACCAAATCTAGAGTATAAGAAAAAGTAAAGCTTTGCTTATTTCTCACTGTCAATAAGACCCTTGCAAGTGTGCTGTTTTCCAATAAAAGACAGTTCACCAAATGCACCAGTCCAAGATTTATCCATGTAACTCACCGATTTTATTAAGCACTAAAACAATCTTCTTGTTGGTTCCACTTTGAATGACTGCCTGCTCCACCTGAGGACATCTACAGCCAAGAGGATCACGTGCATCTAAAACCTCCAAAATCACATCTGAAGCCTCCACCACCTTTGAAAACATTTTGAAAACAATTACTGTTTAAAGGCAAACTTCAATTTCATAGAATGCACATGTTCATTTATAAGCAGATGGTGCAGACCTGTCATCAAATATATGTTACGTGCACCTTGGCACTGGAGATTTTGCTCCATTTTAAATGCTTCAATTTTTGGTCAAGAGCAAAACCTTTCTTCCACTAAGAGCCGAACCCTAGCGTTTGCCTCCCTCCTGCCTGGCTAGACGTGCGATTCTCCTCAGATGGAGGGATGCTGCCCCGCCCACTCACAGTCAGTGGCTGAAAGACCTTGTGTCTTGCTTAGACCTTGAGAAGATTCGTTACTCGGTTGAAGGCAATGACAGGAAATTTGAAAAGATTTGGGGACCTTTCCTAGACCACATTGAGAAACTTTCATCGATTTGAATTAGCACTCTCCTCCTCTAGTTGTTTTAGTTTTGAAATATATTTCTGTGATGTGTTATAATCATACAATTCAAATTCTTATCTCTTTTATGGACTTTTTCAGTTTTCAGCAACTTGTCTACATTTGTATTTCTCTTAACACACAGTAGTTCATAAACTTATTCTCTTTTTACTTTTTATTTCTCAACATCTTATGTATTTCAAGATCTATAAAACCTGAATTCCAGCACTTACTTGTATTTATTTATTTTTTATTTATGTACTTATTTATTTCGTTTTTTGTTATAGCTCCAGAATTTGTTATTTGAAACAAAGTAATAGGAATATCCAGCTGTAGATGGGGTTTTAGGGAAAGGGGGTGTTTGTAATGTGTCTCCTGTGTATATCTGTATAAAACCAATAAAAATATTGTTGAATTAAAAGCAGGTTTAAGTCTCTTTCCTGGAAACCATTTTGTATTTTACGCTTCTCACTTGCAATTCTTTGGCAGTTTCACCCCCTCAGTTTTTTTTACCCAACATTTTAATAGCTCAAAATCAAGGAATTCATTGTATTTATTGGACTAAGTCTTATAATGTTTGTCATGCATTACCCTGGTATTAAATTTAATAGCAAACACGCACGTACATGAGATCAAATGGCTATTTATGTACCTCTCCAGCTGTAATGTCCATACCAGATATAAACCAGTTTGTGGAACACATACCAATTCACTTACCTTCTTAAACTCTCTGTAATATGCCTTTCTTGAATTTTCATTTTCAAAATTAACATGCTTTTCCAAACTCTGCATCTCTGTCTCCTGAGAAGACAATGTCAGATACAGAAATCAAAAAAGATTCGCTCTTTCAATTGGAGTACATTTCCACACTCCAGGGTGATAGTTACCCTCTGCTCAAACTGCCTCTGTCGCTGCTGGATGTCATTTTGAAAGGTCTGTAAATTTCTTCTCTTCATCAGCTCTTGCTCCCTCGACCGTTTCTGCTTTTCCTGGAGATCCTGGAGCTAAAGTGGGAAGAAACCAGAAGGAGCATGCAATTCAGGTTCAAAACTTCGAGTGTGAGTTTAAGCAAGACTCTCAAATGTTTACCCTTTGCTTCCGTATTTCCTCTGGTCTTCTGAGGTCTTTGGCATGCTGCACTGACTTCTTTGTATGACCTGAAGCATCACCTTTCTTTCCATCTGTACTCTGTAGACAGGAAACATGACAAATGTGAAGGAAGTTAATCATGGAAAATTATGTATACCCAAGTACTTGATGATATAATTGCACAAACTGTAGGACAGTAAGATGAAAACATGTAAGAGATCTGTATCAGACTTTTCCTGTAACCCCTCGGTGTCTGTGTTTCATTTCTTAAGTAAATGTCTGAGGATCTCTGATATCCCGCAGCCTCTAAACTAACTGTGACAGAAAACACTGAAGCAACAGAAAACATGCTTTAAAGGGTGGGTTAGGGGGGCTTTCTGGGCGTGCTGACACTGGAATTAATAGCATGTAGAGTGCCGGGTATGACTTGGACCTCCTCTCAGTCTAGGAGCTGTAAAATGACAACTTCAGTGTTGGCTTGTTGTTGTCGGCCGCAGAGCACATTAGCTGGAATAGCGCTTACCTTAGATTTTCCCAGGAAGCCAAGCCTTTTGGCTCGTTTTTGCTCTGCGAGAAAAATCACAGAAAATACATTAAAACGTATGAGTCGGTAGAGTGAATACAATAAGCAAATACTGTTTAAGATACATACTTGCTTTAGACATAAGTTCACCACAGGTCCGCTGTCTTCACGTGTGACATGTACGGGTTCTTCTTCTTCTGTTTGTCCAAACACCAAAGTAGAGCATCACTGCCGCCACCTGGTGTGGAGTGAGAACAAGGGTATCTGACTTCTACAATGCTCAAATTAAAATAATATATACGGTGGCCGAGAACCGCCACTGCTGAGAGAAAAAAGAATGCAAAAAGAAGAAGAAGCCAGAATGGAAGTTACCGTTGCACAAAAAAAAAAAAAAAAAAAAAAAAATGGAAGCCTGCTGCTGCTGCTGAAAAAAAAAAAAGAAACGGTGCAGGAAAAAAATGAAGTTAAGGATGCAAAAAAAGTGGCAATGCAAAAAAATAAAAAAGAAAAAGAAAAGGTACTTACTGCAAAAATAAATGGATGCAAATAAAAGATAAAAAAAACGGATGTGAGCTGCCGGGGACCAATAATGATGATGCACCAGTGTTTTACGATTTAGGCACAGAAGACGACGGCGAGAAGATAAGCAAAGAAGTAGGTGGAAAGGTTATTGTTTAATTTCACTTTGTGTGCTTTTCAATGTATCATTTGGTTAAGCCCATACACTGTATATAGAATGGACAGCGTCTGCCTCCTTGCTGGGTGAAGCCACTCCGAGAACAGCACCCTCTTTTGACGGGCTGCAGTATAGGTCATAAATCCACCAGCAAAGCTTATGGGGCTGTGGACAAACTTTCGAAATTTATCACACAGAACATAATTTTTCTCCCCCCTGCTTGAGATGTTGACATGTAGTTACTGTCAGACTGGTTTGTGCTCAAGTCCTCTTTTTTCTGTGAAGCTCTGTTTTTTACAAGGTATTAGGAGGTTCATGTTTTCTTTGATTGACACCTGATACAGCCTATTGGCATTCAGGGATTCCGTAGCTCACCCATGGGGATACGCTGTTTGAGCCGAGCGTCATCACAGCGACTCTCGCGCCGAATGCGCACAATGATATGCACAGCGCTGGTTTCACCAAATGAAGAAAAATCATGGACATACCGAGAGCTTTTTGGCTTCAAATCCATATACAGGTGGGAGGCGGAACCAAGTTGTCCATAGCATATACAGCCTATGAGCCTAACCAAATGACATATTGAATAGCACACAAAGCAAAATTAAACAATAACCTTTCCACTTACTTCTTTGCTCGTCTTCTCACCGTCGTCTTCTGTGCCTAGATCGTGAAACACCGGTGCATCATCATTATTGGTCCCTGGCAGCTCGCTCCTTATTTGAAGTGATGGTCAATATGATCTGCTAAAGTTTACGTAAAACATCAGAATAGAGAAGAAAGGTGGTCTAAGTGACTTTTCATGTAATGAGGTTGTTGGCAGGCTTGTATAGGTATTTCAGTAATGTACACCATAACTGACACAAAGAGTTTGGGGATTCTGTTGTATGGAGCGATGAAACAAAAGTGGAACTTTTCCGGCCTGTGGATTAGCGGTATGTCTAGAGGAGGAAGAATGAAGCATACGCTGAAAAAAACAACAACCTGCCCATAGTGAAGCATGGCGGTGGCTCAGTGAGACCCTGGGGCTGCTTTGCTCATTCTGACACTGGAAACCTGTAGCATGTGGAGGGCAAGATGGATTCAATAAAGTATCAAGACACCTTGGGAGAAAATGTCATGCTGTCATTGATGACTGACAATGACTACTGTTATAATTGTCTTTCACTTGGCTAATGTTAGAGTTGTACTTTTTCACTGAACTCATATAACTCACTGTCTGTTTGCTGTTCACTTCAGATTCAGATTTTTACTTTCCCACTGAACTAATGCATATTGATTAATGTTTTTATTGAACTCACCAGTCGTTTAAATCAGACCAGTGTGACATCTACCTTGATAAAGAGGAACCTGATGAGCCACAAGGCTCTCTTTATGCTGCCAGACAGGTCTGCTACAGTAGATACACACCTCAAGGTCAACACACATATACATGTTTCATAGCAAATTTCAGTAAGACCACATGAACAGTGGCTGGCCTGTCCACGTCAGAGATAACTGGCCAATGATACTCAGTTACGTGTTAAGTCCAACCTCTGTCCAAGGCAATCCCTGCCCAAGAAGATAAATGGACACTCGCTGTGATAGAGATCCTAGGAGCTCTGTAGTTGCTAGTCCAGTGCTGTACAACTACATTTCCTGTGATTTAGATAAATGTTTTATCTGGGACCTGAAGATTTCTCTGGTTATCCTTGAGCAGTCAACTAAAGAACTGTATCTTACGCCGCAAAATATAAGCTGAGCATTGGTGGATTTTGCAACATAACTGCCGTTTTTGTGAGTTTTTTTTTCCATTGCAGCCATTTCTGCACTAAAGCATAAGAAGATATCAAAGAAAGTAGAACAGTCAAAACAGAAGTAATGAGGCTCTGGAGGAAGGATGTGGACATGATTACAGTGGCGCAGGGGCTCAGAGTCAGAATTGGGCAGCATGTGCATGTGTTTAATTTATAAACATATATGTATAAACTTTATTTCAGACCCAACAAGTCCATGTCATACAAAAAGATTATTATTATTATTATTATTATTATTTTGTTAGCCCACACAGTAGTAGCAAAGTCACAATAAACTTTATATCTAAACCTTGGACCTGTACTTCAGACCTCTAGTTAGGGAAATTTTGAAAACTCACCCTTGTTTCATTTTGGATTTTGTACATGATTTTCTGTCCTGCACAATCTGCTCTGTGCTGAATTGGATGGCGACCAGTTAGACCATAACTCACAGGTTCAAGTTGGCCCACTGTCACATCTCCTCAGTTGTCCATGGGGCAGTGGCTTCTCTCCCTCTCTATCACTCACTCAATCACCTGCTCTCTCTATTTCTTTCTTGGGCGGCTATATGACCGAGCAGAGCCACAATGGACAGAGAAGCGGCAGGCTCAACACACACAACAACCCTGTATTACAAGAAAATGGATATGGTGGAATACTGTGGAATTTTTGTACCACGTTTTTTTTTTTTTTCACATCCCTAACAGAAAAAAAAACTCTTATAAGGCACTTCTTAACAACAGGCAAAAAGGGCAGGAACTCAAGCACCGCTAAAGCTTTATGTGTGCATGTGCATGCCCTGGAGGCAAACTGAACCCTCAAAATCAGTCATTGTAAGTTTACACTAAACCACTGGTTACATTAGTGTATGACACTGGTCATGAGAACAATAAGAAATGCAAACTCTCTCAGCAGATAAATCTCCATTAAATCAGATTAGAGCACATTTAACCCGTATTTTAAAAATAATACACCCTCAGAAGGCATCATGAAGTAGAAAATAGACCACACAAAAACTGTGAAATGGAAACTTGTGCCAGTATACTTTACATTTATTTGCTTTGTTTTTTTTTCATGTTTTTTTATTTGCAAGAAACCTACCATTTTGCTAAAAAACAATGGATATAAAGAAAATAGACATAATAAATATTTCTGGTTCAGTGTTTTTTTTTTCCAAAAGGGCAAAGATGGAGGTTCATGCAGGAGCCACAGAGGAGACCTCTGTCTTTGATGAGGATACTTCAGAGCTTTCATCCACTTCTTTGCCAAAAAGCTTCATGATGCATTCACGGAACTGAAAGACACAATGATGAAAATGGCAAGAATGTCAATTACAAAATCATATTAAAAATTGTTCAGTGTAGTAATGCTTTCCTTTCTGCCCACCTGTCGGTTCATGAAGACATAGATGACAGGGTTGTAGATGGTGGCGCTCTTGGCAAAATATGCAGGCAAGGATGCAGCCAATGGATGGAAAGCATAACCAGGGTTAGCTGCTGCGTAGCAGGCAAAAAAGGTGTAGGGTCCCCAACAGAAACAATACGCAAAGATCATGACAACAACCATCCTAGATACATCTTTCTCCGCTTTCTGGGTTGACTCTGATTCTTTCTGCTGCATGGCGACCTGTGATCAACAAATCAGCTCAGTGTGAGATTCTGCCAGACTGTGGTTCAGTTTATGTTCTGTATCAAACTGCTTTAAGGATCACTTACAGCATGGATAGCCATCCAGACAGCAAAATAGCACACGATGATGATAGCCAATGGAATGATACAGCAAGTAATCATAAGAGCAATCATAAAGGACTGGCATCCGGGGTCTTCATTTCCACTGAATACATCAGGTCCACAGGAGGTCTTCAGTCCATGAGGCCAGTATCTAATGCAAGAAAGAGGTTAACAATTTTGATCATGATTTTAAAACACTTGGTTTCAAATTGGAAATACAACAGCAGGCTACCTGCTCCATCCAAAGAGGGGACAAGCACACCACCCTGCTGACCAGACCCAGGAAAACACTATCCCAGCTGTGGCCCATTTGGCATCAAATTTGACGTTTCCAAAAGGTTTGCACACAACAATCCATCTCTCCCAGGCGATGATAGTCAGAGACCAGAGACCTACAATACCTGTGCGAAAAAGTATATTTTTCAGCTACAGTCTTTATTAAACTCCTTGGTCCAACAATAGTGTCCAAAACATTTCTGTAGAAGAGATAAACTGTCATCACTTACCACAAGTTGCAACAGTAAAGCCCTCAAACTTGCACATTGGATGGCCAAGAATGAAGTAACCAAAAAACTGGTTGGATACGCTGATGGTGCTTGCAAAAAGTGTCTCTCCAAGATCTGCTACTGCAAGATTGACCAAGATCCAATTTAGAGGGTGACGGAGTTTCTTGAATTTTGCTGTGGCTACCAAGACAAGACCATTGGTGAAAACTGAGAAGACGACCACTAGAAACATCCATAATGTTGCAAGATGGTAAACCCATCGAGGGGCAATGTGGTAATTGGGACCCTCAAAGGGACCTAAGGGAATAAGAAGAACAAAAAAAACAAGATGAGTTATGTCTCTCAATTCTGAATCTCATGTCTTCACAAGCTCCAAATGTGTTAGGTAGAAGTATAAGGAGAAGAACTTTATTTACGGGATATTCAATTATCTGTAGTCTCATTTGTCATGTCTCAAAAAGTCATCTACTATTTATAGAAGAATTTTCTGAATCTTTTCGTCCTGCAGCGAAGAGAGAGGAGCCGTCCACCACCATTGGCATCAAGGTGTTATGAAGTGAAGCCATCAATAACGCTAAGGTACAATGCTGTCAATTAATTGATTTGTCATATCTTTCTTTGTAAAACTACCAGAAGAAAACTGATTTACAAACTATGGAGCTCCTCAGATTTTTTCAGTTATAAAGTAAAATAACCGTTTAAGACATTCAATTAAATGTATTCTTCATTTTCTCTAAAGAACTTCACATAATTTGAACAGAAAATCGTGTCTCAGTGTGAACTATGGATTATTTTCAAAGAACTTGTCTGACAACAAGAAAGTCTGAAGCTTTTGGACTGATAAGACAAAAACACCAAAATAATGCCGTTGTGAAAATGTTACATTTCAATCACCCTTTATCACACTGAGTTTTTAATGGGTTCTAAGAGTTTCTCATACGACAGGAATCTATTTGGGTCTGTTTGCAAGATCTCCTGCTGTCCAGACGGTCTTGCCTCCTCTTCAGCACAAGGTCTTTTCAGATGGTAAAAGTATTTTGTATTTGTCAGTACTCATCGGTGTGAATGAGTGAACACCCGACATCAGAAAACAAGTGTTAAGATCGTTGTAACTTTTCACAGAAGCAAAATCCTAAAGACAAATTTATGTTTGAAGACTGACGCTTAAATTGTCAGGTAAGTCAACATTAATTCACTTGAAGTTACATCCGTTTACAGATAAATAAAGCATGTCTCTACAACAGAGATAAATCCATAATCACTGACTTAGAGCTGAACTATAGTAAGTCAGACGAAATAATGAAAACGTTGCCACCTCATCTTTTGAAACTGTTGAATTATTGGCATTTGTCGTGGATAGCTCCATCTTTATCAGGTAAATCTCTTTTAGTTCTCGACAGCCACTGTTGCCTTAGTGACAGGACAGGTTGGCGAGGAAACCTTTTATTTGAGAATCTTGCAGTGAGATGTCACTAAATATCCTTACTCTATGTGTGGGAAATACAGTTTTTTTTATTTATGTATTTATTTTTTATAAATAAATGTATTTACTTCTCTTTTTTATTTTTTCTTATTACTATTCCTGACTTATCCATTCACTCACTGGAAAACAAAATGATGATACTATACCTCTGGTATTATTGCTGTTTGTGTAAGCGAAGCCAGATCCCCTCGTTGAGTCTTCATAATGCCTCCTAGCAGCAAAGGACTGTTTTCCCCACTCCTCTGCCATTCTGTGCTTGCAAGGAGGTCTCCAGTAGTTGGCCTTACTTGTCACTTACAACCTCCTGGGGTGACTGGTGCTTAAACCCTGGCTTTAACTTTTATACCTATGCTTCAGAGACCTCTGATGAGATTAGGTCAAAATCACATTATTTTGTGGTTTGCTGGTTGGCAGTGACACGCATCAGCAGATCTTTACTTTGAACTGCAATTAAAACCAGGAGCTCATTAGGTTACACAATTTGCTAGACTAATCTTGTTTTAATGCGGATATCTGTCTGCTCCGTTGAAATAGAGATTAGGTGTGAGACCTTTCACTAATATAATTACATTTTTAACTATCTATTGAATCTTGCAGCAGCTAATGTCCAGTTTTGTTGTTATTTTAAGTATAGCAAGAAGAATTGAACATTTGATGCGTGAACACCCAGTCTATATCACCTGATATCTTTAACTTCAAAGCAAGTAAGTGCAAAGGTAACTTTTCTATATGGGTTGTCAGTTGCATGGTGTTTAGTGAAACACAAAAGAGTTTATTGTGGTCAGTAATAACAAACACTGCAGGAGTGTGCATACTACTGTATTGTTGTAATATGTATGATGACATGATCTTTCTCAGAAGATCATTCTGTGGACCCTGGTGGGCATGAAAGGGCAGCCAAAACTTAAAGCAGCTTAACCGGACAAAGGGTGACAAACAGATCTGTGATGACAGCAGTTGCAGTTGTTGACATGTGAGAGAAGTAAGACAACTTTAATCCCTCCGGACAGAGAGTTCACCTCAGAACAAAGGATTTTTTGACACTCCCTTGATCCTACACTCACGTCACAGACCTTATGGCAAGGGTAAAGAAGTTGGTCAACCCTGTTTCATGAGGTCCAACTCAAAAGATAATGTTTTAAGTGGATGGATCAGTAAACCAGTGCAATAGGCGTGCAACATCTATTTATCACTGTTGTGCATCATTGAGTAAATTATCTTTTTCAAAGATGTGGGATTAGATGTAGAGAGGTATTGGCAGGGAGGTCTATTGATGAGTATTTTGGAAGCCAAGAGTACCAAAAAAATTTTCAGCATGTGGTTAAGATGCCACTAAGTAGGACAATATCATCCCAGGTCACAGGCCTGTGGATCTGTTGATAATAATGATCACTGTGCAAGACCTCCCTGTTTTCAAGTTGCCATCAGTCGCCTAAAAAACTGCTCACAGCAAATGATATTCAAAGCTTTTATACTTTGTTGGAAGCTAGATCTCAAACTGTCTGAAGTCTCAGCAGGGAAATTGGCCCACAGCATTTTGCCTGTCAGGATGAGATAAGCTTTCAACAGCATACTTCTGTTCTAAATAGGACCTGCTTTTTTAATGCTTTTGTTTTATCTTGTTGGTCTGGCATGTGTAGATGCAGAAGGAGACTTTGTGAAAGTGGCTTGCTTGTTTATTAAATCACCTGAGGGCTTAGTGCATTTGCCTTGTAAGTGAAGACATCAGTGTCAAAGCAAATTGAATTGAGGAAACCCCCACACTTATCATTATTCATCTACTACCTGTTACAAATACTGAAATATTTGTATTGATATAACATACAGAAATACAAAGCAGTCATTAATATCACAGATAATAATATAACAAAATAAATTTCAATGTTGCAAAAATGTGTAGAAACATACCAACCTGATGCTCCTCAGTAGCTTTAGCTACGAGTGTGATGTACTCCCAACATTATTTTATATTAGAATATCAAATACAATGTCCTTATCTAAATTCCTTTGTCCAGTTTCATTTTCCAGATTGATTGTCCATGTTGGAGTATTTGAGTCCATTCTGGTTGTATGGATCTCTGGAGAAGAGCCTCTCTCTGGTTTGTCTCCATAATGTTGTCCTGGGAATGAAACACCAATCATCATCTTGCAAAAATATTAATTTCAATACAACATAATGTAAAGCAGTCACTTTATTCTCATATTTTAACATCATTTCAATTTATCCAATTCCCCCTTATGAATAACCCCACAGTTATCAACATGCAGAATACACCAAAACAAAATAATTGAAGCAAAATACCATTTGAAAGCAATAGTTACAAGACAACATCAGAACAAAACGTAAGACTAAATATTCAAAATGGATATTGCTCCACCATCACTCCTTCTGGCACCACTTCCTTCTTGTCTTTGCCTTGGTCATTCCTACGAAGATTTGCACATGATGTCCTGGCATTACCACTTCAACCCATCTCAAAATCATAGCCTATGCAGAGGTCAGCAACAGCATACAACATCACGCACAATGATAGAATAACAGCTACTAGAATCTAAACTAATACAGCTCTCATTGGACCTAATTAGGGCCATGGGGCAAACGCACCAAGGCACTGGCCCCTATACTTGATCATGATAGTGTGCTGTTACTTTTCTCTATTGTATAAAAAATGATCGCGATGTAAGTCACGAAAAAATTCAGAATAAAATTGCATTGAAGTCAATGGGATTAGCCAAAAAAAGAGCAAGTATTGAGTTTTTCAAACGTCTACTGCTCTAGCATACTTTCAGGTTGAGACTCCATTTTAACTTTAAAATGTAGACAATTAGTCTTGTCTACTAGTGTAATAATCCACGTTTTGACAGGTATTCTAGTTATTGATCACTCACTGTTTAATGACTATGCTCATTTTTGGAGAAACATGAGATTATAATGTGTGTGTATTGTGTGGAATCTTCGTACCATAGTGGGTGACATCTTCGGCTAGAGTGAGAGAAGTTGCATGAAATTGTTTGAAGCTTTTCTCTTTCCACGCTCCTCCCAGCCACAAATTACACTCTACACAAATGTTTTTTTGTTTTTTTTTTACAGTTGTAGACACATTTGTTCCGTCTCTAATGATGTGTTCATTTAAGTTAGTCCTTCTTAAATAGTGGGACGGCACGGTGCAATACCAGGGGGGGCACATGTGACCAGAATCAACAGAATGTGTCAACAGAATCAGCTGGCGCGATAACATTCCAGTGCCCACCGGCAGGGCATTAAGTGCACTGAGAGCTCACAAATCCAAACCTGGTCAGCTTTTGGCGCAGTGGGAGCACAGCAGGTCAAGTGGTAATTTGATAGACCAGTGCGCAAACGTCACTAATGCCTCACAGGCAGGTTTCCACAGTGTCAGGCACATTTCAGTGCAATAAATAATCAACGACAACCACTACTCAGTGCAACTAGCTGAGTCAGCACATGCATTTGGATCTATATGGATATATTCTGATATATTTTATCTGATGAACGTGTTTGGCACGCATATGGACACTCAACCTGACCGTATTAACACAGCTGAAACTGCACTAAATTAAATGTCTAATAAATAGTCACACATGATGAAGTTAACAAGTTATTTAATCTATCTTCATCCTCACGCGGGCGGACACAGACATGCCTCTGCATCCTCTTCCCATCCTGCTGCTGCCAAGGCTGACCAGAGGATTTATTTTAGTGATCAAATTAGTTATTAATTTCAAAAATTTGAGAAAATCAGTTAAAGACACTTTTCATTCAAATAACCATTTTATGTAATGTTTGCTCATCCTTAAATTCTGTTAATACTCAATCTGGAGTAAGGTCTACATATGAATTTTAAATAAGGATTTAAATTTATTATTATTATTGTTGTTATTTTTTTAAGTTGAGGCAAATTGATGAACTGAAAATCTTTTCTGTTACAGACTACCCGGACTAATTTTATCTGATTTTATCTGCTGACTGTTTTTTTATTGTTTTGCCCTGTTGCTTGGTTTTTACTGTTATTGTTGTCTTGTTGTGCACTTTGAGATTTGTTTTTAAATGTAAAGTGCGTTACAAATAAAATCTATTATTATTATTATTATTTTTAATTTGAGGCAAATTGATGTACTGAAAATCTTTTCTGTTACAGACTAAAAAACAATGTCAATAAATTTATTCTTTGTTGTTAGTTGATCAACATTTCTTTCATTTTTCTTTATTCGATTCTTTAATGTTAATAAGGATACAATGTTATGTAGAGTTGTCCTTATAACAATTTTACAGCCAAATGATACTTATTATAGTCCAAGTGTTTAGGAAGTCCTTGTGATGACCACAGTCTGCTTCTTTTCTGATAGGAGGTACTGTTTTGTCAGAATAAGCCCAAATGTGAGACCAACACCAATGCAAAAAAAAATCACTTTTTATCTCATTTTGACTACCCCAGCCTGCAGTGCATATATCGTCATGGGCAACCAGCTAAAGTTGCTTAGGCAACCTGTGAGACTCAGGCCAGGCCCACAGCTGAGACCATTTCACTTATCAGGGACTGCTCTGATATAGCTGCATCAATTTGATTCACGATAAATAGCTGACTCTCAATCAAAATCCTTATTAGGGCCACAGGGGGAAAAGCACCGAGGCACTTACCCCTATACAAGAGAGATGCTATAAACTTTACAGCAGGACTCTATACAATGATGCCTCTGGGCAAAGCCCCGAGTCACTATTGCAACTTGAGGAGTCATAGGACAAAGTATATATGAAAATGCGCTGTTTGATCTGGATCAGTGTGCTATTGTCTTTAGTTGTTGTATATGAATGTATATGAATATGATATGTACATGAAAACTAAGGAAAATGTTTGCATTGAATTCAATGGGACATGGCAAAAAAGAGCAATTATTGGAGTTTCTTAAACACCTATTGCTCTGGCTCATTATCTTCTTTTGTGTAAAAAAAAATACTTGAAGAGGAAATGTTTGTTGTAGGTGTGTTCCTTGTTTATAATATTACAATGCTACAAGTATTAATTATTTAAAATCGCCAAAGAATCCGATCATAATGTACACACCCCAGCTATAGCCCCTGTGGCCCTTTTAAAATTTCCCAAAAATATGTTCGCTGAACTCTCACAAATCCACTAAATATCATTGAAATTTCCTATGGTCATTTTTCCCGGTGAAGTTTGATGTTTTACATCCGAGGTCCTACTATGTTGATGCTGTGGTGCATGAAAAGT